TTGAAAATTCCTTTGGGGGATGCGAACCCGACATATCAGCCAGATCGGCCTCGCCACTAATGACATGTGCATGGAAAATATCATGGGCCGAAAACTTCATACTTAAGTTAAGTTACCCCTCATAAAATAACGGACCGTGTACGAAGGCTCAGTCCAATGGGGGAAGTGAACACTTGGAAGTGTGCACCAATAGATCATCAGGTGGAAGCGAAAAACCTGATCCTAACCGATTCCACCATCTTCTTATTGCAAGAATCGGTCTCCTCACCCTTGGCACGATCTGTTCTTTCCATTCACGTGCCGCGACTTGCTTGAGGCATCCCTTGTAATCCCATTCCACACCCTTCTCGAATTGTGGCACGAACCGCTCATTGCGTTCCATAGCCTTCTAATCACGTGCCGCGACCTGGTTGAGGCATCTATTGTCATCCCATTCCACGGCCTTCTCTAACTGTGGCTCGAACCGTTCATTGTGTTCCACGGCCTTCTTGCGTACCATGGCCTTTTCCTCCCCTGGCACGGCCTAATCATCGTGTCATGACCGCGGCTTTCCTGTATCTTCCTACCGTTCGTTTTTCCGATCGGAACACTTGAGATACATGGTTTGACGTTAGTTGCATTTATTATTTAACATTATTTATTGTTTATGTTTGTTTTCTGAGAATATCAACTCGCGCTAGTGCAGCGGACTCCTTTAAATCTTCGGCGGTAGCGCAGCAACCTCGGTGCATAACGTTCGGTCGGTCCATCAACCGGACGGAATCCCGGTGGGCCCCCTCCCGCCGTACACGCGCACCGGCATCGGCCCCGCGTTCGCCGGTTGTCCACAGGTTCACGTGGATCTGACACGCGATTTAATACGGCAGTCGTGTTCCACGACGGTGGCGGTCGGTTCTTAAAAGCGACGATGACGACGCCAACGACGACGCCGTGCGTGCGTTTAGGCGGGATCGTTCAAAAGCAAACGTTTTTTTGATTTTGGCCCATTGAAAAAGCAGGTTTTCATCGGGAGGTTTTTGCTTTGAGAATTAAATGCGCTGGAGTATGTGGTCCGACATATTGACGGCAAATAAAACTACCTGCTTAAATAATATCATGTAAATAAGGTATTTTTCATCGCGACGGGAGTATCATAACGGGTAGCGACTGTAATAATGTTCATAACTTTATTCGTGTAGATGCCACAGTTATGGGTGGGTCGATTCCATATCGTGGTGTCGATTTAATGGGGCACATGAGAAATGTTGATGGTCTTTTGGTATTGTGTTGATTCGAATAATCGTGGGTGTTACTATGACGTCTGATCCGAAAAGTTAAGGAAATAAAACAAATTAAATAAATTGTCAGTTATTTGTACGCGGCGGTCACTTTTGAAGTGCCCTCATTGTTGGAATATCCCGGATGGTATAATAATTAAAAAAAATGCATTTTGTAATGCCTTTTAAGATTTTTTCTTTATTTTTACCTTTTCTCTCTTTATAAACACACTGTGGGTATTCGAACGGTTAACCACGTAGATGTCTTATTCACGTTATATTATAATAATTTCAAAAATTATTTTGTTAAATTTGGCCGTCCGATACGCATGAAATAGACCTTTGAAATCAGTGAAATTAAATTTCCGTATAAAAAAATTACATATTAAAGTATACTGAAGCATTTTTTAACAACATATTTTCGTCAGAAAACAATATTAATGTGCCATAGTTGGGTGAGTCGAATCAATTTCGTGGTGTCAGCTTAATATCAAAATGTTGAAATGTTGATGTTCCTTTTGGTTGATTCGAATAATAGTGGGTGTTACCGCGACGTCTAATCTGAAAAGATAAAGAAATAAAATAAAGTAAATAGATTAAATAAAAAATAAATAATAATTGCGTTTGGTCAGTGAATGTCGGTTTTCGAACGGTTTCCGTATAGCAAAAAATAACATATTCAGGTATTTTTTACTTTTTAACAGTTATTTTCGTCAGAAGTTTTTATTTATGGGGCAGGCTCTGTAGACTAGGACATACATTTCAAACTTTCTCGCATACTTACAGTTTGCAACTTTATAGTCTCGCGCTTGGCGTTAATAAGTTATTTTCAAATATCGTTTAATGTTTACTGCAGTTATTTTCTGGGTAAACAGATGAGTACTGTGGCGACCATTTTAGCACCCATCAATAAACCCGATCCTAATAAGTAGCGTACCGTTATTTCCTAACACGTCGTATCCCGGGTGAGCAAAATATTTCTAAGGAATTCGAAATATTCATTTTTTAGCATCGCTATGTCAATAAAAAAAGGAATACTGATGAAATAAATAAAAATAAATTTCAAAATCTTCACCATTTTTGTAAAATCATCTAGGATACTGACTGGCATTTTCCATGCTTTGTATTTAATACCGAGGCAGAGGTCCCTTCCCGTTTCAAAAATCTTTAAGTGGGGTTGTATAGTGTGTTTCACAGATCTTCGAAATGTGGCGCCTTTAAGTACTAATTTAGTATTTTGAAAAAGCGTGTGAAAAAACAAGCTTTTGGGCAGTAACCGAGGGTTCAGTATTGGATTTGCCACTAACTTTAGCGGTCTAAATGGATAATTACTTTTGAAAATTTAGCTGTTTACATACTCCTTCGATTAATTGCAAAGAATGTCTAAGCCGGTAACTTTCTGACACGTTTCCAAACTCAAAAATTTAAGTTTATGATTTAAAAAAATCCCATATGATTTCGAACTTAAAAATATATTTTTCTACTCCCTTCTGTAAAATACCCAATTATACATTTCACATAGAATAATATAATGTTTTATTCCTGCAAGTGTATTTTTTTTTAAATCGGTGGCTGGAAGTTTGAACAAAGACCCCTCCTAATTAATATCTCTTTATTCCAAAATATAAAACCCAACAAAAAGAAAAATAAAAGTGTCAAACAAAAATATAAAAGTGGAACTATATACCTATATACATAATGTTTTATAAATCACGAAATAGTTGAACCTCTATTTGTGCTTGGTTAGGGTTTTTTTTTTAAATATTTACAGGACGGAATTTGATCAAACCTAAAAAATAAATATTGATGCATTTATCTAAGTTATTTCAATATAAATTACGATATAAACTAAATAAATAGTAAAATTTCATTGAAGTATATTTAAGCATATAAGCTGTAAACAAGTGAAACAGATGCGCACATTATAAAACAAAATTATAATAAATGAAATTGGTATTTTGTTATAAAATATGATGGTTTTCTGGTTTCTGTATGAATCACGAATTCATTCTGATCCGATAAATACCTAACGTTCTATGTCTCCTCTCAACTATCTGATACAAATAAAGACGGGAACGCATACATTATAATTTGTTCAAATTTGGCACGCCCAGACGCGCACAGTACGCCGTTATTCTCTTTTTATCCGTCACTTTTGTGTTATTTTTCTCTACGATTATATTATTCATTTAACGAATTTGTTAACCAATCCGACAGATTCCACAGCTTCACTTTTAAAAGAAATCCGGCGATAACCCCGCAAATTTGTCTCCTGATAAATTCGAATATGTATAGTTTATATTTTTACATATATGAAAATTGATAGCCGATAGCGCATCGTGTGCCGGTAACGATACTGTTCGCCGTAATTATTTGGATACTCAAAATAAACTCCCATTGAAAACTAGCGGAAGGCCTGCGCAATGTACCAACCAAATAAAATCGAGAGCTCGAACCACCTACAGGGTGCGACCGAAAAATCGATGAAATATTAAACCCACCAGTAAAATTAAAGTCACGATTTGTAACGGCGCGCAGCCTCTGGTGGGGGCGCCGGCCCAAGGTGGCCCCCACCTTCATCACCCCCGGCTCGTCGGGCCTTGTTCGACTTCGGTGCCCCACGTCTACAACGATCCGTTTTATTGTTCGCCCTTCGGCAACCCTTATTACAGGTAATTACGCAAAAGATCGGTAATTTCTGGGTACAAGTAATATGTGCATCAGTATCCATTTTTTAAATATGTTTTAATTCAATTAGCGTTTGAGATAAATGTTATTAGTATCCAAAATGAATGATGACTCTGTCAGTGATGTGGGTTTTAAAGACAAATTTATCAGCATTTTGTGTATAATGTGTTACAAAAATTGTTAGCGCAACATTTTACGAATAATACTTTGTTTTTGCATATGGTTCCTATTGGTTGTTATGGATTTTTAAGGATACCCGTTTTTACTTTCACTTGGTAAAAAGAAAATCAATTTAGGACTAAAAAGGTTTAAAAACATTATTGTGTTTAAAATTTGGTAGCTTTTCAAAATAAAACAATACATGAACGTCATAGTGAATCCAGATGAAGATCCATATAACTATTAGAGGATATAGTGAACGTATTAAGCTACATTCAGTTTTTTTTCCTTGAACATGTAAGATATTTTGAGAAAATACTGCCGAAAAAAATTCCACTTTCAAATTGAAAACTGTCGAATTGATGAACTGTCAGCAGCCATGTTGGTTATTGAAAGCCGCTAGGTCTGGTTGGTTGAAACCGATTTATGAAATTACCGCGTATGCGCATACTGAATTTATCTTTGAAACATTTTTTTACGGTGGCCTTGAAGAAAATTCCTGTATAACCAGAATAGTAGCCGTTTGTGAATTAACGAATTCCAATTTGGACTGGATTTCGTGATCTCAAAATTGGTGGGTTATTTTAAAAGCAGAAATGTTAAAGACGACATTAAGTTGCTAACCAAAAGTTTCCTGATTTTACCGTTTTTCTCTCGGTTTTTCGTGCTCTGCCTATCCACACTAGAAGTTGTACTACGTCATCCATCGGTCTAGACCAAAATTATCAGGAAACTCAGAGTTTTAAGGATCATCACTTTTAAAAATAGGACTTTCCCTTTAAAAGTATCCTGCACAGTATCCTAAGGTGCCCATAACTTGTTTTGTCAAAAACTTCAGAAAAGAAACAACAAAAACTTCCTGTTCCTTTTTCCTTAAGGTCAAATGTTTTGTTCCAGATCTCTTCCCGTTCCTAGGCGGCACACACCATATTTCGGGCAACCTGATTACAGGATGTACGAACTCAATAAGAGGCTCCAACAGCGGACAGAGGTGCGTAGGCAATGGTTTTCAGCAGAATCTATCTTTTTCATTTCTTTTTCGGTTTCTTATATTTAGGACAGTGATAATCTATGGTGGGATGCTTTCGCCACGGAGTTTTTCGAAGACGACGCCTCCCTGACGTTAGCGTTTTGCTTAGAGGACGGCCCGAAACGATATAGTAAGTCCCTCACCATTGTGTAAACGTTGATATAAGACGCTCAAATCGTGTTTTTATTCAGCTATCGGCAGGACGCTAATTCCGCGATACTTTAGGAGTATATTCGAAGGTGGAGTGACCGAACTGTATTATAATATGAAGCATCCAAAAGAGTCCTTCCACAACACTAGTATTACGCTAGACTGTGATCAGTGCACTATGATTACGCATCATGGTAAACCGCTATTTACCAAGGTAAAAGCTAATTGCCGCTACAACTATGGACACTCTATATGTTTTTGGTTCGCCCTAGGTATGTACAGAAGGCCGCCTAATCCTAGAGTTCACGTTCGACGATCTGATGAGGATAAAGTCGTGGCATTTCGCGGTACGGACGCATCGGGAGCTGATACCTCGGTCGGTAGTCGGCATGCACGCCCAGCAAGATCCCAGCATGCTGGACCAGCTTTCGAAAAACATCACACGACAGGGCATCACCAATTCTACGTTAAATTATTTAAGGGTAGGTTTGTCTCAATTTTATATTCAAATCTTTAACGGCCGGCAAATTAATGATTTAATTTTGTATATTGGGATAATCGTTAAAAGACGATAATTACAATACATATTTGCAATTCGTTTTGTCGCCCTCATATCCTTTCTAAATGGAGAAATATATTTTCAAATTGCGTTATTTTTGCAAAAGTAAGCAAATGATGGCGTTTATTAACTGCTTCTTAGATATTTAAAAACCGTTTTGAGTTGTCAATATATTACCCGTAAATACATCAAGATTATCAAAGAGTATTAATTTCTTTAACTATTGGACTTTGTTTCACTCGCTAGCACATAAATGTTTTTTGTTTGTACACCGGCGTTAAATAAACTAAGTAAATTGTTTTGTTTGGGCAGGTGCGTTATGATTGTAATCCTACTGTAAATGGCGCCACTTTGGATAGTGCACTCCCTATCATGTTTCTTCCAAATTATTTTTTGAAATAACACCTTTTTATTTTAATTTGAGCTACTCTTTTCCAAACGTTTTGATCAAAATATATTGTTTAGTTTTTCTCACTTTTCTCAATTCGTACAAAACATAATCTAACACTTTTTGAAAAACTGCTATTTAAATAGTCTTTAGGTTTGAGAATCCACCTAGAAAATTGGTTTTCACAAACAAAATATGTTTTCTCAGTTACGCCACTCCGCCATATATATTATCATTTTTGCAAAATGGAAACAAAAATCTGTAAAGTAATAATAATAAGAATAAATAAGAATTGACGGTTAGTTAATGCATTATTGCGCTAAAATTTCCTATTGTTAATATTGGTTTATTAGTAATATTGACTTTATTCAGATTAACTTCATTGGTTCAATTGGTGGTTTTCCATTTATAGTTTATGAGGAAACTAAAAGTAAGCCATTGGTTATATTGACGGTTGCTTTAAAAAAAAATCTGAATTAATGATAATATAAATAAATTAGAATTGACAGTTAATTAATGCATTAATGTACTAAAATTTTCTATTTTTTTTAACATTCGTTTATTAGTAATATTAATTTCATTCAGATTCAGTTCATTGGTTCAATTGGTTTTTTTCTATTTATAGTTTTTGCGGAAACTGAAAGTAGGCCATTGGTTATATTAACTGTTGCTTGTTAAAAAAATTGTAAACGAATAATAATAAGAAAAAATAAGAATTGACGGTTAATTAATGCATTAATGCACTAAAATTTCCTATTTTTGTTAACATTCGTTCAATAGTAATATTGACTTGATTCAGATTGGATTCATTGGTTCAATTGGTGGTTTTTCCATTTGTAGTTTATGCAGAAACTAAAAGCAAGCCATTGGTTATATTTACTGTTGCTTTAAAAAAAAAATCTGTAAATTAATAATAATAAGAATAAATAAGAATTGACGGTTAATTAATGCGTTAATGCAGGGGTTCCCAATCTTTTTTATCCCGCGGCGCAGTTACAAATTTAGTACTTTATCACGGCGCCCTGCTCTTTAAAAAAGAAGAAATAGGCACCTATAATAATTGTTTATGATAGTAGTTAGGTTAGATAGGATTATAAATTAAAACACTTACAATCAAACAGACTTTTTAATATTATAAAATAATTAAAACTGGAAATAACTTGTGTATTTCTTAAGTCTTATGAAAAACAAAAATAAAATATGTACGATTGTCAGTCAAATCAATGTGATGGGTGAGCTTGGTGATATGCACACAGTTTTTCAAAGCGGGGAATAAGACTTGACACTGCTACTCTCATTTCTTTCTCCACATTGATTCTCGAGCGATATTTGTTCTTAATTACAGCTACAGCTGAAAAACCAGACTCGCATAAATATGACGTTGCAAACGGAATGAAAATTCTTAAAGCTTTTGAAGCTAAATTTGGATATTCATTTTGAATTGATAACCAAAACTCCAACAAGTCGGAAGTGATGAATCTAGTTTTAAGACTGCTGTCGCAAGAGAGCTCAATGAGACTCTCTTCATCTTGTGATGTGAACCCTGGTGGAGCTTGTGCGTGGAAAGGATCTTTGATCCATGCAAATTTTTCAACATCATCATCTTTAAAGTACGCCGAAAACCATTCGCTGAGCTTCAATAGGTGTTCCGTGAAGAGGGCAATCAGGTCTGGTGAGACAACCAATTCATTAGATGCCGCATATTTATACAGCTGCGGGAAGCAATCTTGACCGCCGCCTTCATTCATTTTATTTATCCACAACTGTAGTTTCTTTTTAAATGCCGCAATTCTCTCCGATAGTTTCAGAATGTGCGTGTTATTACCTTGCAAAGACAGATTCAAATTATTTAGTTTCTCAAATATATCGCACAAATATGCTAGTTTTAACAAAAAGTCTGGTTCAGTAAAATATTTGGCGCTTTCATGACGTTCTTGCTGTAAAAAAGTTCGAATTTCTTCGTGTAATTCGAACACACGAAATAAAACATTTCCACGTGATAGCCACCGTGAATTGCAATAATACAGCAGGGCCGTATGCTCAGCCCCCATATCCAAGCATAGTTTTTTAAAAAGTCTGGCCTTAAGAGGCCTAGTTTTTATGTAGTTTACTACGTTAATTACAGATTCCAGTACTTGGTTAAGTTCGGAGCTCATAGATTTTGATGCAAGAGCTTCTCTATGGATGATGCAATGGGTCCACAAAGCATTCGGTGCTTTTTTACGAATAAGCGCTTGTACTCCTCCATACCTGCCAGACATGGATCGAGCGCCATCAGTACAAATACCAATACACTTTTCCCAATTCAAACCATTTTCTACAAAAAAATTGTCAATAATTTCAAATAAGTCTTGGGCCTTCGCACTTTCGGTAATGGTTTTGCAGAATAACAGATCTTCGACAATAATATTGTCAGTCAGAAAGCGTACGTAGCAAATAAGATGCGCATCATTATTACTGTCAGTAGCCTCATCAAGTTGCAAACCAAAATAATTGTTTTTGATTTTTTCTATTAATTGGTAATTGAGATCCTCAGCTATGTCATGGATTCTTCGACCGATCGTGTTGTTAGATAAGGGTACCTTGGAAATTAATTTTCCTGCCGATTCTCCAACCATAATGTTTACCATGTCGAGAGCAGCCGGTAGAATAAGCTCTTCTGCAATAGTATGAGGTTTTTTGCATTTTGCCACCCTGTATGCTACCTTGAATGATGCTAACAGTGCGTTGTTAGGTACTGAGGCTTGCTGAGTGAATACGTTTTTTGTTTTATTTAAATTTTGTAATTTTCGGTGAAAAAAATCACGCGATTTTTCAACCATAGTTGGATGAATTGTCTCAAGATGTCGCTTTAACTTACTTGGAAGCATACTTTCGGATGACAATATTTTTAAACAAAGCACACACTGCGGTCTTTCTTCATTATTAACTTCTATTGAAGTAAAACCAAAGTCCAAATAGCTATCATCGTATTTACGATATTTCCGCTTCTTTGCTTCCTTGCCATTACTAGTTGATGCATTATCACTGTCATTTGGACTGCCAACTTGTTTATTTAATAAAAATCTGTCCATTTTGCGTGAGATATTTGACGAAAAACAAAGCGAAAGAAAACACTATGACACGTCCGTCCGTCGCAGCTCGCCCGATGCTACTAAAGACTTAGGAGGGGGGGTAGGGTATCAGGGCGGCGCGGGCGTAGGTTTTTTGGCGAGTGAGAAACGCCGCGACGCGATGGTTAGTAGGTAACTATGTTTTTATAGATGCGAGGGCTCAAATAAGGTACCCGCGTATATTTGTTTCGGACATGTTTCGGATAATGAATGATGATGGACTTACGGCGCCCCTCTTTACATTCTACGGCGCACCAGGGCGCCGCGGCGCACACTTTGGGAACCCCTGCGTTAATGCATTAAAATTTCCTATTTTTGTTAACATTCGTTCATTAGTAATATTGACTTTATTCAGATTGAGTTCATTGGTTGGTGGTTTTCCATTTATAGTTTATGCGGAAACTAAACATAAGCCATTGGTTATATTGACTGTTGCTTTTAAAAAAAGTCTGTAAATTAATAATAATAAGAATAAATAAGAATTCACTGTTAATTAATGCGTTAATGCAAAAAAAAATCCTATTTTTGTTCATTAGTAATATTGACTTCATTCAGATTGGGTTCATTGGTTCAATTGGTGATTTTCCATTTATAGTTTATGCAGAAACTAAAATTTTGCTATTGAGATGTTTTTTTTTTGCAGCTATGTGTGATCCTAGAGCCGATGCAGGAACTAATGTCGAGGAACAAAGCGTACGCGCTTAGTCCCCGCGATTGTCTAAAAACCACCCTATTTCAGAAGTGGCAGAGGATCATCGCCCCGCCTGGTACGAGAGGTATCTCTTTTATATCGCACGTCGGATTCGTTCATTTTTGCTCATGGGCAGTTTGTTTCGGTGTTGGCCAAATTTGTTGTTCACATTGGCAAACATCTCAACAAAAATGAAATAATCCACGCTCATTTCCAATCGCACTGTTCCCTCTTTCTCGCCCTACCCTTTAGGTTAAGCATTTGGCATGCCTACTAGCCTACTTATCGGTATATTGTTTATGTTTATATTTTTTGTTAAGTAGAATCCCAGAGGCCGGCGAATAAGCGGAGAAAACGCAAAGGCTCGAATTCTGGCGGGGCTGCCAACAACGCGACCCCAGCGCCCAACAAAAAACGGTCTCCAGGTCCGAATTTTTCCCTGGCGTCGCAGGTAATTTGCCCTTTTTAAATTTCCAGTGTTTTTTAAATATTTCAAAAGTCAACAGGCACAAAAAAAGAAGTTTTTAAATAATTCAAATCACGCAGCTCAACATGAAAAACGTGGGAGAGTTAAAAAAAAATTAGAATGTGGTATTTCAAAAAAAAAAGGTAAACAGTAGACCAATATCGTGGGGTATCTAAGACAAAAATAATAATATTGATTGAGCAATATGTGAATACATGCAAGTTGAAATTGCATTATATACTTTAATAATTAAATCTTATGCGCGGTACTTTTATCACAAAAATGTTTGGTGCTTGATGCTTGATTATTTTGTTTTCGAAAGTTGTGTTGTTTATTGTTTTATAATACTATTCAATTTTCATTTTTTAAATAGCTAAACTTATAGATTTTTTAAAAAATCTGGAATCACTAGACTTGCGATGAAGGAGTGAGCCTTGTGTTTAAAGTTTAAAATTTAATATTTAAACTAAATACATTATTTCCACATTTAATAGTCATCTTCGTGATTTCGACTTTACATTTTTCAGTTTCATAAAACCTATAAGTTTATGAAAACAAATGCTCTGCGGTTTTTGATGTCCTGGAGAAAAACAGGTTCATGGATCTGGCTTGAAACTGCATTTTTCTTTGTGAAATCATGACAGCATTAAGGGATTGCCATCGTGCTAAATTGACAATAACTGTTTACAAAATCAAAATCCATGAATTAGTAGTTTGATAATAAAGTCGCATTAATGAAAATAATGTCTCCTAAATTTTTTCATTTTTGGAAATTGTTCCGTTAAAGGATAAATAAAAAAAAATTGAAAACCGTCCCTCCAGACAGTGTTTTAAATTTTAAACCATAAATAACTTGGGGTAGTGATCTGTGATTTGACACTGTCTAGAGTTTCATCGTGTTTTTTTTTAACACCGTTTAAATATAAATATAGATTTAACTACAGATTTAGATATTATAATTACACAACTCAGACCTCGCTCATTGTTGGATGGAATGCGGTTTCGTTTGTTTAATTTTAGTTTGCTGAGACTACGTGTATATTAATTTCCAGGACGTGATGGTAGTGGGTGAACCCTCTCTGATGGGCGGCGAGTTCGGCGACGAGGATGAACGGCTGATCACCCGATTGGAGAACACACAGTACGACGCGGCCAACTCATTAGATCATGAGAACCACGGGGGGTTCCACACTGCCGACTCGCCCATGGCGGGTTCCAACTCGTGGGGCGCGCCCACCCCCGCCGCGAACGACAGAGGCGGCGTGGCTGGCCCGCCTCAGGGCTCGACCCCTTCTAATCAGGACTCTGATAAAAAATCTCCGGCAGTGAGTCAGTGATGACAAAGGACCAGCCATAGTCTCAACTTTTTCTTCTTTTCTACTAGGTAGAATGAAACGTGAAAGTTTTTTGTTTGTTTTTTTTTTGTTTGAAGGAATCTCCCCAGTCAGTATTTCAAGCCAGTGGACTTTTTAACTAAAAAGTATAAAAATCTCTATTGTTTTTTAAATACCGGTACTTACAAATAAACATTCGATAAACCAAGTGCAAGAGTAACGAGAGTGACGATGTTGGTGATGTTAAATTAGTTGGAAATTAGGTGAAACGAAGAGAGAGTGTTTTTTTTACAGTTTCGCAGTGCTTCAGTGCAGTCAGTGATAAAATGATAGATGGTTTATTTGCGGGTTCAGAAGATGGCTCCTATTCATGGGTTTTATTTGAAAAATATTAAATTTTGCCTGTAATTCTCAAACAAAATATGTGTTCATTACATTTTGGTAATTAATAAAGTTAATTTTCACTGGCATTTGTCAGTCTCTCCGATAAAATGGGCAAATTATTTATTAATTTTTATGGCTGAATTATGCGTTATGTAAATGGCGATGTTGCGTAACATATCTATCAAATGTATTGTTTAAAATGTGCTGGTTATCATTTTTGAACAGTTAAGGGGGGGTAAATAAAAATTGAACATGTATATTTTACACATTGTACATAATAATTGTTTAAAATAATTATGAAACTATTTCATAAGAAAAATTCACCAACTTGAGGTTATTATTATTATTATTATTATTATTATTTAATAATAACTCAGTATGTTGGTGCTAAAAGTCACCTAGGTTTCAATAAATTCTCGTGAAAACTATAACTGTAGGTCAATGAAGAAGAGAAACATTAATAATTATTAATTAATTATTAATTAATAGTATATTAATTGCTTTACTGACTTCATATTATTTTATTTTTATAGTAATTTTGTTGCAATGTGTTATTTGTTTGGGGATCTAATCAACAATTCTACTTCAGAAAAGTTAACCAGCCATTTAATATTTTTGAATCCGTGATATATTATGGTACTCCATTTTTATGCCTATCGGGTGTTTATTTTTACCAAAAATATAACGAAACCGTCATTATGTCGTCTTCTGGACCATAACTTGCACCGGAACAGTGCAATCCGACTTTTATTTATTCGATGATAATAGGACGTTTGCTTAGAAAACGAGTGGATTAAATATTATTTTATAAACGGATGATGGCAGCTCGATTTTTTGTATAGTAGCGTAAAATGAAAACAAAGCATCACAATTTTTGTCGTCGTTGTCGTCAGGTTTTTGGAACGTCGATCCTCCCCGGTAACTCGTATTGGGACTGTAACTATGACTACAAATATCTAATCATTTACAACCGGTATAGTTGATAGTGCAATATTACATATAAATTGTTTTAATGGGTAAAAATGAATTATAGACATTAAAAATTGCATCTGACCTGTTTCGTCTCATAATTCTATCACTTCCTTCCTTCCTGCAGTCAATTGACGCACAATACAATACACAATCAGTCCCATGAAGAACATTTTTGAGATAATCCCACAACCTGCAATTAGACTCGCTTGACTTTTGCTACTAATTAGTTAATCAAAATTTTGACAAATGAGGTAACAGAATGGTTGATACTTGTATTTTTTATTTTTTATCTTGGTTTAAATGTTACTATGTTCATAGTTTACTTAATATTACATTGCATCATGTATTAGGGTTGATAGGATTTTTTTTTTGGAAAATAATTTTGTTCAGTTGCAATTTCCTGTCAAAATTACAGTCCCGATGCGTCCAGAGATTGGGGAATCTCGGAAAATTTTCTGTTTGTATGGAACGTTTTGGGGAAACAATAATTTAAGTCCAAACTAATAATGTTCAGTATAATTATGTGGGTGTCAAAACTTTCGCACACACGTAGCTATGCTATGGCAACAAAAATTTTATACACAGGTGATATATATCCTTGGGTTTTATTGTATCATTAACAAATAACACATTTTTCCAAAATGTTCCCCCTAAAAATTTTGTAATTGGGTGTCACAGTATCTGTCAACGCTGGCACCTACGTCTTAGGATCAATTTTGTATAGTGAAAATAAAAACTTTAAAACATATAACATACATAATATAAATATTATGTCCACTACAAGGAGTATGTCGTGTTGATTTTACATACTATTCATGATGTATGTATTTTGTAAGTGCGAGAGGGTGAATGTGTTTCTTTTTTTTATTTTTTTTTAGAACTTTTTTAAGGTCACCTTACTTGGATTTTGGATAAAAGTGGTTGTATTTCAGTGTATAATTTATTACTTATAGTTTAAAAATAAAGTAATATCTCAGTAATGTGTTGTGTTTAAATGATTTTAACCCGTTATAACTCGAATGAATGATTATTTAAGCAAGCTAGCTAGTTCTATTAAGAATGAAAATGAAAATAAATGTTGAATTTAAGAAAAAAAAGGAGATATAGGTACTGTGTTTCATAAATATCCGTTCTCGTTTTGTTCTAAGTTTGTTCAACAAAAACTGTTTTCACTTTAATAATATTTATAAAGGAATTTTTACTCGTTTACATTAAGTACAGTGTTAAGTGTTATAAATTAAAAAAGTATATGTTTTAAAAAGATAATTATTTAGTTGAAAACTTTGATTCAGTAATACCCTTTTTATAAATGAAATGTGTTGGTTGTGTCAAATTTCTTTTATGATGAGATGTTCGAAGGTGTTTTATCTTCGAGTCTGTAATTTCAGAAACAGTGTAAAGTTGCGTATTTTGAAAAACCGGTGACCGATAAGTGTACTTCGGGAAATACTGCTGGCCTTTTGAGTTACACTTTTCTTCAGATGGATTACGATTTTAAAATAGGTTGCAAGTTCACCAAAATTTCCTATGAACACATTTTCATGATTCAATAGGAAAATTATAATTTGGTATGCATAAGTTGAATTTAAAAACTTATTATGAGACAAATGTTTATCCTAATTTAAGGACTTGTTTTGTTTATACTATCTTGGCATGTTCTCTTAATATTTACTTATGAAACTTTAAAAATGTGTGAATATGTTCCATTTACTGGTATCCGAAAAGCAATTCACTGTTCCATACTGGTTTCTTGGTTTGGATATGATATGATAGCCGAAGAGAGCTCAGTTTTTCGTGTGAATTCTTTGTTATTTACTTTATTTCATTATATTCATTTACAAATTTCATTATAATGATTATATCTCTCCTATTTTTGTAGAATAAACAAAATATGCTTAAGAGAAAGTATAAAAAGTTATAAATATATGAAATTAACTTTTAAAAAATAAATTAAGAAATTACAATTAATTTCCCCTTAAAATTGTAGTAAAAGTCGTCGCCAGGCAACGACCATTTCATAGGTCGATGACAAGCGACATATTCAGTGTGTGCTTTAATCATCGCCAAATAATTGAATAAGAACGTGTTTTCAATGATGGATTCGCTCTTGAACAAAATAGGCAATCTCTCTCAAGAAGAAAAAGACGATTTTTACAAAACTTTAGCTTGGTGGGAAATAGATGATGCGGAAATAGACCTTAATCAAGTGAAAGCGGCGTTTAAGGCTGCCCAACATCTGCTTCGGGAAAAAGAACAGCAAGTCGAGACTCTTTTACATGAATTGGACGAACTGGCTGTAAAAAAAGCTGAAGATGAGGGTGTCCTAACTACTGCCAAGTCCTTTATGGGTGGAGGTATTGAGTACGAAAGTGAGTGGGTTAGGTATTTTTCATAAGAATTTAACGTAAAACTAACACAAAGCAAAAGGAAAAAAATACTATATTAGTATATTAGTTTGAACATCCACTTGACTTTTGGCGGTCAAGGATAAAAATAATGGTAAAAGAAATGTGTTGCAATGATTATACTAATTCTATTTTACTATATGGTTTGCACATGGTAGTAAATAAATAAAAGTGCAAAGTCAATACTAAACAAACTATTCCTCGTCGAGAGCGGTAAAAAAAATTATTACTAAAGTGGCCAAAAGAAAACCATGACAATATTTTCAAATTTCTAAAATGGTCGCCAGGGGGCGTCACCGCCCACTTAAATTTTAAGATTTTTCTCGGAAATCCACCTGGTTGAAAGTACCAGGAAATATATGATTTTAAAGCTCAATTCGAGTGATTTGTGTTTATCACTTTTTGGTCTATCTATTAAAATAAAGTGGTGGGACATTGTTTTTTTTTTAAATTAATATTGCTACATCAAACGCAATTTACCTGCGTTTGATGTAGCCATCGGGCTAGAGCAAAAAATATAGTGAAACGACACCTAAATAGTCTAATAGCTTAAATTTTTTTAGCATTTAAACATATGTTAATATTATATTAATACTCTTATTTATTCTGATATATTTGTTTTATGGTAAAATTTCATATATTTATAACTTTATAATAATACTAATAAATTTACAATAAAAGTACTCTTGGTATGAATAATTTAAAAAAAAAAACGTGCAGCAGTTTAATGATCAATTGCAATTGAAGGAGAAAATATTTTCCATGGTTTTCGTTTGGCCGCGCAACATGTTAATCATTTTTAGATTTAGAACAAGAACATTCAGAGCTCCGAGCAAAGTTCAAGAAAGTTACACAGGAAAACGAAAAATACGTGGCAGAATTCAATCTCGTAAGTTGTTACATAACTTGCTGGTGCCTAAAATGTATTGAATTGAATTCGTATGACCAGTAATATCAAACGGCTGATAAATAAATAGCTAATATCACTTCGCTCTCTTTCCCCTTACTGTGATTCTCACTTTTTAATTTTTAAAATCGATATTACGCTAACTAACTTAATAAATGAAAGTGAAGGTGATATAACACTTCACAAAAAATACAATGTAAAGTATTAATTGCCCCTAATAACCAATGTTTGAGCTGCTCCTTACAAAAATTTTGTATGCACAAGTACATTATAAAGAAAAATATAAATAGACGGTGGTTTAATAACTTGTACGGATTTAAAAAAATAGGAAACAGGAAAATGAAGTGAGGTGTTCAGTGGTATCATTAGCAAAATGAAATGTTGATATTGCCCTTCTTGCATCTTAACTATGAAGTTAAAAGATAAACCTGGTGTTCCCAAAAGTCACCACAAGGATGAAATATTAATTAGCTAATATTGATGTAGCAAAAATAATTTTAGCTGAACAAAAAAATTAAAAGACTAGAAAAAGAAAACGAGCGACTGGAGAAAGAAGTACAGGCCCGAATACATGATGAAAGCGATTCGGATATATCAGAATCATATAAGCAACAGCAGCGCGAGCTGACTAGTCTAGTTCAGAGTAAAAACCAACAGCTTTCGGAAATTTTGCGAGATATTGAAGTAAGTTCTCTACGTAAGACAAACATATTTTTATCTTGGACTACTTTTAAGTTAAAACGCGTGGCGGTTAATTAATAATTAGAGTTTTAACATTTTGAGCAAACAATTATTAATGAATGACTCCGTATACTAACAGTATGGTATCGATTTTAAATTATTTTAGGACGTCGAAAATGAAAACACCGTACTTAGGGAAAAATTATCAACCCTCAAAGAAGAACTGTTCAATGCGACCAATGAAATAGTGTCATTGACTGAGTCTTTGAAAGCTAAGGATTTAATAGCTGAAGAAAATGCGGGTAAGGCGTGGATAGCAAGTAAAGATCGCTTCTGACTCGCCAAAGCATAATAAATTGTTTTTTGTGGATATAAAAATCGTTGGTTGTTTTAATTCTGATAAAATTAAATCGAATGGGAAACAAAAATTACAAATTACTAAACAAAAATAGATATAGGTTGATCTCTGATAATTACAGATAACTATCGCGTCATTATTGTCCACAATTTTTGTTGCATTATCCTATTCGAAAAAAAAAGTTATTTCACAGAATATCCAAGTGACAGAAACCGTTTGAAGGGCCGGATTTCAGTAAGTCCGTTCCTAAAAATGATTTATACTATTTTTCATTTTACCTTCACTTCTTGTTTTATATCTACCTACCATGGTTTTAAAAAATCTTGTATGACACTCGAGAAATATTATTATTAATGATGACATGACCTTAAAGCTGCACTAGTCAAGGCGTCGGCACTGGTGGAGACCTTAGAGTGTGAATTAGATGACGTGAAAAAGGAAAAATTGAAGCTGGAACGCGAAATAGCCGAATTTTCGACGGAGGTCGAATCAAAAGTCGATAAATGGAAGGTAAAAGTAGCCACCATATTTTTAAACTCTTGAAAAAATTGAAACAGCGCCTTGCAGGAAGTAATCGCCAGCAAAAACGCCGAGATCGAACAGCTTAAGAGATTTCGGAACAAAATAGTAGTCGACAGCGCTGAAAGTTCCGGTTCGGAAGGTGAAATCCCCTACCTCAGGGACCTCCAAAATGTCATCTCGCATCGAGACGCGCAACTGATGGAGTTGAAATGTCAGATGGCGAGGTCCACGAAAGATATGACGGAAAACGCAGAGATGTTAAAAGACCTAAGGCAGCAAAACGAGCTTAAAAGCGCCAAGTTGGAAGAACTGAACAAAACGGCGACTGAATTAAAAATGCAGTGCAAAAAAGCGCACGAAAGGTGCAGCAATTTGCAGGAGAGGGTGAAAAACGCGGAGGATATGGCGAACTTTAAAAGTAACGAGGTTAGCGACATATAGTTTTTTCTTTAATTTTGAATGCAAAAAGTGTTGAAAGAATTGTTTTCGTGCGATGAACAATGGTAAGGCAATCTTGGGCTGGTTAACTCTGTTGGCGGCATTCACGCTTCTAACCGCGTTGATGGGAGATCTTCAATTGTGAGTGTGACTGTTCAACTTGAATCGTACGTTAAAAAAGAATATTTTACCTAATAGCCTACATGCAGTTCTGAAATGTGATATTTTCTATTTTAAAAATATAACAGATTTTTTTTGGAAAATCACTACATAAAATTAAGTGTTGATATTTTATAAGGGTGTCCTAAATAATGGCGGTAAAAAATATCACTAACGCGGCCAAATGAAGACCGTCGAAAATATTTTCAGAATTCCAAGACGGTCGCCCGAGGGGATGGGGGTCACAATTATTTAAACTATAATTTTTGCCTGAAATCCAACTGGAAAATGTACCTAAAAAAAACATGATTTTAAAGCTAAACTCCATTCGAGGGATTTTTTTATAGATACACAGATTAGATAGTAATTGTTGTTTACATTATCAACGTTATTGAAAAAAAAAAGGTTTTTTTTGGAAAATCACTTCATAATTTTAAATGTTACCATTTCAATTTCAAATATTTTAGTAAGTTATCTACAATATCTCTATTTATGTCTCATCGCTGGCAAATTGATAACAAAGCAGATTATTCGCATGAAATGGTACCATAAAAACGAAAGAACGCAAGGCTATAGTTTAAATAGTTTTAAAACACGGTTTCTAAAAAGCAAAAACGAAAATGGGTTTATGAAAATTTGAGATAAAAATAAGTTATATCGATCTAATAAAGCGAGAATCACCTTCTCATCGGCGTAAATGCTTAATGGTAGTAATCAATACCGTTCAAAGATTTTCCGTTCATGTAAAAAATGTGTTTATATTTTTAAGAAAAACTCATGCCCAAAAAATTAAGTACTTGTCAGGTATTTCATCTCCATTTATAGGTAGGTTATGTACTTGATCGGCAATCAAAAATAGCTTACGAATTACATTATTTTGTCGAGACGACATACATAGTGATATGACATTAAAGCCCACCACCCGCAAAATTTAATTATTAGCACGCAATATCTTCGATTTGGCATCGTTTAAAGTTTTAATGATTTTAATTTTCAAATTCAAATTAATTGGAAGCTTCAATATTATTCAAAAGATTGATTTTCGATTATCTGACTTTGAGAGAACAAGTTCTACCATTTTTCAATTCACTTTTCAGTTAAAAAGAATTTTAAAAGAGCTAAAAGACAACGGCCAAGAGGATTTAGCTCAAAAATTAACCGAAATTCACGCGCTGAAGACCCAAAACATTTTGCAAGAGCAACAGATCGCCGGCCTGGTCGCTGCCGTCAATGATCTCCGACAATCAATAGACGAGTTGGAAAAAGAAAATGCGATATTAAGGTGGATGCGAACTTGCTTAAGGCGCGTGGATTAATATTTTCTTCCTTGTAGAAACGAGCTCGGTATCGACGACCTCGATGACATTTCACCGTCCCCTTGCAAGTACAATACAAAACGAACCAAGCACAGAAACGATATCGAAAAACTCAATCGCAAACTAAGCAGCATGCAAGAGGAGAAAGTCCAACTTAAAATGATCGTGAAAGATCTGAAGAGGAGAAACTCAGAACTGTCAGATCAGTTAATCGAGTTGGGTCACAAACCGATCGGAAAAGAGAACGATCAACCAAAATCTACAGCACGTAACAGTAAAGAACTCGGAGATCAGATCAGAGCTTTGAGCGAGGAGAACGAGGCGCTTAGGAAAGGCCTTCATGAAATTTTGAACAGCGTTAACGTCAAAAAAGGTAAGAAAAATATCAAATGATCTAGAAGTTGATTCGAGAGTGCAGCAGTTTACGCTATCCGTTTTTGTGTCAGAATCTTCCGCTAAGGAAATCAAGTCGGAGGTTTTGGAACGTCTCTTAAAAGCACTGGATGTTAAGCACATCTCAGGTTGGTACCACCCTGCTATGCGGCTTCAAGCGGAGCTACGTTCGGTGGAAGGCGCAAATAGGGAGCTTCGAGATCAGCTTCAACAAGTTAGGATGGAGCTCGCGGCTAACAAAGTTAACGAAGAAATATCAGTTGGTCGGAACTTGGAAGTTGATGTGCAGAACATCGATGATGTGGAAAAAGTCGATTCGCCCAGGAAAACTTCCATTTTTGCTTCAGTCATCGGCCAAAGTCATCCCGATATCGATAGTTTGAAGCTACACGTTCTGCAAATACTCGTGGTAATAACATAGCAACGATCGGCTTGAAGTTCGTTATCCAAAAAAGAAAAAAAATCTAGTTTCTACGACAATTTTTTTAAAAACGACTTTTTTGCTATATGTTAAATATCATCAGAAGTCATCTTGCGGTTTGGGAAATATGTATCAAACCACCTTTCCCTAAAATCCTTTTCAATAGCTCCATATTCGCGATAAAAACTTATGCCCCCCTTTACTGTTTGACCGATTTTTTTTTGAAATTTGGAAACGCAATAAATTAAAATCGTGAAATCCAATGTAATCTGGCATGTAGAGTATTGTCAAAAAGATACAATTTTTGACCCACTAGAAGTAGTTTTTGGTTGCTTTGTTTTCGAGAGAACAAATAAAAATTATGAAAAGTGGTTAGTTCTAAAAAATTAGTACTAAACAAAATAAAAATGGCCATCATCAGTTTCTTGTCAGCTATCCCAGGATTTTAAATATTTTCTGGATCTGCGTTTATATAAACCTTATTCCTGTTTTTTTTTGTGGACAAATCTCCGACATGTTTTTTGAAACACCCGGTATAAAGAATATCCCAACTACTTTTTATAAAACTGCTGGATTCCTCCTGCGTCGGTTTTTGTTGAGTCGAACTAGCTAACGTTTCGCAAATGTACAGAGCCGTAAAACTATCTCAGCCTGAGTCATTGAACCCAGAATTAAAACATCTTACCTTTGCTCTTTTCTCTAATAATTTCCACATTAAAGATATTAAGCGTTCCATCACAAAATACACATCAAGCAATCAATTCTTCTACTAACGAAAAATCCGAGAGTCTATACAAACTTATAAGCAACCTAACAATCTTAACCGCGACTCAGGTCTTTACCATGTCATCAATATGGGAATCAGTTATCCGAGGCGGTGTTTATGCCCCTCATTTAGCTCCGCCTCCTGAAACAATACAAAAGCAGGCACAGAGCAAAATGCGAGCTTGTTTCAGTCAAGCTCTGAAGAAGTCAACAGGATGACTGGCGAAACGTTAGCTAGTTCGACTTAACAAAAACCGACGCAGGAAGAATCCAGAAGTTTCATAAAAAGTATTACTTAACTATTACAAAATTAAAGAAATTATAAAAATAAAAGAAATGGAAACAAAAAAATATATATAAATTTGTTAAACTTTTTGCTTTAAAAATGCTTATTACTGAAACGGCTTTTAAATAACATTCAGGCATGAAGTTCGTATTAAAAAATAATCGATAATTGTATTCGGTAAAGTGTGCTTTTTCAGCTATTGAATGAAGATAACGTCGAATCGAAACTGGGCGAAGAATTTGCGACATTGAAGAAATCACTAGACTCTTTGCATAACGAATGTAATTCCCAAAGGAGAACACTGGAAGGAGAGCTCGAAGAGGCCCACCGAAAAATACAGACTCTTGTCGAAGAGACCGCACAAGGAAGCTGCAATTCAACAGACGATGCAGACTTGAAAGAGAAAGTGGTGGTGTTGCAGAGGAAAGCCACTTATCTTCAAAAACATGCAGATCAAGTCGTATCAGAGAGGGAGCATTTTATAAAAGAATGCTCTCGTACGCGCCTTGCCCTCTCGAAGAAAATTACTGAGCTGGCTAGTAAAATTCTACGATTGCAAACGCGCATCAAGATACTGCGCGAGGAAAATACGAATCTGGTACCTTTCGAGGATCACAAAAAACTCGAAAGTATTTTAGAAGAGACTTTGGGGAAGCACAGGAAACTGATCGCGGAAATTAAGGAGCAAAGCAAGCAAGAGTCGCTCGAAATGCAGCTGCTGAGAGCGTCTCAGAGTAATTTGGAGGGCGAAAAGGCGGAGCTTAAGGCGCGATTAAAGGAAGCCCTGGCGCAAGCCTACGCTGGAGCCGGCGAAGATACGAAAAACTTGGCGGAAAAACTGGCCGAAAGTCAAGTGAAAGAGATTTCCGAAAGCCAGAGGGCCGAACACACCAACAACTTGTACGAGTTAGTCAAGGAGCAGCTAAACAAATCGGAGGACAAGTTCAAGGAGTTCTCTAGATACGGTGAAAATCTTTTGCTGAAAAATCTAACTCTACAGGAACAACTGAAAGACGCTGAAAACAAACTGTTGTCGTGTGTGGATCGTCAAGCGTATAAAAAGCTTCAAGATATGTCGAACGAGTTGCTTAAAGAGAAGGATGAGCTCAGCGTCGAAGTTATGCGCCTGAACGAGGAATTGCACACTAAACGACAAGAATATGCTCTGGAAATGACGTGGAACGACTCGAAGGAACAGGAACTCCTCAATTTGAGGCACCAGATCGTGGATTTGGTTGCTGTATCGGAGGAGAGGATTCTGGTGGGTCAGCTTCACGCCGATCTTGCTAAGGAACGAAGAGAAAGGGAAGAGAAGGAGATGAAGATAGAGGCCGCTTTTGTGGAGACTAACGAGTGGAAAGACAAGTACGAGCGTTTGGTACAGCGTACAGAAACCGAAACATCTGAGTTTTTGGTGCAAAAACTCAATGCAGACAAAAAAAACAGGTAGATTTAGAATTATTAGTTTGGTTAATTGTGTTAATTAAGTTGGTGGGTTATTTAGGATAATTCGTGTCACAATGATTTTCTTTTTTCTTCTCCATCCTCACCTTCATGGTCTAATAAATAGATAATATTACCTTACCAATATTTTACATGTGTAGTTTTCACAAAACGCAGTTAAGCACTTTAGGTTCATTCAACTGGAAATTTAGCTAGGCAACTTACCATAACTTATTTTCAAATATATTATAATATACTAAAACATTTTACTACTGGTAATAGGACGCCATTTGGTGTTTCTTTAAGGATACTACAAGATCTGCTGCTCAAAAAGAAAGCTCAATATTTCGGTAGCACTCCTCTGTGCGTAGACGAAGCGTTTCTAGAAACGCTACGAACCGTCAACGCCCAGAAACACGAAACATTCTTGCGCTTACTGAAAGTCAAAGAACTAGAGTCGGAAAATGCCATCCTGAAGCACAAATTCGAAACTCGACTTGAAGGAAAAACGACGGAGAAAATTACTGACGAGAATATGGTAAGAGTGGTATAAGAGCGGCTACGTTAAAGGAGACAAAATAAAGATACCTTTGATCGTAGGAGTTCCAGCTGAGCCGCCAATGCGAATTCAAGGACGAACAGATCGGTTACCTGACGGAAAGGATCGGCATCCAAGATCGCCAAATCGCCAAACTGGAAGAGGAACTGCTGGTGTCGTACAAAAACTCTGACATTGCCTTCACCAGCGCTAAACGCCCCAGGTCGGTCAAGCTCACAAGGAGCATCGTTTGTCAAGAATCGGTCAACCCAACGCCTTGCGCGGTGAAGATAATGAGGAACGTGGAAAGCCAAGCGAGCTTCGACGTGGCGCCACGTAGCGAAGCCGATCAGATGCTCCTGGTGAACGATCTCAGAGCACAAATCGCGAATCTACAGTCGGGATGCGCGCAAAAGGAAATGATTATATCTCAGTTGAATAGGAGCATCGCGGATCGGGACTTGTCCAGAGCCTCTCTGGAGCGGCAAATCGAAGAGAAACAGATGCAGGTGTCCTCGATGGAGAAGCGTCTCCAAGAGTTCAGAGAGGGGGAAGTTAAGAGTCAAAGCGGCGCCGGGGATGGCGCTTCCATCGGATCGACGAATTACAAGGAAGAGACGGTAATGTTGAAGGTAACTAAACCATGTGGAGTACATTTGGAGAGACAGGTTAAAAGCACGCCACTTTTTTACAATGTTTTGATCAACTTTCCGAATATTTATAAAAATTCAAGTTCCCCATCTCTCCTTCTTTTGGGTGTCCTAACATATTTTATAAACCTTGAATGGTTTGGTTTGGATGGTCTAACTCAGTGGTTCCCAATCTGTTTTGTGTCGTAGACCCCTTGGCATGTTTTTTGTTAATTAGTAACTGTAGTAAAGTTTAGTATTAAAAACTTAAAGTAAAAACACATGTTAAGTTTTATACAAACAAGCAATGAGTAAATGTTTTTAGTGGGTTGGATGAACCTGACGCTTTAATGATAAATTATCACATTTGGCGTCAATTTGGTAAGGTTAGTCTTAAATCTCCTCAGCTAATTATGTCCAGTCTGTTTCTCTTTTTCGAGTTGGTAACACCGTTAAACCCCTTTTCCATTAGGTACGACGATGGAAAGGAAATTATAATTTTTTCCGCTATATTCCATAATACGGGACAAGTTTTTTTTGTAGCTAAAATTGCTGATATCCGTTTTTAAACTGAACTTTAAGTTCTTTGTTTGTACTTAATTCAATCACTGCTTCTTGGATTATGACATTCGTTTCTTCCATGTCATTATATGGGTTAATTCTCCACGGTGGTATTACCATAGTCAAAACATCCTCAAATCTAGGGCCTTTAAATGTTGAACGTAGGTTGAAACGTCGTTTTCCCGTCTGTGACTAATTGGCTAACTGGGAAAGTTCGCCTAGTCTAATATTTTGCATCATTAGTTTAACTCTGACAAGAAACGCTGATAAGATGGACTTTGCTTTAATTAGGATTAGACCTGTAACTGCTAATTGACAATATTAAATTTTGTAAATAAATTTCTTAAACACGTGATGTCTGTTTTCGACAGCCAGCGTACTTCATTGTGAAGAAGTAATTGATGGAAGTGATCGTCATTTTCTTCACACAATGGCGTAAATAATCGTTCGTCTCGCATTCGTACTTATAGAGTGACGAATTGAACAACTCGGTGCAAGTTCGCGAAGCTCGGAGACAAAAATTGACAAGAAGTTTTACTGCGCGTATGTTAGTAACAAGATGATACTGTTATATTATTTTTACAAGTACAATATTTATTACAACCACCATGTGAAGGCCTACATCCTACCACTTACACAATTTTATAAACACATATAATATTTTTTTTTACTTTATAGGTACTTGTATACATAAGGCCTTCATATTATAACATTGTATAATGCAAGTAAATAGATAATATCAGTGTATGTTGAGATTCGCTATCGTGTACCCCCATTTTAATTTCATGGACCTTCAAATTTTTTTTTTCGCTACACCCCTTTCGGGTTGTCATAAACCACTGGGGTTCGATATAGATCACTTTGGGAATCACTGGTCTGACTAAATTGTGCCAACTGACCGGTTTCTTAAAACTTGTCTCCCATGTATTAACCTAATTTTGCATTCTTAGTCGAGCTTAAGGTCATTGCAAGATAATGTGGCCCAGAAAGATATTGAAATAATGATGTACCAAACGCTTCTAAAAGAGGATAGGGACAAGCATAGTCTGGCCGCTGCCAATTTGCAACACGAGCTGCAGGTGTTGCAAAAAGCTCTTCTACAAGAAAAACAAAAATGCAAAGGGTAAGATCCACTAAAACCATTGAAATTTTGGCCTTCCTTCTTTGTTCTGTGGCATTTACTATATCCACTTTGTTATCACCAAAGGGCCTACCTCAATTTTAATAACTTTTCAGGAGAATGGTTTAAAGTAAACTAGAGTGCTTATTTTTGCTGTATCGCAGGTGCTATTAGCTTATTTTACTTTATTTCTTAAAAGCAATGTAGGTAGGTCAATGTAGAATAATTTTGGGTTCGACCTAACTTACGCTGATCCTTCTTAGATCTGTGCGTTTGGTTCCAAAATTAAGAAACATTTGATACCTTTTATTTATTGACAAGTCTGCGTACTCCTGGGAACTATTTTGTCGACAGTAATGGGATTCCATATGGGGAATATATGTTGCTAACAATGTTCCTTAAAATTTTATCATTGTCCGCCGCTGATTCATTACGACCACCTCGTTTTTCTTCGTCCAACACACCAGAATATTATTTACAAACATTTTACGACAAACTTGAACTCTTTTGCTCCCTAAAGAAAGATAAAAGAAGTTCGTATGAACACGGCTCGATTCACTTCCATTTTTTTGTTCTATAAAAAGCGTAATAAACTCTCGCTACAATATTTTGTATCTTAGTTCTTCACTAACGTATCGGAACTATTTTCTTGGTATCTCCAGAACAATATTTTTTGCCTCTATCCCCAAAGGATTTTGCAAGTTTCTTCTTATTTACCCAAGATTTCTTTTCATGATGTTCCATTGGTGATGCTTCAACTAAGAAGTCCTCCGGTTTTTTCTTCTCACATTGCAATTTTTTAAGTGTTTTGGTTTTCTGCAACTAGTTTTATTTGTCGTCGTCATTATCTATTTTTAAATGCGCATCACAATTCGGTGCAGTGCTTCATAAATTTGTCGGTATGTTGGATCGCAGTGGTGATTTACATTATGATGGGGTTCGTCCGATTCACTTACTCCTAAACTTGTTGAACAAACATTTTGGCACCGCGTATTACGTTAGTAAACTCCGCTAATTGAGTGTTACTAGTGGTTTAACTTTCAAGAACACTGTGGTCACGCAAACACTTTTCACCAAAATGCTTATCGGCTAGATTATCGTTATGCGATGCATCGGAAGAATACTCGATGGTTGGTGACGTTTCAACCATTGTTATTTTTCCGTAATACCATAGGTTTTCAAAAAACATTTTCACCCGAGCGCCAATCTTGAATTTTGCATTTCTAATAGTTTTTAAACTGTCTGTATCCACAACATTAATAGTTTTATCATCCCACTGAATAGGAACATCTATTTTAAATGAGGACATCCGAAGTGGCATAATGTTATAGCGCTACTAAATATCAATACAATATTCCTACTTACCGACTTGTATAGACAAGAGTTTTCCAGCTAATTTCACTAATCGACACGCTCCAGTATACAACCTTTAAACAATGAATGAATTTCTGTCCTTACATAAAATTATAACAATTAATAATTTCCAGTTCCTAAGTAAAATTTACTATCCACCTCATACAGAAATATTATAACATAAGGGCCTATGATGCGATTGGGCTAGCAAGACGCGCAATTTTGGTCTTTACGTAAAAATATTTTTATTAATTCAAGATAGACCTTATTGTTGTAGTATTATTGTAGTTCCATAGAATGGAATATGAATAATGGGTATGACTCATTTTCACCAAAATTCGTGATAAGCACCTACGGAATAACAGCGACGATATTATGGTTATATATTTAGGGTAATTTAAATCGCCTTTAATTTCCGAAATAAGGTATGCCAATAGACCAATAATGAGATACTCACCAAGTAGAGGATGGGCTAAAAAAGTTATTATTTAAAGAAATAAAAAAATTACGACTTCTGGGCATATCTGCAAACGTTTGCACGCTAATAGACGCTTGTAAAAATTCTGCAAATTAAACAATGCTGCGTAACTTTTATTTTATAAAATAGATGTGCCGTTTACAAGTTACTGATATCAAACGAAAATATTCGGAATATTTTTACACATTAAATTATTTCCAACAAGCTGTCGCACCACCGTACAAGCACGAATTGTTAGTTTTAGTTGAGATAATGAATTAACTCCCTTGAATTTCAGTCTATGGGAAAATCTTATAGACTAGATAATATACGAGTAGTTGCCCTACTACGGCAAAAATTGATACGCCTCAGGTGGCTATGATATTTTCGTAGAGATGGACCATTTTCATTCTAAACAGGGATACCCACATACGTAACTCCTTTTTGCCTGAAGATTTAGTGTGATCTGGAATATTTTCATATAATACTGCCGTGAAAATGACTCTTTCAAACTTATTGACGATCTGTCAGCTGTCATATTGGTTGTTTAAGCAGTAAGGTCATTGGTTAAAACGAGATCTTTAATCTCGTGCATGCTCACGTCGAATGGGCCTTTTTATTTTTTTATAGTAGCTTCATTATCGGCAGGACTTTTATATCTCTAGTACGTAGAAGCTGCAGTACAAAGTGCTTTCGAAATTTTAGATTGCGATATGAAGGTAATTTTTAAACCAACTTTATAACATTATTAGAGAAAATAGTACAGCATTAAATAATGTTGGCTTTTCCAGATGAAATATAAGAAAATTTTAATTTCATGCCTGACATTTTCCGTATAAAAAGTTATTTAGGCCATGTTTTTTTTGTTAAATAAAAAGTTACACATCATTTCATAAAATTTATCATAATATTTTTCATAAAATTCGAGCGCCAGAAGCGGTGGTCAAAAATTTTGTATCTCTTGACATAAGAAGATGTGTACTGTACTCTCTGTACACTCTGTTTTTTGATCGCTTCCAGTCTAGAGGAATCGTCCGCGCTTTCCAAGCAGAAAGCGACGATGATCGAGAAGTATGTGGCGCAGGTACACGCGTTGGAACAGCACCTTGCGGAATTACACACTGAGACGGCCGGCCTTGAAGCCAGGTTCCAGTCAAGCCAGCAGGAAGTGGCCCGCTGGAGGGTACTCGCAGCAGAACGATTGACCGCTATGGAAGAGCTTCGCAAAAAGTAATGTAACACGATGATCTTGAGTTTATTGGACAATTATTATTGATGTTCGGTTTTGATTGTCAGCCTTGACGATCAGCACAAGAAAGAGTTGCAAGCGTACATGGAAGATGGGGAGAAATTGAGGGAAATCGTGGACGAAAGTTCTGGCAGGCGGAGAGTAAGACTGCAGAAGGAGCAGGGGTCTTCGTCGGTGCTTATCGACCCTGATATTTTAAAACTCGTCAGGGAAAAAGAGGAGAAGATTGCTCAATTAACTGAGCAGGTTCGACAGCTGAAGGTGAGTTTTCTGAATTAACTGAGAAGAACGGTTTTTGTCATTATTTCACCAAGAGAGAAGAGCAAAACTGGATAAAAAATTTTGTTAATTGGTAATATATGTCAATATATTTTAAATATGACAACGGTTACCGTGGGCGTTTAACATGTCATTTCTTTGTTTATAAATGTAACCAAAATTTAATCTGTTTTTTATTTGATCGATCAAACCAAACTGATCAGACAAGCATTTTTAGAGTGACAAGGTTAAGTACTCTGATGGTTCGCTCTCGGAGCCGCCGAATTTAATTACCGATCCGGATAAAAAGGACACGCAGCTCTTGATAAAAGAAAACGAAATACTGAAAAGGAGAGCGGAACAGCAATTAAGCAAAGAACAAGTTTTAAAGAACGAAATAAGGGAGTTAAAAAATCAGTTGCTGAAAAGGTACGATAGTCGCTGGATCGCATATTCCAGAGTTTATTAACAACTTACAATTTTAGACCAAATTTTTTATCAAAAGGACGTCTGGAACGGTCGGTCAAGGAACAATTGCAGAAGAGAATATCTGGGCTGGAGGACGAAGTGGAAGGACTCAACCGGAAGCTGGAAGAGCAGGTTGCGATTAACGAGAAGCATAAGCTCATGGCGGGCGACGATTTCGAGAAATGGAAGAAGCAGAAATACTGGCAAGAGAACTGCGAGAAGCTTAAAATGAAGCTAAAAGAGCGCGAGGAAGAAATCGAAAAACTGAGACAGACTTGTAACGGATTTAGGTATATTATTTCTTGGACTTCATTAAAAAAACAAATTCCACCAATTTTTACGTCTTCTATATTTTAATAAGGCTACAACAATCAAAACACAAAAAACTAACAAAATTTAAATCCAGGATTTGTTGGTTTAATGGCTTTTTGATAGCCAATAAAAATTACAATTGGATCATTTGAACGCCAAAGGTTCAGTTAAATATGTTTGTGAAATAGATTGCTAATCGAACGTCTGGAAAGGGAAAAGATGAATCTGGAAAATAGAGTGAAAGCGCTAAAAAGCGCCAATGCACACGCGGCGGACTGTCAAGAGTTTGAAACGTTGAGACTGGAAAACGCCAGACTCTCCAACGAAGTGGAAATTCTGGTCACCAAGCTGGAGATGCAGCAGCATCATTCCGGAGGATTGGGCGCCGCCATGTTGCAGGAAAAGCTCGAGAGTCAAGAGCGGAAGATTGCCGTGTTAGAGCTCAGTGCTAAGGTAAGTTCAACGAGACAACACGGTATTATACGGGGTCCAATCAACAAATATTGAACTCCATGGTGAATAAAGGGAGGATTTGAAATGGACTTTGTAGTTAAAATAGAGCAATTTTGGAGGATTGTATAAAATTTCGCTAAAATATGTTTGTTTATAGCATAGCCAATGTTTATTACATCAAAATATCTTAAAAACTCTCAATAATCAAGATTTCGTTTAAATCAAGTTGGACGTTAAAAAACCAAACTCAGTTGAAACATTGATTGATAGAAAACTGTTTATCTTAATGAAGAGTTGATAAATGTCTAGAAGACTACGAAGCTAAAGAGAGTTACAGGAAAATTTTTAAAAATAATCAAAACAGTATAGCGAAGAGGAAAATTCTATAATATACAGTATCCCATTTGTAAATAAAGCTACTTCTTCGAAGAAGTTGCAGGATTGCTCCTATGAAAGTATCCAGATCCTGACTGTATAATAGAAAATATTTTTTTGAAAAATACTTAGAATTACTCCAGCAATAGCGGTTTGCAACCCCATATCTCACCAGGGACAATATAGGAAAATTTTAAATATAACTTTAAAAACCAACTTCTGATAAACGCAATTTTCAAGAACGTTCATACATTCTCAAGCTATGACGTTTCAAAAATCTTCTCCCCTCGCTACAGAGAACAGACCATCCATGAGATCGCATCTTATAGGGACATTCCCACACTTACGCCTGTGGTGGATTTAGAAAGTTTAAGTAAGGTTAAAGATTAGATCAGAATGGGAGGTAATACTGCTGAAAGGTGTCTGCATGCGTTTGCGTGCCACACATTGGTGAATATTTGTCTTGCCTTTCTAATTTTAATTAAATATAGTTTATTATATTAATACTTATTATAAATTTCATTTTTAATATTTTTTCCTTTATTTTGAATACAAAATTATCTTCTTCTGAGGCGCTTGATTCAATTTGACAACACTAGTGCTAAACTAGAATCTACGTGATAAGTTCAGCCAAAGGCCACCGATCGGTGCTAGAATGATGCCCTTCGTCTCCATTTTTAGCGGTAATTTTGTCCGCTCGCTAAGCGTAAAGTCAAAATGTCTCAAAGTCAGGGCTAGGGCGATCTTGGCTTGTATCATTGCAAAACGCATACCTGCAGGACGAACAGAACTGAATGACAGTTGAATGCATTGACGTAAACTTTTAGCACTTGCCTATACAGTTTCGAGGTCCAGCACCGAACGGAATGTAAGTTCCATCATAAATTTTGGACTTGTTCTCGTCACTAAATCGATCAGGGTCGAAAACCTCTGGATCCGGAAAATAAACGGGGTCCCTGTGTAGACCGTAGCAAGGTATGAGCACCGACTGGCCCTTTTCGATGAAAGCGCCATCGGACTTTGGGATCGGGTACCTCTCTGTACACTTTCGCAAAAAGACCGGAGCCGGTGGATATTTCCTCATCGTTTCTGTTCCCAAAATATAACCCGTTATTCAACCATATGTACCTTTCGTTTTTCGGAGATAATGATTTTCAAAATTGGCGGCTCGATTTTAATGGATAAAAAGGAGGTTCATCTCAATCAGATTCTTTAACGTTTAGTAACCGGAGAGTTGAGCCGATTCCACAATTATAATTACACTGCAACTTTTATAGAAAGTATTTGTTAATACTGTGCTGATCGTTAAGAATGTGCTGCCTTGATTTGATGATTTTAAGAAGAAAGTTTATATCAACATAGATCCACAATCGCTTTATTTTTATCTAATTTTCATTGAAACCGCTTTAGAATTTTTTGAAATTGTGTCTAGGTGTTCACAATACGAAAAAACACTTTTTTTCAGCAAATTAAATTAAATGCTTTACGGTAGATTTTAATCTAGTTAGAAAGTTCAAGAATTTTTTTGAAATTTCATAGGTGTCCACAATACGAAAAAACACTTTTTTGAGAAAATTAAATTAAATTCTTTAGGGCTATAGAAATCCAGAAGATATATAAATAAAAATTTTTTTATTTCAATCAGACTCTTTAATTTTTAGTAAGCGGAGCGGATCAACAATTATAGTGACACTGTACCTTCTATACTAATAATATGACAATCCTCAATTATGCGATTCTTTGAATGACTTAAAGAGAAAAAGTTGATATCAATGTAGGTCCGCAGTTGCTTTATTTTTTATATGTAGACAGTTGAAATATATATTTTTTGCAATTTGGTGTTCCCCACAGCACTTGTTTTCGGATGAACCACTTGAACCACGGTACGCCACTGTTTTTTTCAAAAATAAACATTGATCCTTGATATATATAGATATATATATATATATATATATATATATATATATATATATATATATATATATATATATATATATATATATATATATATATATATATATATATATATATATATATATATATATATATATATGATAACACTATATTCCGGGATATCATCCGTTCGCTCGTTGAACTCCGACTGGAATCCTGCATCCGACTGGAATCCTGCAAATCTTGCATCCGACTGGAATCCTGCAGACGTTTCGCCAAAATCTCACTTGGCATCTTCAATGCTCGCGCTCCGAAAACACTTCGAACACTCGTGTTCGAAGTGTTTTCGGAGCGCGAGCATTGAAGATGCCAAGTGAGATTTTGGCGAAACGTCTGCAGGATTCCAGTCGGATGCAAGATTTGCAGGATTCCAGTCGGATGCAGGATTCCAGTCGGAGTTCAACGAGCGAACGGATGATATCCCGGAATATAGTGTTATCACATTTTTCCATCCGTGAATCAATACGTGAGAATATATATATATATATATATATATATATATATATATATATATATATATATATATATTTTTTTTTTTTTTTGTTATTTTGAATTACTTTGTGTCAATCTAAAATCGATTGGATTATTTTGGCAGAGTGCACTTTATTGAATAAAAGTGTTATTTACAAGTTCATACAGACCATTTCAGATGTATTTGATGATTTTTGCGATTTGCACATGAATTATTTTTATTTTTTCCATTGGAAACCCCTCGCACGATAACACAAAATTAAACTGTCATTTTTACTAAATAATAAATCGCTATTTCCAATTTCAGTATCATGCGCATCTCGACGCAACTGGTGAGAGTAAAAAAATATTTTTTCTCAAAAAAATTATTTCTATGTATTGTTTCAATGAGGAAAACTTTTTTATTCATATTTTCTACACCTTCTATATAAAAATTAAAAAATAATATTACTCGTATTACCAATTCTGAATTAAAGAGGTTCGGACTAATGAAAATGTGTAAATAAGACTTTTTTGTACTATGAGTTAAATTCATAACAAATGATAAAACATGTTTATTAAAAATTAATTAATTAATAAAAACTGACGATGCAAGATTCTAACATAGTAAATCAGCAATTTGGCATTAAAAATTAAAAAATGAGGCCCACTTTTGAATTTCGAAAAATGGGCATTCGCACTTAAATTTATTTTCTTGTTGAGTATATTGTTTGCTCATGTCTAAGGGATCGAATTATTGACAGACTATATTTCACAATCACATAATTTATTAATATGACCTTATAAACATACTAGAAATTTCGATCCTGTATTCTAACATTTTATTTATGTGTTGGTCACATAATAATACCTACTGGAACCGCTTTTATCCCCTGCGCGCTATAAAATACATCCTATCGCGGGAATAGGTAATTGGTTCTCAATTTATACTTTTTGAGGTAGCGAAGTTAAAGCCTGAGCTGATCTGAACACATCCTTCCAAATTAGCTAACCTAACTTACCATACAAAATGGTATCCAAATATCGGAGTTCACTGACTGCCTCATAATCCAACGTCTGATCGTGTTCCTTCAGCACTCTGAATAGCTCTTTGCGCGCCTTTTTCTGTATCCGATCGTCACGTGCCATTTCGAACAGCGCAAAACTAGTCGTCGTAGAAGTTGTTTCGAAACCAGCCAGAAAGAATATAAAGGCCTGTGCGGCAGCTTCATCGACAGTCAGCTTATTTTCCGTTCCAGAATTTACCTAAACGACTGCTTTAAATAGTGCTTAACAAAATGTATTTGAAGTTGATTAACAACACAACTCAGAACTTAGGTGGAGGTTACAGTTATTAATATTCATCTTGCAATAGACGAAATTTTTTGTATATGAAATATCTTTGAAAAAGCAGACAGACAAGATGGAACTAGCCTAAGATTTTCTGACACTTTCAGGCTGAATACGCCAATGGTTGACAACTTACGCCTTGGCTTTCTCGTTGGCCGTCATCGTCGATTCTTCCGTTGTTTTTCAATTGGATCAATAATTGCATAAAATCTTTTCTTATGACGTTGTTCCTCTCGCGGTATTCTATTGTTTCTCGCACGACTCCCTGAAAGAATGACGTCACCGTTGCAGAGAACACGCCGATATGGAGCACCTTAGCCAAGGCCGGAAAGCTTCTGATAATTATCTAAAGAAAGAAAAAGACAAGTATACGAAATTCTCTGAATCCCTTAGCCCGACCGCACCATTTTGAGAAGATCTCCAACGGTCTGCGTAAATGCCCTTTTGCCCATAGCTCTAAACTCGGCGTCCTTGCTGCGCAAGCAGTTACATTCTAGTCCGAACGCGCAGCATCCTATGACGTCTGTACTGTAACGGGCCAAAATTTCCTTAGGAAGAAAAATATAAAAATTTTCATGTGCATGGCACACACAATGTTGCTTTTGTGAGTATCGTGAGAAAAGTTCATTTTACAAGCATTTCATATTTTGGCCTTTTGTTAAAAATCATTATAGGTATTTTGGTCCCTAGATTTAGTTTGTTAAGTAAAAATTGAATGTGAGCGTACTTCTATTTTTAATCCACGTCTTTATAGCTGTGAGCTTCATTTTAAGCAGATCAAAATCATGGTAAGGAGACGAATACATTTTTTAACCAAAAAAAAAAAAATTAACATCTGTTATCTTTATCTAGAACAAAATACAAAATTTTTAAAAATCTAAAATTAATGGCAAAATCCATAAAAAAGCGTAATCTTACTTTTTTGTGCAGATTTAGAGATAACACTAAATCTTAAAGTAAAATTTTGAGTAAAAATTTAGATTTATACGTTAAAATTGTGTGTGTGCCGTAACAAAAATCTGCATTTCTATTAAATATATTTTTTTTAATCCAAAGTAGCCGAATAACGTTATAAGGTGATATTAATAGACTATATATAACCTTATAAGGTGATATTAATAGATTATAACTAATAAAACAAACAAATTTGGGAAAAAGATTTCTGTTACGGCACACACACAATTTCGACTTATAAATCTAAATTCTTGCTAAACATTTTCCTTTAAGGTTTCGTCTTTTATCTATAAATAACTTATAACCACAATTTTTTTAAAAAACTGTCGTTTTTAGTGTAAAATTGTCTCGAGGGTTGCTATTTTTGAAACGGCTAACCATAGAAAAAAAGAATTAAATTACAAAAAAGTAAGGTTACGTTTTTTGTATCTGTTCTAGATAAAGCTAACAGATTATTGATAGTTGTTTTTTAGAACATATATATTATATGTTATGTGCGATTTAGCTTTTGGTGGTGTATTGTAACTTATGTCAAATATATTACTTATGCAATTACTTAGCTCGTTATAGAATCTACCAGTGCAAGTAAGTGGGAGGAAGTAAAAATTCTCTTAATTTTGTTAATGAAAATGGACCATTCCATATAAATAATTTGACAAATGACAATAATACAACTTTAAAATTTCAAGTTAAAGCAAAAAAATTGAAAATTTCCAGTTTATAAGTCCAAATTCACCTTAAAATTTGTAATTAAAACACGAAGCTTTGAGATTGCGTATTTATTTTTATAGGGTGTCCTTTCTTATGGCATCGTATATTCCTAATTCAGTGTCAGAAAAGTAAAATAGAACGTAGTCACGTATTTCGTTGATTGCTGATACGGTGATAACTCGTTTAATGAGCAGAATAAATAATGAAAACGCAGAAATTGCGGATTACATAATCCTAAAATTGGTTGTTGTTGGTGTTTCGCTGAAATCGGCAACCAACATAAAAGAAACTTCTTTCTTTCACCTTTATTTCAATTTCTCCGTCTCTGTTGGCGAATTCTTCCAATACGTCTTTCATTTCCAGGCCGCATTTAAGAATTGTGCCAAACATAAATTTCAGCTTTCCAGACGAATACGCAGGTGTCAGCTTAGCCCTTAGTGTTTTCCACTTGGGGCCAGCCAATGAAAACAAATGAGCGCTCAATGGGTCATTTTCTTCGTCATAATATATTCCTGGAAACATATCGGTCTAAGTAATAACGTTATATCTCCTAAGAAGACCAGACAACGCTTGATAGTTAGGTATCAATATCAATTCTAAACGCATTATTTAAAAAAAATATATCGCTATAGAGAGTTTAAATTTATAAGCTTCAGCCTAGCAGATGTGAATTTTTGAGCACATGGTTTGACATTTTGATGCCTCATTTTGATGTCAAGTAATATTTCCTTGAGGCTTAACAAATTTCGCCAAAGTATGTAGTTAATCTGACCGCCATTTAGACCCTTCATCAATGATGTGTCTGTCTCCTTCGCAGGTAATGCCATTGGGTTCACGCCTCTCCAATCCCAGATACCCACCTCTGTCGAAAAAATGTTGAAAATCCTTGCTTAAAATGTTTTTAATAAGCCCGGGATCCAGAGGTAGAAACGCTTTCCGACTGAAGAAGTACAGGCCGACGTAGTCGTGCCCTCTTGCTCTGCAATTATCGTAGATTTCTTTTATTTTGTCTCCCATGTTTTGCCTCCTGAAAATCACGGTTCCCATGTCGCCGAATGGAAAACACGGTTCCAACTGAGGGACTCCCCGTTTTTGCCAGTAGCGGTACGAACGACTAAAGTACGCATAGATTCCACCAAAGACGAAGACTAATATAAGTGTCATCAACATTTTCACTCCTGAAAAAAATAGTGCATAATCCGACTACGACCAAGATTAAACGTTTATAGCTGACATTTGCACGGGAGTGGACGGGGTTAAAATAATAAATAAAATATAAAAAAATAATAATATAAGAAAATAATATTTTGTTAAATGGTATCTATATCGTTACCGATTTCAATTGTTCCTTTAAAGATATTCTCTATTAACTTTTTTTAAATTACTTTCTAAGTAAATCGATAATAAAAATTTTGTAACTAATAAAAATTATTACATCAATTTAAGAAGGCATTTACTAGATATGTTTTTATCAACGGCTACTATATCCGAACCAGCGAGAGACGGTCTAACATATTTTACAGAAAGTATTCTTTCTGTTCCCTACTCTAAAATACTCATCAATTATATACTTGCACTTGCTATTTTGCCATAATGTATCCAAAAACTAATTATCGTAGAAAAAGTTTAGAATTTCTCCATTCCCTAATGTATTAAGCATGACTAAAACGGCGTTTATCAAACTCGTAAGTAACTTATTTCCAAAATCATGCACAGGAGGTTATATTTAAATGTGTAAAGCTGATTTGTGTCTATAGAAAAGTGGAAACCCTTCACACGGGGATAAAGGGGAACATGGATTCTTAGCTAAAGCACCCTGTAAGCGATTGATAGTCATAGGAAGCTGCATTGTAGAAATAAATAGATAATAAATTTGCAAAACGTAGAAGTTTCTACTCCAGTAATAATAATCAGTAAAGTAACAGGAATTTAATGCTTTAGACGTCAGCAAAGTTAACTTTAAACGAAATTAAATTTAAAAAAATGCGTCAGTAATAATATTAATAACAATACGTATTCAAACGTTTTGAGAAGCACTTTATTTTTGGTATTTTCTAAAATAAGTGAAAGTATTTGGTTGGAATTCGATGTCTTTCTGAATTTAGTTTCATAGATAAATGAAAATTGAATGAAGTGAAAATTATGGGAATCATCAAGAAAATTTGAAAAATATTCATTTTTTTCTCATAATTTAAGCTAGCATCAAGTATTAAAAAGTACTTTATTTTTAGTATATCAAACTCTAACAAGAACGTTTAAAATGTAAAGAAATGAAAACATTTTGGAAACAAGTAAGCACTCCAGTTCTGGGTACAATTACTAATATAGACGAATTTCTGAGCAAATATAAACGAGAATTAAAAATTACACTAAACAAGCTTACCGAGTACTTCTGAAAGTAATTTGTGATTGTTTGCTTTCTTCTCTATGTTATTAAGCACCATAAACTCACATAAATAAAACTTTGTTTGCCTTCTCGTTAAGAAAAATCGAAATACGAGTTTCTTTTACTAAACAGCTGAGTACCGGCGCTTATTTAGACGAAGAACTCGTTTTGACCCAAATATCACGAATTTCACTCTTATCCGAATACCGTTCTTCTAGCGACTATACAACTCCGTTAAAATCTTGTTTCTCCGTCGATGCGTGGTGCTCGATGTTATACAGGGTGATAGCCGCAAAAGCAGGAAAAATTTATTGACTTATCGAGGCAGGTTATTTATAAGGTGTCGAACTAGCCATTAAAAATTTTAATTAAATTTTATTTTTGACTTAGCTTCATTTTGATCTAAGGTATCCATTGAGAGAAGGAACTATTGTTTTTAGGGGTCCGTGCAAGTCAGAGACGAACTCGAACGTTTACAGAAGGCGCTGTCGAATATGCAGAAAAGTAATTTGTGTTTGGAAGCCGAAAACTTGGAACTGAAAATGGATTTGGAAAAATACAGTAAGGAAACCCCCCATTTGCAGGAACAAATACAGTATCTCGAGAGGTAAGAGGAGAAGAGGTACGAGAAGAAAGCACCACCGTCTTTTTTTTAAGCTACATCGAACTGTTGAAGTCGGAAAAATCGAAAACAGAATTGGAAGCGAAACGTGACGATCGGCAGAATGATTCCACGCCCAAAGAAAACAAAACCGTGTCGCAACTGGAAAGGACCGTTTTCATACTGAAGAGGGTCGTGGAGAAATTGCAAGCTGAAAATAAGCGATTGCTTAGCGGGAAAAGACCCCTTAACGACGTGAGTATCATAAGATTTTTTACAATAGTCCTGACCCCAGAAAAAGTCAAGAGCTTAAGATTTATACAGCTTTACATCGATGGCTCTTCTATAATTTTGGCCCCATACAGGGTTCTGATTTGACATTTCAATTCTATTAATTTTTATTGATTATATTAATTTATAATTCATAATTAGAGCTTAGAGCAAATTACTGTATTTTCAGAGCGGCTTACTACGAAACCCGTCAATGTGATGAAAAGTTGTATGTCGCTCTTTTTTGATAGTCAATTTAATGTAATACGTGAGGTCAGACGATGCACACGAACATTGTTCTGGCAGAAAAACGACAGTAAAGTGACTAAAGAAACCTTTGAATGTTTAATGGACACTGTAATTTTGATGTGAATCGTTGATCATCTTGTAATTAGCGAAAGTGAATTATATAATTTTTATTAGTCTTTATTCTTTAGTCTTCCCATAGACAAATTGTTTCTATGACAATTAGTCCAGCTATGGTATTTAAAAAAAAATCAAAGGCATAAAATCATAGATGTATCATCCAAATTTTAATATCTCTCTTTTTTGCAATTGTATCGAAATTAAAACGCCATTACTGTAATCAAAACGAGTACTTTGGAGAAACCCTTATTTTCGAAGGAAGAAGTTTGTGCGACACACTTAAGGATCAGAGTTACAAAACGCCTTCTGCCCAAAATTAAGAAAAAAAAAACATGAATGATTGCTGTAAGTGTGAAGAAAACTGCTGAACAGAAAACTCTATATGCTTGATGGTTACCAAACAAATTTTTGTATATAGTAATTTAAATAATAAAACGGAATAAATGGAGGTTTTATTTTTGTTTTATTATAAACTAAAATTAACTTCTCCACACTTACAGTTTTCGCAATTATGTACTGTTCTTAGATATGTTTCTCTTCTGTTTGATTACTTATCGACAACCTAATAACTCTTTTTCATTAAACTTTTTGAGTCTCTTTTATAAGACCATAGTTTTTTTAACGTACTCTTGATTATTTTTTATTTTGATTTATAAAAGTAAGCTTTTCGTAAATATATATAGTTGCGTACCGAAAACTTAACAAAAAACAATTTGCAATACTTTAAATTTATTTTATTAATTGCAATCTTGTCATTATGTAATTACTGTTTTATTATATTATTAATTATTCAATTAATTACAAGTTCAAATCAATTAAAAGCTTTTTTGAGAGTGCTGGCAGCATTGCATCGTCTGCCAAACTTTTAGATTTTTTTTGGGTGCTATATATGAATTCCAAAACTATTTCACTCAATATGTATCACAGTAATTTAGGGTAATTTAGTGAGTAAGTTTTTTTTTTAGTGTTATCCCGATAAGCTAAAGCGAGACCATCAAAGGCTGCGAGAGCAGTACAATCGGAGCCTTGAAACGATTAAATCGTTAGAATCTCAACTGGCATCTTGCAATGCGAAATTACAGGTTGATGACAAGCCTATAACGTCGAACAACGAAATCGAACGATTAAGGGCTGATCTGGACAGCAAAAACGAACTGCTGGAAAGAGTTAAGGGCCTGTTACAACGAGCGGCGGCCAAGGAGAAGCTGCTTGTGCAAGAGGTGAGTGATGTGAGCAAAAATGTTTTGCCCAATCTTATAACGCGATATTTCAGATAACCACTTTGAAAAACGAAAGGGAGCATAGAATCGGAGGCGGTTATCCCAGTCCCGTACAAGAGGAGTCTGAATTAAGTAGCGACACATAAATAAATGGCGTTTGCTTGATGAAATTGCAATGCCTTAATAAGTGAATTTGCATGCACAATAATTATGTAAGAATATTATTTTATAAATATATACATCATGAATATACCAATATAGTCATTTTAAATATTGCAATCAAAGGCGGTAGGTATATCTCTCACCACTCTAAATTGATATAGCGGGCCTTACGAGAATATATTTAATTTTTTGTTTAAAAAAAAAAAAGTTTAACGCGGCAGAAAGTTTTTTGAAACACCCTGTTAATTGATAACTTCAATCGTTTTGTATTCATATTCCTTATTCGTAATATTAATTGGAAACAGAAAAATTCATTGGTAAAATAAAAGGTGTCCTTCTTGGTGCACAGTCCTATTTTTGATGGTTTTAATAAAGCTAGCGTGTTGCTGATTGTGATGCTGGATTCCTCCTGCGTCGCTTTTTGTTGAGTCAACCTTGCTAACGTTTCGCCAATCATCCTGTTGGCTTCTTCAGAGCTTCACTGAAACTGGCTCTCATTTTACTGTGTACTGCTTTTATATTGATTGAGGGGGGCGAAGCTAAATGAGGAGCATAAATGCCGTCTCGGATGACTGATTCCCATATTGGTGACAGGTAAAGACCTCCGTCGCGGTTAAGATTGTTAGGTTGCTTATAGATTGTCACATCACCATCCGGTTTGACTCAACAAAAACCGACGCAGGAGGAATCCAGAAGTATTGTAAAAAGTATTACAGTAGTAGTAGAAAATCCATAAGAAAAACATATACTTAGTTCCAGTTTTAGGAGAAAACTGAACAGGTCACTGGTTCCTACGTAAAAAAAACCTATCCAACCCAGTTTTCACCTTTTCGATAAGTTAACGCCGAAAGTACCAAAGTACAAAGACCGTCTAAAAATGCAAAAATAGCTATGATATTTCTGTTTGTGCCACCTTTTATTTCATAAAAAAACAGCTTTGGGTTAAGGAAGCCGCATATACGTTAGCTTTTTTAATAAGGGAGATACGCCGTAAAGCCATCAAAAATGGGAGACCCTTTCCAGGTATTGCGACGAGCCGGCTAGGCTCGACCCTGTCAGCGATCGAAAACTCATACAGGTGAGCGTGAACTAACCTAACCATCGAGCCCATTTTTTGACCAAGAATTATTTGTTGTTATTGTATGTATTTTTGTTTTCAAAAAGTAACAATATAAAGAAGTCAAGAAGGAAATTCGATATTAACAAGAAAATGTTTAATCATTTTTTTTAACTTTAATTGATGCTTAATAACTCGACAAAAGTTTGCCAGGAAAACTTTTCTACAATTGTTATTAAATATAATTTTGAAAACGTCACTTTACTAATCGGATGTTTTCAGAGATTTTACCGCACGGCTTGAATTTTGACGTTTGTCAATTCTGACGGTCATGCCAGTGATTGTATTTTGTACATTTGCAAAAATGTACCCAAATACGTAGAAAAAGTCTTCGTTGTTTATTAAACTGGTGACTCAAAATGCCGTTTACCACACACAATATACTATACCTATGATATATCCTGAAAATAAGTCTAACTCAATGAGGCCGAGACGTATTGGGAAAATTAAAGTAAAATAGTATAATATTATGAAACAAGTGCGGCAAACGGCATTTGAGTCCGGAGTTTATTTGGCACGAACAGAACGAGTATTTAATAAACGAGTTTTACCAAATGTGTTGCATAATATACTTTTTTTAGGACCGTTAGATTTTGGGTACATTTTTTCAAAACAACAGGAATACATTCATTGATGTGATCGTCAGAATTGGCAAACGTTCTAATTCAAGCCGTCCAGTAAGAGGGAAGGAGAAATAGTTCCGAAAACATCCGATCGATCCCAAACCCGTGCGGTAAAATCGCGGAAATGTCCGAAATGGCTCGGATTCGTGGGAAACGAAACTGACGTGGTAAAGTGACGCTTCCCGCACGCTAGATCGGTGTGTAATTATGTATTTCACTGAAGGGAGTAGAAAATTTTAATTTCTTATTAAACAAACTTCATTTATCTACTTTACAGTGGAGCAAGGACGTCCTTTCTCCAAAATTTAAAAAAACTTGAAAAAATGTTCTGTGTACAAGAAATTTCTTCAAAGTTGACCCAGTATTGAGCTCATTTATGAATTCCACAAGTTATTTTAGTAGTATAATTAAAGCTATAAGAGTTAAAATTGGAAAACACAGAGATAATGCGAAAAATATTAACTAACCTAAAAGCAAAATGTTATCTTTTGGCAGTGAGAAATCAACATCCCAAAACATTCTACATTCTTTATATAGTGCTTAAAATAATTTAGACATTTGCTTCTTCAACAAACTGAGTTTGCTCAAACCCAGATCTCTAAAATTGCGTTTCTCCTGTAGTCTTTCCAATGGCGTCGACTTCTCCAACTGGTCCGCCACTTGGCGTACGATATTGCCTTCGTATTTTGGAGCTGGCTTGTAATCTCTGCTGATACCCTCGATCATCTTCCCGTACCGTTCGCAGTAACTTACGAAACCTTCGGCATTTAGGTGTGTCGTTTCGAGAACTCCAAGAAAGGCGTATCTCATTCCCAACCCGTCTGACATTACTTTGTCTATGTCGTGGACATCGAAAATGCCTTCCGATACCAAGTTTATGGCTTCGTTTAGCAAAGCGTACCTAAAATAGAATGAGAATCCGCATTTGTTAATTTGATATTTTTCCCAAAGACAACATAAGCAAACATTTAAAATGATTTGGTTCACATGCTTGTGGCGTTAGAGAGGATTTTCCATTATATTGTTCAGTCAATCCCGTCCTACGCTTCTACAATAGGTGTGAAAACCCATGTAACCGCAACTGAGGGATGATCGTAACTGTTTATCCCACACACTAAATAGCGCAAAAGCATTTGGAATAACTGTTTAATTAATATTTACAAACAAAACACTATAACCGGGAAAATCACCAACAGCAAGTAACCGAATTGAGCCCAAAAATCCCAAAATTTGTACGCATCGTAGTAAAATGGCATTTGCGTTTAGAATATGATGGATGTGTCGGAAATATCGACTTGTCCTGTCTCTTGGATAACTTTTCCCTACAAAATCACAACACTCTGTAGAGGGAAAACGCGCATGTTATGTGTACAATTACGGAAAATAGTAAACATAAGCAAGAGAATATTAAAGTTCTAAGTAAAAAAATTCTGAACGTTGCTATTAGAGCAACAATGACTGTGTCACACATTCTGCATTTTTGACAAACGTAAGATTCGTTTGTGCAAAAAAAGGATATGCTTCACAAGGCGTTGTACAAAAAACTCGGGATAAGGTAATCCGAGAGTGAACAATTCAATGAAAATTCAGGTCAATATCTTTCCAGCTACCTGATTTATTCGTCAGCAGCGGCAAAAATCACTAGAAGAGCATTGAAAAAAGAATTCTTAAAAGAGGCCTTCCAAAGAGAAATGAGCCTAATTCAAATTTTTCGGTTCGAAAATGGCAAAAAGGGGGACCAGGTTATTCCCTTGCAACCCTCAAAATCCGAGGACGTGAAATACGAAGGTCAAAATAATTAATAAACGCTATCGATAAACTCACTGAAGCCTGTTCACTCCAAATCCCACAATTTCTTTAGATAGAGATACGGGCGTTTGTCCGATATCTTCCATGATCCTGCGGGTTTGTTTAACGACATCTGGATCTGTCCACGGAGCGGGTACCAACTCAACCAGCGGCACGTAGTACGGGGGGTTCACGGGGTGGGACACTATGGCATTCTTTCTATGTTTTAAATGATCTGTGAATGTGGAGGGTAGCAAAGCGGAGGTGGAACTCGAGAGAATACTGTTAGGGTTAGCGATGTCGTCTATCCCTTTCCACACCTTCCTTTTTAATTCTAGATTTTCCGGAACGCATTCCTGTATTAAAACGGCATCTTCAACGGCTTCTTTTAACTGTGTCGTTCCTGCAACAACGGGCGTGTGGTTTCCACATTTTTGTCTCATAGTCCTTACCTTTTATTAGTGCATACTGGTCGTTGGCGTTTAACGAACCTCTCAAAAGTCCGTTACCTTCTAACAATTTCAATTGCTGACCGATATCCGCCAAAGCAACTTCGATTTGCTGCTCATCGATATCGTATAAATAAACGTTGTATTGGGCGCCTGCAAACAACATCGCCCAAGACCTGCCGATAAGGCCGCTAGAAGTATGAAAATTTCCAGTTGTGTTTGAATCTCATTATTATTAACATTACCTGCCGATTATGCCAACCTTCTTTTGCGAACACATCTTCGGGATCAAGCAAGGCAAAGCGTAACACACATCTGGGCTCTAACAAATACTGATAATTTTGTTACAATAGAATGTTATCTTTGGATTCTAAAAATATTGTTGAACCACTAAAGTGGTATGGCGATAGCCTTTCGAAAGGTTGCAGAATGTAAATTTTTGGTCGTGGACTTTTTTTTGGAAAACAAAACCGTTCATTTAAAAATATATTTCAGCTTGAACTGCAGATATACTCGCTGGGTTTTCATTTTAGAGTAGAAACATTTTGTTAATAATAAAAGTTTGGATTTTTTTTGTACAGGTTATTATTCAACTTTATAAAATTACAATTTATGTTTTTATCGTAGGTCATTTTATCCACAATCGCAACGAAATTTGGAATTTTAAGAAAGTTGATAACATCGATAATAATTTTGTGATGTAGCCCTTAACATTCTTATTCATCAATGAATTTCGTCTTCAAATGCCAATTGTCAGATTAGTAATTTACGGGATAAATTAATGGTCTGCTTTATATAATATACCTATGTTTATTTTACGCACCTAGGGGCTTTCTAAAATTTATGGCGGCAAATTAATTAACGTATGAAACGTACTATAGGTAAACAAGAATTTAAATAAGATTATGGGATTGGCGGAAATCTGCTGTACCACATACTTTCAACGAGAGGACGCTGCAAACGTTAGTCCTACGGCAGTGCCAAGTGTACAGAAAAGTAGGAAAAAACAAGAAATAGGGAACATGAAGAAGAAAACGGATTGAACGACTACACATATTTAATCAAACTGCTGTACTTAAATGTTTAACTATTCTTCAAGATTTCTTTTCAAATTAGTCCTCAACAAACTTGTTACGTATTTGTCAGTTATGGGTTTATGTTTACTTTTAAACTTTAATTAAATCGCGCGAGACGGCAACAGCGTCCGTTAAAAACGTTAGTGAGAGCAAACATGGCGATATGTTCGTGGCAGTAGTGAGTTTTGTTTTGGTATTTTTTGAAGACCCATTAGAGTGATTCGTCGCGAAATGAATGCTGGTGTTTTTCTTTTTATAGAAACGTCAAGCTTGTGCATTTTAAATTATACCTAGAACTGTTTTCGCAATTCGAAGTGTGCAGTGACGTTTATATCCTTGGGAGTGTTTATCCGACGCAAGGCAGCGAGTGTAATAGAAAGTAACTATTCTTTTACACAGTTCAAATAGAATATGCATTTCTAGCGGAGCCTACATGCCAGTCGAGTCAGTTTTGTGCGTTATTTTATAGAAAGTGCAGTTCTTGCAAGCAATGTCCATTTTCAATCTAAATTGGGCACACACTGTTGTCACACCCTAAACCCTATTATTTATTATGTAGGTACATTAATCGGTGTCAAGGGTGGGTAAAAAATAGAAACTTTTCGGGGTACGGCTAATTTTTAATTAATTTGGTTATTTGTATTGGACTAGTTTTGTTACAGAGATATTTGATTTGTTTACATTTTTGTTGACATAAAAAGAAATGGATGTCTGAAACTTTTGAGTAATTTCTAGTGCCCACGAAAAAGGATTACCTGTAATATTATCAATAAAGTTATCTACGTCCGTGGGTTATTACAGACGATTTTTACATTTTAGAGATTAAGATTGTTTGGGAAAAATATATTATTTAATCTACGTACTTACTTTCCTAATTAAGGTAGGTAATCGCTCTGTTTGCTTTTAAAAAATATGCAAAGCTGGTTGGAACCTCATTGTTTTTAGTAAAAGTGTGTCCTGAAAGATTTTTTTAGATACTATACATAACGACATACACTGTTAAATGCTTGTTAATTAAACCACAATAAAAGCTTTCAGAAACGATGGGAATTGCAGATGTGTTAATTGGTAGGTTTTGTTTGGTAATTGAATCAATTATTTGAGAGTTTTTAAATCAGCAGCACAATACAAAGTTACAAATGCGATCATTATCAAGGCAGGAAGTAAAAGTTTTTTTTTCTAGTCATTTATTAATACTAACAACCAAATCATTTATATAACTATTACGATCAAATAACATTATAACAAAGATATTAGATTCGCCGATTTGATGCCAAAAGAATTCGTTTTCGTTTGGGAAGAGGCCAGACATAATTGAACTTAATAAGCCATTGGTAACTCTGATGAGATGAGATATTTTTTACATTTAAATTGGTCTATGCAATTCAATATCTAGATTCACCATAAGCACAATATAAATATATACATTGCAATATTTCTGCGTATTTTTCAGCATTAAATTTGCAGAATCTTTCCCACACAATTCACGACCCAGTGAGCCATTCTCCGCGGAATTTGTTTTCCGAAGGCCGCCGGATTAAAATTGATAAGTCATGAATAAATTTAAATGATATGAAACACAAAAACTAGTTAAATTTTTTTGTTGAACTCGTCTACAAGCAATCAGTTTATTATCTTCTTATTTTAAATGATGAGATAAAGTTTACAGAATAATATAATATAAAGTTTTATTTGATTAACCAATCTTTTCTATAATTTTTGGACCTGCTTAAATATCCAGTTACTTGTTACAATTTGCAGATTCTGTTCTTATAAAATCCTTTTTTTGTCTTTCATGTTTATGTATTAATTCTTTATACTGCGATTCAAATTTTATCGCTGGTGTAATTGATACATCAACAAGCCTCAGTAAATCTCATGATGATCTCATTGCTGATCAGTAAGATATCTATAATCTTCCGTTACAGAGGTGTTCACTTGCAAATATTAATTACATTTATATATAAAACAAATATAAATAGTCGTTTTTAGAACAATTAGTGCTAAGATTTTTAATAAAAAACTTAGTGTATTCCATAAGGAAAAAACGAATTTGGATTTTTTTTTTATATTTTACAATGGCCATGTGGTTAATTTTACAGGCTTAAAATTTTTCAAAATTTGAATCAAACTGTGCTTATTTAATTCAATCAAATTTGTATCCTATAATTTAACTGCGTTGCTTTTGTTGTTCAAAGAAAAAACTCCAAAAAAAAAAATGGCGACGACAAATTTGACTTGTTTGTATTCCCCACCCATCTATGTATTCCCATTTCCATTTTTCAGAACAAACTCTGTATTCAGTCTAAAATGGCTGCAGAATGAGTAGTGGTTTAACAGTTTCACCCTCATCTGAAGTGAGGCCAATGGCTCACGTAAGAAAAACAAACTGCAGGGAAGTAGTACCTTCGGTTCATGGGCGCACGTCATCAGCCACCACGGGAGCCGGCAAGTCGCGGATAAGTAATCACCAGAGAAATTTGAGTCTAGACTTTCGGTAAAAGTGTCTTGAAGTTAACACCCACATAATAATTTGAGAATGCCAATTTTAGGTCAATGGGCATTCTCCTGCCACCTGTTAATCAGGTCACCACGGTAACTAATACTCATCTCACGTTGCACCACCGCAATCGATCTTTGGACTCCGCCCTTCAGCGGATTCCCGAGGTGGATGTGACTCCCAGTCCCGAATGTGAGGGTGTAATCGGTGCTGCTGTTATTAGCCCCGAGTCGTGTCCGATGCCGGTCAGGAATTTTTATTTACCTATTTGTCGTTCTCTTTGCAATTTTCTTCACTTAGGTGTCTTCTGCGAAACAAAGGGAGGAACTGACGTCCCTAGGTTCAGACGACAGCGGTATATTATGTGGATCTGATGTCGGTTCAAGTAGTGATACAACTAGAGAATCTAGTGTGGAGCATCTTTCCAATGAGAGTCGCGAAAGTCTAGATGAAATAACCAATAACCCGTCAGACCGAAAACAGTGCCAAAACAGTGATTTGGATAACAGGACTAATGTCGTTTGCAAAAGTGACAATAAAAAGACTATACCCAAAAGTACAGGCATGCTCCGCTTACTGGAAAGCAAGGTTTTTGATGTGGCGATGGCGATGCATTACCTCTTCAACAGCAAAGAGCCCGGCGTTTTGTGCTATATAGTCAACAAGATGTTTAGTTTTGAAGATGCGGAGGTGGATTTTTATTTGCCCCAGCTGGTTTGCATGTATATAGAGATGCCAGACGTTGCTGAGGTTATTCACCGGTACCTGATACATAGGTGCAGGCAATCAATCGATTTCTCTCTGAAATGCGCGTGGTTACTGGACGCCTACAGTACAGACCCGACAGTACCGTCTAAAAAGAAACCGCACGGGATCAAGCTGCGCCAATTAATACTATCGGATGAACTTAGACCTAAAATACAGAAAACTCTCCCCGTTATCTCTCCTACTACCGAGAAGTCTATAATAACGTTTCTGCGGAAGTCGCATCAGAGGTCTCAAAGCGATGCGTCGGCGTTGTTGAGTGTGGCATCCCCAGCGGTACCGCCAACTACAACATGCAAGAAAATCCCTTCCAGCAAACTGTGTTTTGGAGATCTGAGCTCTGGACATGCTTTTGACAATGGATGCCTGTGCTTTGAGAGCAGGCGGAGTATTGTCAACGATCTTAGGGGAAAAAAGACTGAATGTACCTGCCAAGTAAGTGATTGATTACTGCTGTAGCTATGCTGACTAATTTTGGTTTGTAATTGTAACTTCCAAATATATGCCAATACTAGAGATGTGTCTGTAAAAAACTGGCAGCCTTGCTTGTGAATTTATTTATTTATGTATTTAATCTTTCTTTAAAAAGACAGGAAGACAGATAAGACAGGAAGAATCACAGTTTTTGTATTTTCTGTTTGGTTTATTGGGACTAACACACTTTGCATCTTAAGCGACCTATACACATTCAGGCAAGTGTTAAGACTTGCCTGTATAAGTCTAGACACGCGAGTAAGTGCGAATATGTATAAGTCAAAACTCAAGGCGCGTTCAGTTCCAAGTGCTGCTCGAAGCGAATCAGATTGTGTCCGATTTTTAGCTAACTTCTTCTTGTTCTTCTTGTCAATATTTTGCAACTAGGCAGTCTGCCAGCTCGTTAGGGGAGTCCTCAGCTTGACGAGCAGAGCTCCTGGGAACTCCTGTCTACTTTTACCATTAGATGTTTTATTTTATTTACTTTGCTCAATAAAGAGTAAATTATTCGGTAATGGGGGTATCTTTTAGTAATACAAACATATGGGGGGAAGAGGGCATAGAGGTTGGATTTGTTGGAGATAATGGATTCTGAAAATATTACTGATAGATATTACGTTACAGTTTAATTTTATTAAAGTTTAAAAAGGAAATTATGATATCTGTAATCTTTTTATTGGGTTTAATTAGAACAGCAGATATGTTAAGAGGGGCTTTGATGCCCAGCTTTATAAAAGAGTATTTTTAAAAAAAGTATTTTTTGTTTTATGATATTAAGAATTTCATTTTTATCTAAGTCATCATGGAATATTTAGGCTTGTACCTATTTTTGCTAAAGAGTCAACAACTGAGTTACCTACTATGTCTGAATGTCCTGGGATCCAAGCTAAAATAATGTTATCATTATTATTTGCATCCACTATGAGTTGTTTGGTCGTAAGAGTTAGAAATTCTGAAGCGTATTTAATATTGTTGGTATTTAATTTTGTGATTGCACTGAGAGTCAGAAAATTTAAGATTTTTTTTCAAAATAACCGTAACCCCTTCATATATTGCTATTATTTGTGCTGAAGTTATACTTATTTCGTTTTGTAGTTTTGAAGAGAATTTGTAATCTATATCAGGAATGTAAACCCCAAGACCATTACTATTACTAATTTTAGATGCATCTGTATATACGAAGTGGAAAGTGTTTTTAAATTTTTCTGTGGCAAGATTGAATTTTTCTTTTATGTCAGGGTCAGATTTTTTTATACTTAAGTTTAATGTTTTTATAGGGGTTATTTGGTTAAAATAATCAAACTCAAAACAAGGCGGAATGACTTTTTTATAGATTTTATTCTGATACGGACTTAGATTTTCTAGAGCCTGGATGAGGTATGGGAGATTTTTCTGGTTGCCAAAACGGTCTTCGTGAATATAAAACGTTCTTAGCTTTTTAAGGAGGGTTACTAAGGGAAGATTCTTAATTGAAAAGGGACCCGCCAGAAATTTTGAGGCCAACCAGTTTCTTCTAAACTCGAGGTTAATTTCTCCCGCTGTCTCTGAGACTGTCGTATTGTATCTTATTGAGTTTGGTTTTGTTTTTTTTTGCTTGTATTTCCAACAATAAAGGATGAAAAATCTATATGGGATTTTATTAAAGCATTATATAAAATTAACGAGGTATGAGGATCAGACCCCCACCAAACTCTGTTAACACATTTAATTATGTTTATATTCTTTTTGGTTTTTATTACTTGCTGATTGATATAATTATCCCATCTAAGTTGATTGTTAAAAATGACCCCTAAATATTTTACTTCATTTTTAAATGGAAGGGGGTGATTTCCTATTTTTACAGGGAGAGGAGGAATTTCACGAGTACCCCTTGTGAACCAAACGCATTCGCATTTCTGAGGGGAGAGTTGAAGGTCGTTATTAAGTAACCATATGTTGATTGTGTTAAGAGACTGATTAATTTTAGAAGTCATAGATATGATATTGTTCCCTTTTAAGAGTAAAGCCATGTCATCCGCATAACCCAGTAATGTGAAACTTTCATCTAAGATATTCAAGAGATCTATAGTGTATATATTGAATAAAATTGTACTTAAAGGTGATCCTTGTGGTAATCCTGATGTGGAAAGGCCTGGACCAATATAAGAACCATCATTTCTTTTTGTATATAGGAGTCTGTCTTTCAGGATTCTAAAGATTAAATTGCTAAGCTCTTGTGGAATATGTAATGAGTTTAATTTGTTATATAGCTTATATATGTTAACAGAGTCATAGACCGATTTTATATCTAAGAATACTGCTAATACTGTTTCTTTTTGATTAAAAGCTAGATCGATGAAAGATGATATAAATGCAATGTTGATACTAATTCCCATTCCTTTTCTGAAGCCTGTCTGGGACCATTTAAATGATTATTTTTTCTAATTACCACTCTAATCTATTCTTAATCATAATTTCCAAGAGCTTGATATAGCATGGGTTTTAGAATATTTAAAAAGTTATATTTTTTCCAAGATTGCGGGAGAGATTGTCCTTCTAGGCATTGGTTATAGATTTTAAGCAGCCTTAATTTTATATTTAAGGGCAGATTAAGAATCATTTTATAAGTTACCTTGTCTAACCCAGGAGTAGATATATTTTTCTTAAATAGGGCATTTTCTAATTCTTGTAATATGAACGGGTTTAGGTCCTTTATAGGACTTAGAGTAAAGCCGGGAATCACATTATAAATTACCATTTTTTTTAAGATTTCATTACGAAGGTCGTCATCGAGGATAGGTCTATTGGAGTGTTGATTTATGCTTGAAATTTTTTTTATTTTTTTCCATACATATCTTGTGTCAGAATCTCTATTTAATGACGAACAGAATTTTATGAATTTATTGCGTTTTTTGAGTTTTAGTCTTCTTCTGGCAATTGCAATATATTTTTTTGCTTGTATATAGTTTTCAAGTGTAGGAGCAATTTCAAATTGTTTTAGCTTTTCCTTACGTTGTTTGACTATAACAGTACATTCCTCGTCCCACCATACATTCCCCGTTTTACCTTTTTTGTTTGTTTTCAAAGGGATAGCGATGTCTGCCGCCGAATTAATAAGGGTCTCTATCTCTTCGAAAGTCATATCAGTGTTGTATTGTAAAGAGTCTAATATAAGTTTGTCTCTATATAGTCCCCAATCTGCTTTTCTATAATTTCTGGCCGATGAAAAATTATGTACAAAAGAGTTTTTTGAGTAGGAGTCTCTATCTTTAATTACTGTCATAGTGGGAAAGTGGTTACTGTTGCCACAGTCCGGTAAGACTCTCCAGTTTGATGAATAAGCTATGTCACTACTGGCAATCGTTAGGTCTACCGCACTCATTTTCTGATTGGGAGGTTGAAGTAGGGTTGAAGAGCCATCATTTAGAATTACAAGCTCTTTGTCAAATAGGAAATCATTAATATGTTTGGCTCCATTGTTTGGAGTACAATAATCCCAAAGGGGATAATGTGAATTTAAGTCTCCCATCAATATAGAGGGACCCTGAACATTAGAATAAAGCTCCTGTAAAAATTGGGAGTTGATATTATTATTAGAGTTAGAATAAATGTTGAGATAAGATTAAGTTCATCAATTTTAACTATAATATATTGAACTTGGTTATGGTTAATTTTTTTTATTTCTCTGTATAAAAAATTGTTTTTTATGCAAGTTGCTATTCCCCCATATCCATCATCCCTGTCTTGTCTTATAATATCATACGATTTAACTGAAAAATTCGTTTCTTTATTTAACCAGGTTTCATTTAAAAAAATAATATTGGGATCCTGTTCCCTGATTAATGAGATTAGTTCCGATCTGTTTGAATTGATACTTTTTAGGTTCCACTGAAGTATTTTTAATTTTGAATTGAATTTTATTTGGTTATATTAAAATTTAATCAAAACAAGGATCGTCAAGATCCGTATAATTACTTAGGTTCATATAGTTAAGGATAAAGTTTTTAATTTCATGTTGTTTTTCTTCTGGTAAATTTAAGACTAGTTCCTTAATGGATCTATAAGTAGGGTTATCATCATATCGTTTTAAATTAGATGTACTGTAGAGCACTAACCTCTCTATCTGAACACCGAACCTGAACTGTTTAGCCAACTTCATTTTTCGCACAGCAGCAGGCCCCACCAACTGGTGAACCTCGAGGTTTACCTGAATAGTGTGTGGCCGCAATTCGTTTCGCACTTGCGCGCGGACTTGCCTGCATGTGTATAGCCCCCATTACACAAATAATATATGTTTGCTACCCATTGATTATACTCTTGATAGTCCTTAACTTCGTTATCTCACTGTTATGATAAGTGATGACAGACACAAATTACAGTAATTATGAATATAAAAAATTATAAATGCAATATGTACCATTGTAGCATTTATTTATTTTTTATTTATTAAGTTTATGCATTTTATTATTTTTCATTATAAATGTATACTGGGTTTCCTTAGCAGAAACATTCTTCATGAAATCGTGAATGAGAATAAATATTTTAAATATTTAAGGATAAATAATAATATAAGAGATTTCAATTACTATTATGCAGTAGACATGAATATGATAGCATATTTGAACTATTTATACATTACTCGTCATTGTTTGCTCACAGGCACCAAGACTGAAACCAGAACTAGAATTTATGCAAGCTCTAATCCTAATTGGTAAACTGCTGAGTTCAATTCCAACCAAGGAAGCCAAAACTACCAGGTTAATGGCCGAGCTTACTACACTAAACCTAAACTTGCCGGCGCGGGTCTGGCTACCCTTGAACAGCTCGAGTCCGCACCTAATTGTTAGGATACCGCCGCAAGTTGCCGCCGTACTCAATTCCAAAGACAAGGTGGAACATTCTAAAGTTGTCCTTTGCATTTGGAGGCTAACTATAGTGCTTTCAGGCCCCTTACATAATTTATATTGAAGTGGTTGAAGTGGAAGACATGTACAACACCCCAGTGCCCAGCAAAATAATGCCGACTTTGAGGCACACCAAGTCTGAAGAAAATTTGAAACACGAATCAATGTCATTGTCGTCCTTTAGTGTTTGTGGCACTTGTTATGATGATAACGATCCAGACTGGAGTCAAGAAGATGATGAAATATCTCAACAGGTAGCGCTATGTCCTCATTTTTTGGCACACGTCACATCCGTTTTTGTAGTATATACAGATGAAGAGGACAATAGACAGAGACACAATATCCCAAATGAGTCAAGATTCGAGCGATTCGGGGGTACCATCCATGTCTGTACCGGCAAGTGAGATCAGGAGAAGATTGTCGGACTTCTTTCATGAAGAAAAGAGCAGAAAATTCACCCACGATCCGGAAGATCCTTCTGCGGCTGTTTTAAAAGAGCCATGGCAGGTTAGCGCGCCACTCGAGTGTATTTATGATCCTAGTTAAAGATTTTATGTGTTACTATTCAAGGACAAGGAGCAAAGAATAAGAGAAACTTCTCCCTATGGTCATTTGCCGACATGGCAGTTGCTCTCTTGTATTGTCAAGTGCGGGGACGACCTAAGGCAGGAACTCATGGCTTTCCAACTGCTTCAGATGTTTAAGAAGATATGGGAGATTGAGCATGTTCCTTTATGCATACACCCATATAGGTATAACATGTTGTCAAAGTTTTAATTAAGATCCCTCAAGTTGCACCAAGCTTTAATCAAGAGTGTTTCTTAAATATCAACCTTATTTACAGAATATTAGTACTCTCTGATGATAGTGGCCTTATTGAGCCTATCCTCAACACAGTGTCCCTTCACCAAGTAAAAAAGCACTGTCAGCTTTCTCTCCTGCAGTACTTCAAAAGAGAGTATGGCTCAGAAACTTCAGAGGCCTTTCTCACAGCCCAGAAGAATTTTGTACAAAGCTGCGCGGCATACTGCCTCATCTGCTACCTGATCCAAGTCAAAGACAGGCACAACGGCAACATTTTACTGAAGAGCGACGGTCATTTGATCCACATCGATTTCGGGTTTATTCTGTCGACATCGCCGAAGAACTTGGGATTCGAAAAGTCTCCGTTCAAGCTTACTTCCGAGTTCGTGGAAGTGATGGGCGGAGAACATTCCGACATGTTTGAATATTTTAAGATTCTGATTCTGCAGGGGCTTGTCGCGGCCAGGAAGCATCACGGGATGATCATCGATTTGGTGGAGATTATGAGGCTGGGTAAGTTTAGCACAATATATAAAAAAGAAACTTTTGTTCATAGACGTTTGGCTGGTTTTGATTGAATTGAATTGTAAAAAAAAGTTCACAATTCACAAAGTTTTTTAAAAACTAGGTTAAATCATGCGCAAAACCTTGTCCAGCATTTTTAGTCCTTTGCGACTGAAAGTCCGGCAATGTTGTAGTGAGTCTTTTAAACAATTTATAAGATATCAATTCTATATCTTTTTATCAATTTTTGTTACGTTACGTTCAATGAAGATCGGCAACAATTATGGCAAATTCTTCTCTATTTTGAGCTTTTCTTAGTAATGTGTCCAATCCGGTCCAGTCTCTGATATTCTTCAGCCAAGAGCATTGTGGACGTCCAGGACCGCGTTTTCCCTCGATCTTACCTTCTATTATGAGTTGAAGAAAATTGTATTTATTATATCTCATATGTTTTTCTTTTCTATATTGTACCGAGAAGCATTCTTTGTTCGCTCGATGTAGAACTTCCAAATTTGAAACGTGATCAGTCTGCGATAGGCCCACATCTCAAATGCTGCCGGCTTATTCATTGTGCTTACTTTTTATGTCCATGACTCATCACCATAAAGAAGTGTGGCGTTCACCTAGCATTTGATGAGGTTATGTCTTGTGTAAATGCTTAGATTGTTGTCTCAACGAAGGTTTCGCATCTTTAGGAAATTTGTTCTTGCCATTTCGATATGTGCTCTTATTTCTACATCGACTCTTGCTATTGGTGTTCTATCTAAACTTATGAAGTTAAGGATGCTCAGTAGTTTCTTGTTTTTGATGCAGTCGAAGGCTTCTGCGTAATCTGTGAAACACATGTACACTTCCTCCCTCTGGTCTCTACACTTCTGCAGAAGTACTGATTGTGCAAACAAGACTAGATATATCTTAATCAAATCATTTTGACACGATGTCTAATCTATTCTTTACCGGACACACTGTATATTGTCAGAGCAACAAATATATAGCCATAGCATGAAAGCCATTTAGAAAGTTTTTAAAGAACTTGATAAAAACATACGCCGTTCAAAATAATGTTCTATTTACATTCATAAGTCTATCGCACATTTTTGTCGTTCTAAGCTGATCAGTTAGAATTAAAAATACCGAGTAAAACACAATTCTAGGTTCCCAGTTACCATGTTTTAAATCAGGCGCGCCTGCCGTCCAGCATTTAAAGAACCGGTTCCACATGAATATGACTGAGGAACAGCTTTGTTTAGAGGTTAATCGTATGGTTGAAGGGAGCATACATTCACTGTCCACGAAGCTCTATGACGGCTTCCAATACTTTACCAACGGAATTTTATAATCACCAAACTTAATGAAGTACATGTAACTTATAAACTAGAATATTAAATCATACTAGCCCGGGCGAAAGAGTTAAGTTTCTAATAAATAATTTTGAACTTTATACATATACTAGTAAATAATGTTATATAATGTGAGATTTAAATGAATGTTTAAAGTGACCTTCGTAATTGATTTCCATGTTTTTGCCTCGGAAAAGATGGAGAAGTGTCATGTAAAGTAATTTACATACGTAAATTAGTAAAAGTGAGTATATATGGACTGAACAATTGATCGCCTTATTTATGTTATCCGATGAATGATTGTAATATATATATTTATAATAAATGCTCAAAGTGTAATACTTAGAGAATGATACTGCTTTCCTTTTATCATAATTTGTGACGGGACATTAGGAGCACGTCCATTTTGCTTCTTTTGATAAAATTTTAGATTGTATACCTATGCTGTGTTTATAAAAAAATACTCAAAAAATTTTTAAACGCAATCAAAAATGATTTGTTGCTAAAGTTCCTACGAAAAAATTTATTGTAAAACTTTTGGCAAACCACTCAAACTTAACAAAATTATAAATAGTCTATACCTTTTTTTTATATGGTAACCATCATTTTTGATAAAAATTATTATTAGAAAAAGACGCGTGTACTCATCTTTGACATATCATGTTTACTAATTCGTTAATCGCCGTTACATTCCAAGTCCAAAACAAAATCATTCTGTTGATGGATTGGTATTCTTTTCTCCTCGTAATTAATTTGGTTTCAATAAAAATCTCAAGCCAAGTCTCATCTCTTTTATTAATAAAAATGCTATTGTTAATATACCATTGTGGAATATAATTCTGTTTAAAGTGTCAGATTAAATAAAATATTTTCAAACAATATTAAGTGTGTATTGTCCATCCAATAAATTGAAAAATAGATTTGTAAAATTGTAAATAGCAAAGTGACAAAAGTCTTCTTGTTAAGTAATATTAATTTAAACTTGATCCACTTTGTAAATAAATAATTTTAAAATTATATATGTTTGAAAACATGGCTTTGTTTTCCCTTTTTCCATTCAATATTTTTTATGAAAGACTAAAGAGCAACCAAAACCTAATGTGGTCATGGGGCCTTGCCTTTTAATTAAATTGAATGTAGGCAAATTATTTGAGGCTGTAGTGTTAAGAGAAAACTTCAACATAAACCAAAAATGTGTGTTTTTGTAAAGGAACTGTGTTAATAAAGTCATTGCACTAATTTGTTAAAACTACTTGTTATTTCTTAATGTTTCGGTTAATTGTGTTACTTGTGTATCTCCAACCATTATCTGAAACGTTAAGATGTAATTCAAACAAAGGTAATGAAATTTTTTCAAAATTTACTTCATTAATTAGTATATTAAAACAAATTTTAATGCTTTTAATAGCAACATTGAATATTATCCAATTACAATGATTAAAAACGGGTACTTGTATTTTAAGATGGGTTTATTTATTTATTAGGACAACATAATAGCCAATTGTGCGTATTTTGCATTTAAATTTAATAAATAAGTTTATTTTAGGGAAATCAGTTCTTGGCGTTTAAATATTATAAAAATATCACGTATAACAATTCTATAAAAAGTATAATAGACAATTAACACCCATAACAAAAGCCTTTAACACAGAATTTTTAATTTATAAAAATTTGAAAAATAACTTAACAAAAAATCCTACAGGATGCCTTCGTAAAGAAAGGGTCTGGACTAGTCCATTATCCTCCAGGTTTGTTAAAATATTCAAACAGTGGAACAATTTCCAAATAAATTGTCATAAAATGACGACTGATTCTTCTAACGGCTCCAGCAATTATCTTATACGGGATATCCGAGCCCATTCGGCCTGGTTACCAGCGTGAATATAAGACATCCGGAAACCGTGTTCACATACACATCATGGAATAACATCACAAATCCATATACATCCGCATAAGACGAACACTATTTCCCAAATTTATAAGCACTGCGCCTCTATCACTTCAGATAACAAATATACAAAACAGAATTTGGTACCGGGCAGGAGCAACGTCATGTGCAATGGTTCCGTCAGAATCCTCTCTCTCTCTCTTTGTTTTTCCTTAAAGTGGGCAAGTCAACTAAGGAAATTCGCCCATTACCGACTTCCGTCGGGGAATTTTTTCTTTTGATTGTAGACCAACACGTAAAAAATTTAACCAACATTTGTTGTTTGACCGATACCAAAAAAACTTGGTTTCCAGCCCGGACCAAACGGCCTCCATCCCGGGGTGAACGTTAAAACAGCAGGCCTAGCACAACTTAAACACATAAAAACGAACACCAAACACTACGGGAACAGAGTCACTGAAATAAGACCGATACCAAGGTTTTGGGACGAATACAACGAATTCTGCTAGGAGCGAACGGAGGTTAACGCAATCCACAGAATCCACAAAAATAGGTTCATTTTAAAGGTTATGTGACCGTTGTATGTTTTCGACTTTGAAAGCTAGGACGTTAATTATAGTTTCAGAATTAAGCCTGCGACGTATGTCGGTAATGGGTGATTGTCATCCGTAAAAACGAAGAAGACATTAGCACAGATCACTAAATAATATGGATTCTGTTATATTCGTCTGCTATAGGATTAACTCTTAAATTCCAAGCTACATAATGTTTTATACGATCAAACAACTTGAAGAGAAAAATGTTGCTAATGAAATAAACTGTATGGTTTGGAGTAATCGTATGGATTTAGTAGCATTTTCAAATGTGAAGGGTATAAAAGAGAAGTTTGAATTTTGGCTGATTCCCTATAGAATATTTCAGGTGAACTTGCATTGCACAGATTGACTTGGACCAGAGCTTGGAGCTTGAATCCTCCAAAAGATAATACCACAGTGAGCGGAATAGCATGGAGACCTGATGGTAAAGTGTTGGCCGTTGCATATAATCCTGGTGATGTAGTGTTAATAGATGTTGAAACTAAGTATACAATAACTTCTTTTGACATTTCCCAAGACATATCATTTATTTCTTGGATTCAGGAAAAGGCGCCCATAAAACAAAAGGATGTTTTAAAGGCAAATGATGAAGAATCCACAAACCCTCCTGTAAGTTCTTAATAAATACTAGTTTTATTTAAAATGTCAAAAAGTTTTAGGATTTGTCTAAGCCTTACCTGAGACATCCACCAATTTTCTCGCTTATTGAGGGTCCTCATATTGAAGAGGTGCGAATATTATCGAACTTCCTACAGGATCAAACTGAGTTTAATATTTTAATAGTTGGGACTAAGGAAGGGTTACTGTATCTGATTGTTTTTGGTAGTTGGACTTGTGTGGTTATAGATGTAAACAAATACATAGGTGAAAAATGTGAAATTCAAAATGCCCATTTTACTGAGGATTTAAGTAAAATTATTGTGACAGTTACAAGAGAAAATCAAGAAACGAACATAGTCATTTTCAATTCAGAAATATTTAAAACTCACACCAAAGAACTTTACAATGTTACTGCTAAATATATGAAGCTTCATGAACTTCTATTGTATCTCGAAAAAGTTTTGGTAACAATTACAGAAACATGGGAAAATATTTTACTAGAAATTGATAACAAGTTATCCAAGTATGCCAGAAAAATGCCAGAACAGGGAGTTACTGCTGAATTTTTGGAACTTTTAATGTTTGGGGTTTGCTCTGAGGAAATGGAAGAGTTCTTATTACATGATCTGACTAAAAAGGGCTTAGAAAAATTTGGCCAAAGCATGGAAATTAGCTATTCTAATATCCAATCTTACCTATTTCGCCATATAATAAAATTTGCCCCTAATATTACTTATCACCTTACAGATTTGAAGGGAATGGCTCAATTTAAAGATAGATATGGGGTAGGTAAAAATAGTTACGTAGGAGTTTTGTAATTGTGTACACCTGTTGATCGATTTCAGGGTTTAGGCTTAAATACTGAGGTAATCCAAGAAGCAATTAGAGCCAATGCTGCTTTTCTGATCAAAGCAGCCGAAATGCAGCAGATAATAAATCATTCCGTGATTAACTATAAGGCCTTCTTTAGGTGGTTATACTCTTCTATCATGCACTTAGTGGATGAGCCCATTCCCTCAGACATCCAAAAAATGACTCAGCAGGATCTCGCGTGCATTACGGAGTTTTTGCAAAATTTTGATGGATATGGTGGCACGGAGAAAAAAGATTCCAAATTTGTGATGGAACGCATTGGCCAGTATATCGTTGACGCGCCATTGACAATCAAACCAGACATGTCTGGCAATGATTGGACAGAATTTCTACAGGAAAATGAGTGTTTAGCGGATAATCCCCATATATTTCAACATTATACTGACAAATCCTTGGTGCAAGTTTTAAATCAATTAAAGGATAGTATAGACACGATTTTTAAAAGGCCCTTGAATCTTATTGAGAGTCAAATTAGTCACATTCATAATTTAAATTGTAAGAATGTACTGCAAGGAGGTGCCATAAAGATGTCTTCAATTAACATATCTAGTGATGTCCAGGTATTTTGTTTCCTAAAACCGAAAAAAAATATTTGCTTGCTCCAGATGCATATTGATAAAAATGGAAAGTGCCAGGCTAGAGCTGGCAAATTTTCTTTCATTAAAGAATCTCAGGATAGCTTTAATGTGGTAGACATCCAATTTTATTCCTCAAGTGTTCTATCAATTTTGCTTGAGGAAAGCTGCAGTCCAAATCATGGAGTGATGTTGCAATTTTCTCTACCTTGCGCATTAGACGAGCTTTTGGAATTAGATGTTGCTAATGTCTTAAATTTCGATCACTGTCCTGTCATAAATGGGTTTGATTTTACCACAAAGATAACTAAGAATGTAGACATGTCAGTTTCCAAGTTCGCCGTTTCTGGAAGTAGACGGGTAGGCATGGTACTGGCAGAAAATAAGAAAAAAATTAAACTGTATGAAATGGAATGTGAGGAAGAAGATGAAGAAGATACGGACATGACTAACATTTTGAAAGATATGAGTATGCAAGAAAGTTTAACAGAATAGTGTTCAAAAAACGGTAAAACAATAAAAGTATTTTTCAAAACTTTACTGTGATCTTTTTTGCATTTTTATTCGTTTCTCATGCAAAGCAAAACGTTTTCCTATCGTGTAGGCTTCAGATAATTAAATTCACTTCTGGAAGAATACAAGTTCAAAGGTATATCTTTAATGTCCATAGCAAATTCGCTTCCTCTTACGGGTCAATTACATTGTCTTGACTACATATTCACATACACATAATGGCTGAAAATAGTAAAAAGTAGTGAATGATTCCCGCCCCAAACTAGTTCTTCCGACATCTCTGCGGCTATTACCAAATTTGTCGAATTAGTGAACTGTCAGTGGCCATGTTGACTGTTGCGCTGATCTAAGTCTTATCTATCACAATATTTTTTTATCGTTGCACTATATATCTAGTAGCTATAGTGTGTGTGGGACTGGTCAATTGACCAGCTCTTAATTGACTAGTCAAATCCGATCAAAATGTTTTAAACAACAATTGTAGAGTGTTGTCTATTATTATTTAATAATATGTGTTTCATAATAAATTATTATGCGTTTGTGATCGCTAATTTACCTATAACCCTAATCAAAGAATCCGCGCGAAAACTTTGCAATTCCGAGAAACCTAATAAAAATATCCACTTCATTTAGTTTTTAGAACGATGCGATGGTGATGTAACGCACAATATAAATAAACAAATATAAATTTCATTCCATTTTTGAAATTATTTTGGTCAATTCACACAAAAAAAATTGGCGGGCAATTCCACAAGCCTAAATAGCTATATGATTTTACCAAAGAAATTCTATTACATACGACGATTGTACTTATAGTTGTTTGTAACGGAAGTTTTCATGATTGTTGAAGTTTAGATAACATGTATCTTATTTAATCTAGAATCTAGTTTGTATAATACATGTTCTGACTGAATCAATGTCTCCTTAGACGAAATATTTAGTAGCAAAAAAACGTTCAAACTGAAGCAAATTTAATTATTGTAGTTTCCATTTAACTTTCAAGTAATCCAGCACTTCATGAAATAACTGTTTAAAGAAATAGATTTACGATCGAAGCACCAATATTTCATAGTTATGATGGCCAATTTCCCTTCCACCAAATGGAATGTAACACACCCCATGGCTCGGATGAATCTGCAAAATCAGAACTTAAATTCAATAATTTAATAGTTAGGTTTCGTATTAACCTTTCCAATGGTTAAAGAACCATCGTGATGCGCCCTCCCTATATACAAGGTCTCGCCATCAGATGTTCTCCCACCTTCCACGGCACCTGGAGGGATGTGACCACCGGAGCTCGGTATCCAATCGAATCTTTGTTCGCAGAGAACCTAAGGTGCGCGCAGTAGAATCAATTGTTGAATAATTAAATAATTTTCCAACAGACCTGATAATGATCTTTCGCATGCTCGCCCCCGGCATAAGCCACATAAGCTACGTTCCTGCCTGGAATCACTTTGGCAGGGATCCAGTCACCTTCATGGAACGCTCTTCCCACGAAGATTTCCTCCCCATCTACGTCGTGGCCACCATGAAGCGCGGTAGATGGGACTGAACCTCGCGCAAAAGTATCAACCCAGTAGTAAGCTAAAACATTATTGCTCTATCCTTTGACTTGACAGTTAACATATACCGACACCAGTTTTGAAAGTACCAAGTAGAACTAAGCTGTTAGGACACAACAAATTAAATGTACAAACCACTAAACGAAATACTACCTTTAGTGCCGCCTCGGGGGGGCTGTACGCCGCTAGGGGCGGTCGGGTAGCCTACTCCAACAGCGTGACACTGTCTACAGTTACTTCCCGGACCACCATGCAAAACAGACTGACATATGGGACACTTGTGCCGAGGAGGGGAATAAGAAGGCGGGTAATGGGGTCTGCTAGGGGGAGACGGAGGGTATTGATGGGATGGCGGATAAGATGGAATGCCAGAGGGTGGCGGCGGGTAGTAAGGTGGGGGATATGAGGAACCTCCCGGTGGGGGTGGCCAAGAAGGGTAGCACTGGGGACAATGGCGGCTCCTTACGGAAGTGTGTTCGCATTTAATATGAAATGCTGGGTCCGTCGAAGCAAGAGGAGCAGTTGGCGGGTATCTTGGCTTGAAGCCATATTCATCTGGAAGGAAATGGGAACTGTGTATGTGGAGATTATGTTTTGGTTATAGTGTGCTGTGGTTCATCCGGGTGGGTGTGACTGAACGGGAAACTCGGTATGTGTAAAGCAGATAGACAAATCTGGACGATATATAAATAGCTTAATTTTCAAAATTATTACGTAAATAGCATGAAAGAGCTACCATTGTTTTTCCAGATTTTTCTATAAGCTAGAAGTGTAGGCGAACGAATAACAACATATCAACGTCAGTACATTAATTAGTACAGGGTGTTAGTTAAGCATTAAATATATGATTCGCTAATAAATTTATTATGACTACCTTTCTAAAAGATCAGATATCGCCACTACAAAGAAATTGAAACGTTTCTAACCAATGCAAATGGTCTTTACACAAACATAGAGGTTTAGACAATAGCTATATATTTCTTTAATAGTCTCAAACTTGAAAATTGCACTACTTTGTATATCCTATATCCCAAAAATGAAGCATTTTAGACCACAGGTGTGATGTAGCTTTTTCCCTTAAAAATTACGCTGAGAAATATTGGCATTTGAGAAAACTTTCAAATGTACCCTCTCTGACTACGAAACGATTTTGATTCCGCTTGTAGATAACATCTGATTTTATAGTTTGTATGTTTCCTTTGTATATTCGCATGTAAGTATACATGTATACATGACCTATATAGTTCTTAATAAGCAAAGGCGATAAACACCGTCCGTGTTATTAAGTTAAGTAGGGACAAATTTCATGATTGTTAATCACTCACCTGCCATATTTTCCTTTTTTGCTTGGAATGATTAAGAATATCGATAAAAGTGAATTATATGCGGGTCTTGACGAGAAATTATCTTATCAAAGATCTAATAATGTCGCATGACACCACATATTTATTTGTTTAACATATGAGGTGTTCCCGAACATTCACATAAAATGATTTATAGTATTATAGCCGCCGACTGCGATAATCCGGACAAAGATCATAAAAAAAAAAAAAAATGGTGTCTTAAACTTTTTATTAACAATCAGCCGATCTGTGAACACAAAAAATTGTTTACTGATATGTTATTTCATATAAAATTCTATATCTACCTCTTTATTGTAGGGTATTGATTTTTGAGAAATTCAAAATAAAATTGCCTTAGACTTTAAATAAAATTCATTCATTCCACCCGACAATAATTTTAATTAATTTAAGATTCAAGCTGTGCAGAAATATTTCTTAAGGATTTATCCCAGAGTAGTGTTGGGACTGGTCAATTGACCACTTCTTAATTGACTAGTCAAATCCGATCAAAATGTCTTAAATAACAATTGTAGAGTTTTATCTATCATTATTTAATAATATTTATTTTATAAATTATTATGCGTTTGTGATGTCCAATTGACCTATAACCCTCTTTAAGGAGTACCGGAATACCATACTTAGCAATTCTCAGAATCCCAATTAAAATATCTACTCATTTAGTCAGAACGACGTGATGGCGACGTAAAGCACAATATAAATCAATATAAATTTCATTGCATTTTTAAAATTATCCTAGAGTTTTAAAAATATAAGCGTTATTTAAGTTTGTTAAATATTTAATTAATTATATAGAATGCAGTAATTTAAAAGAAGTTCAAGATGTATAGTAATCTAAAATCCAAGATTTCAGCACTATGGAATTGATATGGAAAATCAATTTAAGAAATTTGTTTTTTTACTAAGACATCCTTTAAGTGTTTTAGGGGATTTGATCAAAATAACTTATTTTGGAAATTTATACTCTACAAATAAATAATACATTTGAAATTAGCATTTTATCTATTTTTCGCTTCCAGCTGACTAATCATATTGGAAAGTTTTTGATGAAGCTGCGACTGGGACGGGCATTTACACTGGATATAAATGAGACTTTGAACATCCTTCAGTTGGAAAGCGATATTTGCCGCTTCTTCAAAGTTCCTGTCACAAGCAACAAAAAATATACATTTCTAGAATTCATTTCAAAATCTGTCACTCTTACCCAATTTTAAGACAGTATTTGACTTTCAAATCGTTGCTGACCCTTGATAAATATTTCATAGCTTCATCTTTTCTGTCATGTTCAAGACACACATCAATAAATGGAGTGTAGCCTATAGGAGATTTCTTTAACTTTGAAAAATTGTCCAATTCCTCCCACTTCTGTTGACTCGCCAACGAGCTTATTTTCAACCACCAATACCGCCTGTCTGGTATCTTGAAGTCGTTCTTGACCTTTTCTGCCTGTTTTGGCTCTTTCAATTCCAGCAGCGTTTTGCAGGTCTCATGTACTGATTTCCCGACCAACCTATCACCCAATTTGAGCTTATCTTGCACATCTCTTTGGAACCGTAACAATTTTAAAGATTCCTCGCATAGAGTAGCGCACAATTCCTTCCGGCCTTTCTTGTAAGCTTCCGCGGCAGAATTCAACAAGGAGTCCTTCATATGCTCTCTCTAAAATCCACAGTAAAATATAAATATCATAAATTATTCACGAAGTGCTTTGAAGAGTATTTTCAAGATAAAAGTCTATAAAAGTCTCTAAAATGTTTCATTTCTGAGATACAGGATGTCAAGGTTTCTATTCTTGTTTTTTCTTAATAATTTCTGAAATAAAATAAAAGCTTTTTATATCCTGTATCCCAAAAATGAAGCATTTTAGACCACAGGTTTGATGTAGCTTTTTACGTTAAAAATCACGCTGAGAAATATTGGCACTTATAAAATAATACCGTTTAAGAAGCGCTCACCTTTGGATCGAGACTCTCCAAAATAAACATTTCGGCTTGCGCTGTGAAGTCATCCTCTTGTATAAAAATCTCGGTTAAAGCCTGAGCACTGTGCTCCTTGCAGTAGATGATGTACAAAGACTGGGCGATGGGATAATTCCTAATAGTCATCTGAAATAATCTTGATGTTTAATAGCATTAGCTGAATTAGAAAATTTAAGTGCCTTAAAATCGCCCAGCGGCATTTTTTCTCTCAATTTGAGTATCACCATGTATATCAGATCCGTGTCACCACTTTCTATCGCTTTTACCAGAGCAGGTGTATTTTCTCCTAATTTTAAGAGCAGTTCAACTTGCTCGCTTGGTTTTGATTCATAATCCAGTAACTGGAAATAAATATTTGTTATGACCGTTTTAAGAAAAAACATAAATGTAACCAACCTTGATAGCCAATTTTTTCTTACCATATTCGGAAGCTTTCTCTGCAATTTGCCTGTAGGAGATTCCGGGTGCAGAGCCCAGTTTTTCAGCTATTTCTCTGGCAACAACTTCTTCCTCCACATGATGCTGGCTTACCTAATCATTGAGTACATTACAATAATATAGAAATCCTAATCACGGTTGTTACCTTATATTTGGCCCAGTGCACAAGAATGTGGGTGCAACCATCTTTATCAGGCATTTTTAAATAACGAGCCACCTGAAGCGCCAAAAAATACATGTTGCGAGTTATCAGTCTATTTAACAGATTCTTTAAAGACTCGTTTTCTTCTTGTTCATCATTATCCCTTTGCTTCATATACTTTAACCTAAAGCTTGTATAGGAAATTAAAGAAGTTACATTCGGCTATGTTATTAAAAAAGGATACTGGGTAATAGTTAAGGGCAATCCAACTTTCGAATCACGTATAGCATTTAGAACTCTAAGAAGGCGACACATTTTGACATATCTATCAGAATTCATGTTGGCTATGAAACATTTACCAAATTGGGCGGCCTAGAGCAACAAGAAATTACTTTTGTTTTTGAAAATACCTTAACTCACCCTGATTAGTTTCTTTTGCACTGCAGTGTCAAATTCAAACCCCACAGCATCCAAACACTGATTAACTGCTTCTTCCAAATTTTGTTTAACTAAACATATGTATTCGTTAGCCTTATGACTTCCTTTCTGAAATATTACTTGATTGATTTTGAAAACCGGGAATGATGCATTCTTACCTGAAACTGTTTAGAAGCTTCCAATAAAAAACTGCCTGGCTCGGTACTATTAATACGGAATATTTTCTGCACTTCATCTGGTACTTTCTGCAGAAGCTCCTGCTGAGAATTAGTTACTATCCTCACTCCATCTATCTCAGGTATCAAATGAACTGCACTATCATAATTATATAACATTTTTTGACCATATTTTCCTACCACAAGGATTGTGTGATCCCTCTCCCAATACACAATGACTGCCTCATTCCCACACCTAATATTTTTCATTTTTTAATAAACAAAAAAATGTTTGGTATGTTCCAGGACAAGGGATGCGTCGTTTTAATTTGAACAGTCATTTAGAATCTAAAGTAACTTGAAGCAGTTTATTTTCAGTCATATAATATATTTCTATTGTTTCAGTTATTATTTTTTAATGAAAATAAAACTACTACAAATTACAAACAATGGGTAGATCCACCAGGCAACTAGTTTTTACTGGGTTAGATGGTGATTAAATGTTTTCTATGTGCAAATGCATACAAAATTCACATTACAGAACACACAAGAATGGCTATAGGAGCTTACCATGTCAGCTGTTTAGGTTTGGAAATAATTTCCGTGTCTATTTCTGAGTACTTTTTTCTTAAATCTGTTGAGCCCAGCCACAGATATCCTGAATCAGTATACAAGCAGAGGTGTCTGGCATTTAAAGATACAGCCATTTCCAAAATGCTGGTGTAACTGTTGGAAATGTCAGGCTGTAACTAGAAACCAATTTTTCACTTTTCACATAACAAAACAAATTTTACATTCGTACTATAGCACTCGTGTGGTGTTCATCTTGTTTTAACCTATACAAGTCTCTGTTCCTTGCTAATAACATTTCTGTTGTCGAATCTTCTGAAATTACTGCCAAACAAGTTGGTGGAATGTTTGATTCTAAAATAAAATCACATAATTCCCAATCAGTTAGATATAAATAAAAAACAATAGTAGGATGCGAAAAATTGCTATAAAAAATTAAAATGCTAATTAATTTATTTTAAAAAAGTCAGAAAGAAGCAAAATGATTATCAACACTATTTTTTTTGTGCTGTATCACAGGGCTTACTATGCCAAGAAACTAAAAATTTGGGCAGGTATGTGCAACTTTTGCTTGGATTAATCTTTAATTTACTAACAGTTCCTTGTGGACATTTTGGTAATTATAAAATTAATGGTTTAAACATACTTGTAATATCACTCAGTTGTCTAGTTTTAATATCTTTTATACTATTGATCAGGAAAACCTTAAAATTTGAGGTCAATACAGCAACTCCAGTCACATTCCGTGGGTTGGTAAAAATTGTTGCTGCAATGACTTTGGTATCTTGTAATTTCTGAAATATATTGAATTTGTGCTCAAGTTTTCCAAACATATCATAGATAACTATATTTCCATCTTCCTGGATACATATGAGTTTTTCATCATTTGACCATCCCATATGAACTATGGGCTTTAGACTCCACTACAGAAAACAAAATTATGAAAATATGAACATGCTATCATTATTAGTACCTTAAATGATGTAATGGTCTTTCCTGAGGCTGAAAATATATATATCACAGGCTGACCAACTCCGCCCTGAATTTTGACAAATTTTTGATCATCCCTTCGAATGGCCATCGGCCCCCCATAAGGGGCAGACGATACAATAAAATTTTCCAATTTGATTTCTTGAGGCCATTCCATAGAGTATATTTCAAATTTTCTGTTAATAGAGATAAGGTTAAATAAATAGAACCGAAATTTTATTTGATTACCTATAATACAAATCACGTCCAAGAAGAAACCAGTCAGCAGTTATCATAGCAGCCGACATGGTGCTGAAACTTCGTTAGTAGACAAACTAGCCCACAAATTACATACAAATTAAATATTTTAAATTTTACTTCTTTTTATTTATCTACTGTCAAAATAACACATAACCAAATTAACTTCTTCTTTCTTTCTTTCTGGAGGGCCAAGTTGCTGGGATCATTTAGCTAGTGTAAACAGACAGATTTGAAATTTTCCTTCTTTTTTCCATCATTGAGGCAAATGTGCAAGAACCTTTCAGGCAAGTAACAAAAAAATAAAAACTGACTTAATTTTCTTAATTCTGGGTTTAATCCTCATGTACCACAGTGTTCTATCAATTTGCGTTGAACACAGTCTATTTTTATCGAATGACAGGTGCCTTTCTACTTTTAACCATCCAATACCAATGTAAATGTTGGGTCATGTGCTGTGGAACATGCCGTCATCTTGAAATGACGTTTCTCTTATTTATCCGCAAATTTCCTTTTAAGGATATTCCATAAAGCTGGTCAGGGCGTTGTATGTTCTATTAATTTATTTGGCAAGCAGTACTAAACATTAGGTAAGGGGACGGATTATTGAAAATTTCCGTGCTATGTAAAATGCATCGATTTTTATAACCGTTGGTTTTGAAGAATCTTAATTTCCTTTATATTTTCTATAATTCAGAGCATCTTTTTCTTTTCGACAGTTATGTCGCCGACACCTATGCCTGGGTAAGCATGGAATGCCTAGCCTAAAAAACTAATTTATTATTAGTTTACCATTATATTGAAATTTGTTTATGGTACTAATAATTACTAACTTACCTCACAAGAATGTTCATTGATATCTTAACATATTTTACAGAATGCAATTGTTTGAAGGTTTTGTTTATCTCATATCATTGAATAAATACACTAAATATAATAGGTACACTGATAAGACTGATAACAAAATGGTTTCGATTGGTTTGCCATTATTTGAAAGCTAAATTCAGTACAACCTCGGTCTAAAACTCATTTCAAAATGCTTAAGAGCAAAGATTCATCCCCAACAATACCTATTTTGGGATCTATTGATAATAGTGGTTTAGCGCAAAGGAGGGCCTCTCGGGACTTACTTAAAACTACTTACCATAAATTTGAAGACTATGATAATGTCTCTTTGGACATTGTACAGAACACTAACAAGTCTATGAAGCAGATTTCATTGTGTGTGTTAGAAAAACTGTTTAAAATTTGTTTACTGGATGTTCTTTCTTAGGATTACCAATATGTCCCGCGAAAACATGGTGTGCTTTAAGTGTGGGGATGGTTTTGAATTGCAAGAGAAGATTGTCAATTGTACAGGTCAGCTGTTCCATCAACAGTGTTTTGTGTAAGTTTTTGAGAAAGTTTGTTGAAAGTATATAATATTAATATATTTAATAATAAAAGTTAGCTTTTTAAAACATAATGAAATAAATTATTTAGTCTAGACCACATTCATATACAACACATTCTATTACTAAAAGAATGAGGAGACAAGTTGATTTTCATTTAAAAATTCTATCTGAATGAAACTTTTATGCTGGCTATTTTGAGTACTTTGTGGCCTTTTTTCGTCGTCGTAGGTGTAAGATAATGCTAATATTTTCCCTATATAGATGCGCACAGTGCTTTAGAGAATTTGCAGACGGCGTGTTCTATGAATTTGATGGTAGAAAGTACTGTGAACACGACTTTCATGTATTGTTTGCTCCCTGCTGCCAAAAATGCGGCACATTTATTATCGGCCGAGTAATTAAAGCAATGAATGCGTCATGGCACGCAACTTGCTTTACATGCGAGATGTGCAATACGGAGCTGGCTGACAGAGGATTTATTAAAAACGGAGGTAGAGCGTTGTGTCATGATTGCAATGCAAAAGTAAAAGCTAGAGGGCTTGGAAAATACATTTGCCACAAATGCCAGTAAGGTCTTCGCTTTTACGAAGAGATATTTTATTAAATAATGTTCCGGTTTTAAGTGCAATGATAGATGGTCAGCCATTGAGATTCCGCGGGGAGGTTTACCATCCATACCATTTCAACTGTACCGCTTGTGGCATAGAATTAGATGAGAACGCTCGCGAAGTGCGCAATAGGCCGGGATTGGCAAAAAACGACACAAATGAGCTCTATTGTTTGCGCTGTCACGACAAAATGGGCGTGCCAATTTGCGGAGCTTGCAGACGTCCCATTGAGGAGAGAGTCGTAACAGCATTGGGCAAGCATTGGCATGTTGAGGTTAGTTAGCTCCTTGGAGTATAGCGGCCTTTACCTTTTCATATTTTGACAAAATATTGCCCAAAAATTCCACATCCAAACTGAAAACTGTCTAACTGACGAACTGTCAGTGGTCAAGTTTCATTTAACGTATGAGCGAGATTTAAAATCTCGTTTTTATATGAGACGTCGTCAACAATTTTTAATGCTGCATTTTTTGAGAAAATACTGCTGCAAACGCGTCCAAACTTATTGATGATCTGTTAGTGGCTATGTTGGTTATCGAATGCCGCAAGGTCATTGGTTAGATTTTAAATCTCGCGCGTGCGCATGTTAAATGGACATTCTCAAAAAAAAAATCATAGTTCATAAGTTCTTGTATCATTGGCATACGTAGGGCCTCTATATCTCTGGTAGCTATATGGGTTCAACTATACAATTGATTCAAACTATTTGCTCAATTGATCAGTCAGCGGCCATTATTAAAAGAGACTGATATAAGAATTTTGCTCTATTTATAGAACATTTAATATTCCTTTTAGCATTTTGTCTGTGCAAAATGCGAAAAACCATTTTTCGGTCATCGGCATTATGAAAAAAAAGGGTTGGCCTACTGCGAGACTCACTACCACCAACTCTTCGGCAATCTCTGTCATTTGTGCAATCAAGTTATTTCCAGTGACGGTATGTTTCTTACAATAACAAATATCAGAATCTAAAAATCTTCATTGCAGTTTTCACTGCTTTGAATAAGGCGTGGTGCGTCCATCATTTTGCCTGCTCGATTTGCGACCAGAAAATGAACCAAAAGACCAAATTCTATGAGTGCGATTTGAAGCCGGTTTGTAAGAAGTGTTATGAAAAGTTCCCAAACGAACTTCGTAGACGCTTGAGGAGACAACACGAGGCAACACCACGAAGAGCGCTTACTCCATCTGATAATAAATAAGAAAGTATTTATTACAGTTCTTGGAAGTTAACAAATTTTTGATTTTTTTTTTAAATTAAATTGTATTAAAATTTCTAATCGCCGCTGTTATTTTTAAAAATAATTATTAAAAACTATTTCTGGCTGGCTATGTATTTAATTAACGAATGTGTAATTGTCTATGTGTAACAAATTAAAAATTATTAATTTTTTGGAATTGAGGTTATTTGTTATTGAGTTTGTTAGGTATAGGAATCTCAAGTTAACATCTACTGAGATGATGAAATGGGCCAACATCTCAACACTCGCAATATGATTTACACAAAAAATAAATATTGGGTTGACCACCAATGTTTGAGCTCCAGAGACCAAGTTGTCTTGTACACATTTGGTCAACTAATTGGGCTTTTAAAAGAAATACAGGAATTTTTAAAAGCAATGCACTATACTGCATTTTTTTTTTAGATTATTCCAATAATTGCACATTTTGAACCATCATAAATATGTATGAAAATATGGGGACAGGTTTACTTTGGCAAATTTATACAATATATTGACAAAAAGCTTAAGAGAATGCCTAGAAATTCGACAAGGAATCAGTAGAACAGTCCAAATTAAATGAAGGATTTTCTACATCATCAAATTCATCCTTAAATTTATTTAGAAGTACTTCTCTAGGTAGTGCCCCTTTTGTTATGGTTTTGGGATACTCAAGATGACATTGTTTAGGAGTATCACCAGCCCTCTGCACTGGTACAATATTTTTGACAATGTCAGTGACGATGTCATCACAGTTCTCTAAAAAACTAGAGCATTTTTCAACATGCGTCGGAATAGCTTCCTTTTGTATTCTACAACTAGTGGCTGTTGTAGCTATAACAGAGTTCACATTGTTGCTGAGGTCGGTTAAGATTCCTTTGAGGTCATCAACTTGCTAAGAAGATAGCAATTAAAAACAAATAATGCACTTTCTGCACGTTATCTTTGTAAAATTTACCTCTACAACTTGGTGCTTTAAATATTGTATTTTTGGTAGCATCTGTTGTTGCAATTCATTTATACACAATTTACTATCTTCTAATTCCAGTTTTAGACAAGCGAGATTTTCCTCCAGAGCAGTAAATCTTTCCTGAAACTATATACTTAATTAAGAAAAATCAATTAAACTACATTACTACACAAGAGTTACATATCATTTCCTGAAGAAAGTGTATACCTACTTCCAATATATCCTGTTTAAATTGAGACGCTTTTTGATCCAATATGTCAACTGGCGATGTCTGTGTGATGCTGCAGTCAACTTTGTCCAACAGAGAATCTATGTCATTGATTTTACTCTGAATAATGTCAGTAATAATCTTTTGTATTCTTAATTCAGTAAGATGCTGGTCCCTTTCGTGTAGCAAAGAAGATTTTACAGTTTGCAACTGTTGAATCATGCTTTCAGATTCCTGTGATTCTTTCATTTCATAGGAATTAAACTAGAATGAAATCCATTAATCAATAAAGACTTATTGCCTAAGATAAACTCACTTGCTCTAGAAGTTTCTTAGATTTATCCTTAATTGATCCTATACTAAGAAGTACTTTTTCAACACTACTTTCTACTGTATCAGTTAAAAAATTTGATTGTTCTATAATTTGTTCACCAATATTGTCATACTCATCCAAATTTACCAACAGGGACGGCGCTGTATCATTTTCCCAACATATTTTTTGTGATATTGCATTTGCTGTAATTTCTTGCAAATGTTCCAGTTCTCTTAAAGTATTCGCAAAATCGGTCAACCTAAATTTCAAGTAATCTTCTTCCTCTTTAATTGCTGTCAAGTTAAGTGTTAGATTTTTAGTTTTTTGTTTCACTATCTGTTCATTACTGTAGTTATTATAATACTGTTTCTCAAGTTTCTGTTGTAAAGTGGTTTGATTATCTGACAAATGTTGGATGGTTTTCAAGAGATCGTTGGCTTGCGTTTCCCTTTCGATTGCAACCTTTTCATAATACTCTGACACATACTGTTTTTCCTTAAGGTCTTTATTCTTTTCCTTCAGCAGTTTTTTCGCTTTATCAATAATTTTTTGTCGTTTGCGGCACTCTTTCATGATCTTATCAAACTCTGCAGCTTTCATTGAACATGCACTTTGAAATTCAGAAATTCTATTTTTCAAGTCCTCAATTACTTGACATTTTAAAGTTATAGCATTTGATGCGCTTTCTCGTTCAAGATTTATTTGTTCCCAATTTTCTTTATCTATAAAAAAACCTTCTCCAGACCTGGCTGCTTCCAAGTCTTTTTTCAGTTTATCGATTTCATCAGTCATGTCTTTAATCATTCGGACCTTTGTAACCTTTTCATTTATGGTGGGTGTATTTTTAATATTTCTAACACGGCAAGCATATTCTAATGTGTTAGAAGTTTCATCATATGAGTTTTGAGATGGTGAAATTGTTGCAATAATACATGTTTTAGTGTGCCCCCCTAAACTATCTTGCAGAATACGAGTTAATTTTGACTCTCTATAGGGGATGTGTTTATGTTTTTCTGCCAACGACTGTATAACTCTTCCCAAAGTGAGAAGTGATTTATTTATGTTCCCCAATTCGACAGCTCTCTTGTCTTTGGCACCAGATTTTGCAATATTTTCACTTCCCGCCAGATCGACAAGATTAATTTTGCCTGTTTTTAACACTTCCTCTCCTGTTATGTTGGATTCTATTATATGAACTGCTATAGTGAAAACTGTATGTGACCTTGAGCTATGATTGTTTAATAAAGTACAAGCAGTTTGTCTTCTACTTGTACCTTTCACAAGTAATGCATAAATTTCACTACTGTTACGAACTGCAATATCACTTAATCCTTGAATGTAGACTGATCCTTTTGAATCGTTGAACATACTAAAACATTAAAAATATAAGACAATCATTTTCAAAATTGTTATTTAGTACTTTAAAGAAACCAAAGATTCATCATCATTAAGCAAATCCCTAACTTCTTCATTGTAAAGTTCTAAGAATGACACTCTAACACTATACTGAATAACATCCATTGAGGCTAGTTCCGTGAAGATATGAGCAGCTGCTCTGGGAATGCAACCTGCAAGTTCATCCTAAAATAGAAATATTTACAAAATAAATAATATATTCTTTATTACATCAAAAGTTACCACTACAACATAAATTAGTTTTAATTTGTGATACGATTTTTGACATATTCCATTCACATGTCCAATAGCAGATTCTTGACTTCATCCATACCATACAAGATTAATGTTATTTAGCACAATATTAAATAAGGACAGGCCAATACTAATTTTAAAAACAATACATTTTGACGGCATTTATTAGAAGATAATTTTTGGTAGCCCAGGCTGATATATTATGGAAATCTACATTTATTCAATTAATGGTGTCAGAAAAATTTGCGTTACAGCAATTCAGCCAAGAATCCCAGCCAATTTGACTGCTTGCCGCCTCTCTCAAAATTCACTTTCAAACCAGTCATCTGCATCAATCCTAAACACTTTCAATTGGTGATAAAGGAAGATCCATATCTAAACTTACAAAAATATTTACTCATATCTATTAAAACAGAAGGACAATGTAATTGAAAACATGGGCATTATCACTGGTAATCCTGAAGAGAACTCTAGCATAGTTGTAATTGCATATGCAGCCTGACTGCCATTTCGGTGTTATGTTGGCCAATGAGAGAAATTGCATAATTTGACATTTTAGCAACTTTTCAAGTATTTTTGAGGCAGCAGGAAAAGAATAGAAAGAACTTTGGGTAAGGGGTGGTTGGAAATGAACCAGATTGTAGAGATACATTTGTATATATTAATATTAACTAGTAGTTTTAAACAATCGGGTAAAAGTTTTAATATTCTTATAGTAATCTTGACCACTCCAACAATATCTTTAATAGTATTGATACATGCCAAAATTTCTTCCTCAGATACTAAGTAAAAGTGAAATGGCTCCCATGTAATTGAATCAAATTAAACTATGAGGCACAATCAAATGAAATACCTTCATAATAAACTTACTTCTTTCCAATGAACAGTTGAGCAGGGGTCTACACCAATCATTGTATGCGTTTTACCAGTACCTGTCTGTCCGTACGCAAAAACTGTACAGTTATAACCCGCAATAACATCAGTTATCATTGGAGAAACCACATAAGAATAAATGTCTATTTGAGCGCTATCTGGTGGGAATACTTTATCAAAATGGTATTTCTTTTCTTTTGTATGGATTTCCTTAGAAGACACGCAATTCACATTAGTTTTTGCCCCTGTTCCGTTTTCAATATGGCTTAAAGGTCTACAAATGATGCAAAGAAAGATTATATTTTAAAAATATATATAACTTTAATGTACCTCACTCGAACTACAACTTTTATATTTTGAGACGGACACACCTTTTTTTTTAAGGGAAGTGACATTTTACAATATGCAAAATGCAATACAATCTTTACTTTAAATGAATAACTTTTAACAACTAAACGGTTACAATTTAAAAACTTAGAACACAGTAAGCATAACAAAACCTCCAGCCATTGTTCAAATGATAATAACGCCACATCTTCTTCTTCTTCGTGATTACAGGATGCTGACAATACGGTGATCATTCGCCAATTGTAGACAATTTTGAATCTGATAATCATGATTATGTGATTATAGTGGTCAGTTTAAAAGCCCAGTGGATACGCTGCAATTCCTGTAAGTATTTTTAACAGATACGTTGTCTTGTCCTATGATATCACTTGTAGAAACTGGGAAGTATCGCTTCTGCCGAACTATGCTCAAGTGTTTTAAAGAAGAAAGAACAGGAGCTGGTGCCTCGGATTCTGTGGTGGAGCATTGCACGCGGCGGTTTAACCTCCGTTCGCTCCCGACAGAATCCCATGTATTCGTCCCAAAAAGTTTGATATCGGTTTCCACGGTGTGGATTTAGTGTTTTGAGTGTTCAGTGCACGTCTTAAAGTGATAATCGTCGCCGGCCCTGTCGTTTTTCTCCGTTCACGCCGGTATGGAGGCCGGATGGGCCCGGATGGTCCGTTTCTTTGTACGTGGTGGTCAATTGACCAGAAGCGAAAATCCTCGACGGAAGTCGGCAATGGGCAAATGATCCTAGCAGTCGCGCCCAACATTTTTTGTGAAACGCATAATTGACTTGACTTTAGCTGGTACCTCACTTCTGCTTCTAGAGCTAACTTCTCATTATTCGTTTCTCGCGCGTACGATTTACGTGTCTCAGGATAAACAATATTTTCTAAATATGGATCCTGTAACAGTTTCCTGTGCTTTGCTTTGTATTTTTTGGAGTCTTCGAGCACAGAATAATGCCATTAGCGCATCCATTTTTTGAACAAATTCAATAATGAAATTTGCCATTTATTTTATTCCCTAAAAAGTTGAAGATCAAATTCCTGTCCCGTTTAGGTGGTACTTTCTTTTTCCGAGTTTTGTTCTGAATATACCCTTTTAAAAACTTGAAATTTCAAAATTAATGACAAAGCTGAGCAGAAACTGCTAAAGAATCGATATTTAAATTTTTTACTTTATCGTGGAAAGACACGTAGATTTTATGCGCGAGAAACGAATAATGAGAAGTACCGCCACTAGAAGTAGAAGTGAGGCACAAGCTCCTCTTCTTTATTCTTTAATACAAAAGAGCATAGTTCGCCAGAAGCGATATAACTTATTTTCCATAAGTGATAAATTAAGACAAAATTAGTATTGTAATTAGGATGGAGCTTCACAGGTAAGTTCGTTTAATCTAGTAATAAAAATTGCCTGTTGTGTTGTATTTCAAGCTGTAATTTTTTGGTGGTTCAACTTCTGGACAATCTGTCAGAAACCAAGTAGCCCCTAGAAAGCTTGTTGAGGAATAGATATTATAAAATTTTCCTAGCGAGAAAAATTTTAGTTACTTACTAACAGTAACTCTAGTATTCTGTGGTATTGTTTAAGCAGAGAAAAAGCAGCTTTTCTCTGGTTCAAGGTGCATCAACAACTTTGAAAGATCAAGTTTGATTTTAGTTCTTCATATTATTATGTAATGCATAAAGCCATTGAAAACTAAGTGTATGCCAAAAATCAAATTAATGAAATGGCTGATGAAAACGATAACGACCGTATGGATAATGAGAATAATAAGCCCGAGAAAATGTTCACACTAAAGAAATGGAATGCAGTAGCGATGTGGAGCTGGGACGTCGAGTGCGACACTTGTGCGATTTGCAGAGTGCAGGTTATGGATGCTTGTCTTAGATGCCAAGCAGAAAGCAAGAAAGATTCCTATGGCAAGCAAGACTGTGTAGTGGTTTGGGGAGAATGCAATCATTCATTTCATTACTGCTGTATGTCTTTGTGGGTGAAACAAAATAACAGGTGTCCATTGTGTCAGCAGGAGTGGTCCATACAACGGATGGGAAAATAAACTTAAATTTCAATTGGAGTAACTGTTAAAATCTTTTAATTGATATGATCAGCTGTCCTGAAACTGAAGAGAATAACCATTTCAATGCGTCTTGTATATTCCATTTTAACAGATTTACAAAGCTTATTTATGTTCTTAAGCTTGATGTTTTACTAAGAGTGATGCCAGGACAGATGTTAGTTGTTCCAAATATGCTGTTTAAACTAATATTCGTACAGAATTTTTTTCCTATTTACTAGATTTAGACTGTAGAACTCAAAACATTACCTTAGGTGACTATGTCTTGGAGCATCATTTGTACGTTATAACTTGTTTGCAATATTTCGAACTTCTGTGACAGAAAATATTCACGAATTCTTGCAGTTGTTTCCAAAAATATGTATAAAACTCTTTATTTAGAATAAAAAGTGAAAATAGGATGTGGGGTAGACAAAAAAAGTACAGAAAGTTTTGTGTTTTGACATTTTTATATATACTCTTAATCGAGGCTTATGGAACAATAAAAATATACAGATCAAGCCCCTTTATAACATACATATACGTATTTCATTTAAAATATAGACATTTTAATCTTCATTTTAATGATTAATTTATATCATATATAACTTAGTGGTGAATCATACTAATATATAACATATATTTATTAGATTGCCCAAAAACACTCAAATTTGTCTGAACATCTGAGCAAGGTTGTAACAGACCTGTCATCGCATATAAGTATGTAAGTACTTCTAGGCATAATTCAGAGGTCACATAACCAGTCTGTACAATTACTTTATAAATATCCCTTAAATTTTGATTTGCTAGTGGTTTGATTATGTTATTCGTTTTTGGCCCTTATGACCTACATTCTAATCTAAATGATTAAAACTGTTTCATAGACTTAAGGACGAGTAGGTACCACTTGATATTAGCTATAAAAAAATAAATGTTCCAAGCTCAAACATTCAATATAAAGTACATGCTCATTTTGTTATTCAAAGCGCATATCTTATTGTATATGGCACTATGATTTTAGAATTATTACTGGTTAAGAAGTTGAATTGGCAAATGATTCTCAAATTTGAACTTGGAACTGTCTCGTTGGATGTCTAGACAATACTGAGGTGGATTACAAAACACCTGCAGTCGGTTCAACTGAAGTACCTAGAATCAAGATCAAATGTCTTGTCTCTAAAACATAGCTAAAATTTAATTGAACCACAGTCAATTTAATTGAAACAAAAACCACCCATTTTATGGAATTAAAATTTTCTTTCATTTTTGTTTCAATCAATTACACTTGCCAAATGTATCAAAATTGATGGCATTTGCGGAGAACTAAGTTTTGTGAGCTAAGTGACAGTTTGTTTTGTTGCATGTCGCTAGTGCTTTCTGGCCTGTGGGATTTTTTCCATATACTGGGTTAACCATTTGCTACGCTATTACTCAAAAACTACATTTCATTTTGGTCACTCTGCAAGATCGCGTCTGAAACCGTTAAAACTACTGTGGGTTGTTCAGTTGCGATGTAGTTTTAAGAAAATAAGGCTTACAGTTACACACAAATACTAGAAGTTAAACCATTTACACACACCGTACCTCTATCGTCCGCTCCCGGCACATAACGTAGAGCGAACATTATTACAATAGCAGATTAAAATCTCATAGTACACAACCAATTGGATTATCTGTGTTCACAGCCACACACCAATAAAAAATTTCCATTATGAAACATTAAGATAAAAAGGTCATTTTTGTTTTACATCAGCCTCATTATCAAGTTTATAAAAATACATGCGCGGTCATTCGCCGTCTGGTTTTCGAATAATGTACAAAACACGAAGTAAGGCTGCGACCATACGTCATAGAGAGCCTACTGTTATAGAATTGTTGCCTTTATATAGTTGGGCCTGTTCGACGACGGATCAAAAACAGCTTGATCGTTTGCGCACTCTCCCGCTGCAAGGAAGAGCTATCGAAATAATCAAACTGCACTTAACCACGTCAACGCCCGCCCAAAAACGTTATCAACAATTCCACCTGCTCCGGTATCATCTGAGGAATGAACCTTTTTTTTTAACTTATTAGGTCAGTCATTGAGTCATTGTCGTTTAGATTGATTGTAAAGCGGAATGTGATTCAATGTATAAATTAAAATGCGCTTCAAAACAAGATCCAAACAAAATTACTAAACACGCATCGCACTAAATACAGAATCATCGTTTCGAGTCGGTCGGACCGGCAAGAATTTTAAAAATATTCTTTTCCCCTCGCGTTTACCCTGATTTATTTATTTACTTATTTTTTTATTAACAGCGAAACCGGGTGCTGCTGCTGAGATCAACTTTTTTTTATCAGTTAATGTGACTATAACTACTTAGGTTGCGCCTGCAACATTGAGAGGGGTTTTCCAGTTAGCGTATATTCAAAACATCGATGAACGAAACTGCAAACATATTTTACATTTTATGTAGGTACAATTTTTTTTTATCGTTTTATATCAACCAACATCGACATTTACATACCCAACAGATGGAATTTACTTAAAGTCTATTCCGCACTAGAAATTCCACCGGTTTAGGTTATCGAATTGTTAAATCATCGAACCAATTTGAAAAATATTTTGACGATTTCAATTGGCGAAAAATTTTCAGTCATTTGACATTTTACATTTTAATTCCTGAAAATTTCGCATGTGTAAAACAGGTTTCCAAGTTAAATACCACCCCAACGTGAGGAATGGTTATTGTACGTACATCATATAGCAACTGGAACTATATACGCCCTGTATATGCTGACAGTACAGAAACTCATAAAGCAACTATGTAAAATTTTGTTGAGAAAGTCAATCCAACGTGCGCATGCGCGAGATTTAAAATTTCCTTTTTAACAAATGGCAGTTCTAATGACAAATTCTGACGTAGACCTTGCAGCTTTCAACAAACAACATCAGATCGTCGATGTTTGGATGCGGCATTTTTACGGCAGTATTTTTTCAAAATATGTAGAAATCTCAGTTCAGTTCAGTCAGCTGGGGAGTGACGCATGTGCAAAACATCCTTCTCTACGAAAATATCATAGCCACCTGCGACGCATCAATTTTTAACGCATTACGGCCACTACATTATCTTATAACTATATGACGTACGCCAACATCCATGTTAATTGATATACATATTAAAAAACACCTCACTATATTGATTAAAGATTATTATTATTATTATTATTATTATACGCCCACATTGCTGGAAAAACTACAAAGTCTAATCGGCGATTTTTTCTTCCGTTAAATGCAAAACGACTTGGTCACCCATAGCCAAATCTATTATCTGGAAAAAATTTTTAATCTGCTGAATTCCATTAAGCTTAGAGTCACGCGGATTTGCAAGACAAAAAACAGAAGGGCGGTACGCCCGACCGACTCAATTACACGCGCAAGTATGATCCAACTTTAGTCGTAGATGACTGTGTTATCGTAAAAATGATGGGACAGAGATGACGCGTCAAAAGTGACCACTTGCGGTCACGTGCTGCAACATTGCATCCATGTCGATGTGCACGTGCAATAGGTGCATCCGGGAGGTACGGCCGCCAACGGGGCGTACACTACCCCGTTGGCAATCACCAGCGGTGGGGCTGCAGTTGCTTGAGGTTGAGCCAGCATTCGTTGTTGCTGGTCTTGATAGAGTACCTGTAATATATAAGAAATGCGTTCTTAAACCATATTCAAATTTATACTTCGATATGTCCAAGTTTAAATATATTTTCTATGTGCTATTTCTTGATGCGAGAGTTATAAATCATTATAGAACTGTAAAACTGTAGTCTCAGCCGTATTGCATTGGCGCAGTATTGGAAGCTCAAAACAGAAAATCACTTTTAATAGAGAAAGGCAACGACGATATTTAAGAGCAGTTGGACAGTTTCGATGCAAAACCAGAAATATCTATTACCCGGATGCAACTTGGGCAAACTAGAAAACACCGTAGAGCCCCTAATTATTTTTCTCCACTCCAAGGCTATGGTTCCTACTACTCGGAACATGATAACAAAAAATTACAAACGAAGTTGTATTGTAAATTTATATTTGAATTATGTGCCAATTTGTATAATTATGTATGTAGCTAACCAAACTCGTCTTTCTATTGCATGCAATTTAGTATGGTCCTAATTTAGGAACGATTCGAGGTGTGTATCATTGCAATTTATCTGAATTTTACGATATAACCTTAAAGTTGTCCACCCTGCTCCACGATCGCTGTCATTGCAACATTTTATTTATTGTCTGAATCATCCTCGTAACAATGTGGGCATATCACATGTGAATCTATGAATGCATACTTGGGGATTTATTTGGAGATTCCTCTGAATGTGCTTATGGATCCTGAGCTTAAAAAACCTGAGAATGTTGATTTATAGAGTGAAATATTTTTGAATTGTTTATAAAATCTTAACAAAGTAAATAACACCATGGTATATTCTTTTCACGTAGATCCAGTAACATTTCTGTATCATTACCTAAATCGGTTCACGGAATCGATAATAGGATATTATGCAACAAGTGCGGCATTTGACACGAGCGGAGCGAGTGTTTAACAAACGAGTGAGAAAAAGTTTACCGAACGAACGTGTTGCATACTATACTTTTTCTACGACCGTTAGTTTTTGGGTACATTTTCGCAAAACACCAATACATTCACTGAAATGACTGTCAGAATTGACAAACGTCAAAATTCAAAGCGTGGGAAATATCTTCGAAAACATCCGATTGCTACCAAACCCGTGCGGTAAAATCCCGGAAATGTCCGAAGTGGCTCGAATTCGTGGGAAACGAAACTGACGTGGTAAAGCGACACTTCCCGCACGCTAGATCGGTGCGTAATTAGGTATATTAGGAAGTAGAAAAAAGAAGTTACTTGAAATTAAATAAAACAAGACCGTCGGATATAAATGGATGTGACGTTTCATTTCATAATCCGTCAGTAGTAAATTGAAAAATGGTTTCACTTTTAAGTGTTTATGATGAATTATTTTTTTACATTGTTAAAAATTGTGGAAATTGTGACGGTTTCATATTTCAATGGTAAAATTTAGCATTTTTAAAGTGAGAGTGCTGGCACATTTGCGAAGTAACGGGTTTATTTTATTAGTACCTTGTAGAATTAATTGTCCTGTCCATTTCCTTCACCTTTTGCTGTTTGGCGAGTGCTTCTTAACAATTAAAATTCTTGTTTATTAGGTTCATATCGATTTTGCAATTTGAACACACATTCTTTTGTAGACTCGGTTCCTTTAGTTTCGGACTTGTACTCCCCGGCCGATTGTGTTGCCGAACCATAAATATTTTATGCTGCAACGGCTGTGTGCGTGGCCCCTTGTTCGCTTGGTTTTCTCTTAAGTGACACCGGTTTACTGAGAGATACTAATGCAAAAAACAGAGTATTAGTTGCGCATTAGAAGGAGTCATAACCATTACCATCTGTCACTCTATGAGACTAGGGACCGCATTTGCTTTTCATTGCTTCGGTATTCCTTGGCGAGCCTAGTAAATATTGTTTTGTTTCTTAACCTATTCTTCCTCGATTTTCTGTGACTGGCCGTCCGGTCGCCACCATAGATAGCGTTCGGGTAATTCAATCTCGTTGACGCAACCTCGATTCTTTGGCACGGGCCATACGGCCATCACCACAGATATAGTTCAGTTGTTCTTTCTACTGGCGGCGTACCGTCGACTAGGTTGGCAAGAGTGGCGTTTTCCCTCTAATTTTTTGTGCCCGTTTAGCCTTTTAATAAAACTGGTTGTCTGAATCGTCCGGCATTTTGTACGCTAGCTTTTGAAGCTTGGGGTTGTGGCAGATTTTCTTTTGTGTGACCGATTTCTTTTTGAGCCGGTAGTGCTACCCCAATAAGAGGGGGATATGTAAATTGGTCACTAATTTATGATTTCCCATACTTTTGGATCTATTTGGAGTTTGGAATGGGAATCTTCCTCAACGAGGGATTTTGAAAAGAATTGTCATTGCCCCATATTTCCAGAAAACCCTCGAATCGAGGTAAGTTACCTTTTGGAACCATTTCGCCACCTAATCAGTGTTCCTCAATTTATGCCGATTTTATTTTAGGGTTTTTTTTTTTTCTAATTAGTATTGTACGTATTGTTGCTCCGTTTCCCGCAAACCTTCCACGTGGTTTCTTCTTTCACCGGAATACCAGACCAGACTTGGTGTCTTGCAGTGTATGCTGTCTCTTGGGTACATGTTTAGTTGTGGAGTTTCCCCTATCGAGCAGCCGGCTTTCCGGACGGACTTTGCTGGGTTAACTGAGACTGCCCACCTGCGGCTGTCTCATTGAGCCACCATTCCATCTTGGCTTGGTTCCCGGGATAGTGACAGACAGCTGTGTAACGTTCGGGACATCTTGAGGTTTGGGTAGCTTAAGTGGCCTGTTCTCTTCAAGAACGGTTTGCGGAACTTATAGCCTTAAATTATAGTGTCTTACATTCTTTTGCACCGCCAAAACTTGAAGGTGAGATTTGACACTCACACCTACCACCAGGTTCAAGGAAATAAATTATTGTTCGTGATTCACTTGTTTATTTCCTTTACGGGTTGGAACCTCGGGTTGATAAGTCTACCTTTTTCGAATCACGTGGCGCCTACCTACCACCTTCCGGGACTGACCGAGGTGCCCTTCACCGCCTTCCAACCTGGCTTTGGTTTAGTATATATATTTTTTTTCTTTTCTACTTTATTAATTTTTCTCGGTTGTTAATGAGCTAGCCTAGGCATTGTCTTACCTCACTATTAAATTACGAATTTAATTAATTAATGCGTTTCTTTTTCACGACCCTGAGATGGAGAGGTAAGAAAATACAGGTATAAATTCGAATCAAAGTGAATTTTTCCTGCGTCAGGTGGTATTACTGTTGAATTATGTTTACCGAATTTGTTGTATTATGAATTTGCATAAACTGTTCGACACGCTGCATTATCATGCACGTATATGAAGCAGTAGAGATAAAATAAAAATTTGTATATGTTTGCTATAAACATTACCGACCAATCCACCCATTTTCAAATTATATTATTTGCTTGGTTAATTGTGCTAAAGTTAATTATTTATTAAATTAGGACACGTGTTCGTCTTAATTGTTTAACCGTGTAAAATCTGGACCTAGCAACAAAAAATGTTAAAACGATGCGTCACGAACCATGCTCATGCTGCAATAGTTATTTAGTAAATTACTTTTCTTATGCAACTCTAAAATATCCGCTCTCGTCACTTTTAATTTCGCTTTAATATATTACGATCAACGAGCGATACTTCAATCTTTGCGTGGACCATTAAAAGAATTGAATACACATATGGCTCTGCTATTAGCTATATAATATATATTGCAATTTCACACATTTAAATTTTTCACATGTTGCCTTAATTGTCTGGTCTGTTGCGCAGTAATCTTGTACAATTGTGCTAAATAATTACCTAATTAAAACGACTTTTTACTAATAAAAGAATTTTTTTTCAACTACGCAAGAGAATTGCCCCAATTGGAAAGCCGCTCTAGGATAAGCGAATTATCTTGATAATTGAATCATTTTATGTGACGTAATTGCATGTCTACTTTAAGAGAAGAGAAGCGGTTCGGCGAAACAATATTCCATAAATATCGGCATCGAAAGAACTCTTTTCTTATATACAGCGATCAACTATCTCGCGCAAGCAAGGGAAAAGTTGCACATTTGGGTACCAAACAATTTTTGAAGCATTGAAAAATCAAATGCAGTATTTTTATTTCTGTGTAATAGCTATGGCGCACTTAGGCTGTTAATTATTGAGAAGCCAGAAACGTACCTGCCATGCCAAGCTCTGGATGAGGTGTAGGGTCTGCCGTCGTTCGTGGCCCATCAGGCACACCGTCGACTGTTCGACAACGTCGTGGAGGCGGAGCAGGAACTGGTGACGTAACGCCTCCTCTTCTGGTTCGACGAAGTGGTTCCAGAGGTACGTCTCCAGTTTGGTGCGCTGCTGCGATATGTCCGGAAAATCTATGAAGAATCGCGAGCACATGTACCTAGAACAAAATGAATAAAAAGTCTTACGTCAGTTTCTGACATCTATATATTGTATCAGTACTTTAACCCAGTCACAAAAAATTTACTCAATTATTCACTGAATGGTTGTGCGTAGTTATATTTTGGTATAAATCTCACTAACGCAGGTCAATATGTGAATATTTTTTTATTATAAACAATATCCACTAGATGAATACATGCGGTAACCGGCATTTGAGTCACGAGTTTATTTGACAAAAGCGAAGCGCAGTGGAGCAAGTTTTTAATAAACAGTTAGTCAAAAAGTTTACCGCACTTGTTGCATACCATACTTTTTCTACGACCGTTAGTTTTTGGGTACATTTTCGCAAAACAACATGAATTGACTAATGTCAAAATTCAAAGCGTGGGAAATATCTCCGAAAACATCCGATTGCTCAAAAATCCGTGCGGTAAAATCCCGGAAATGTCCGAAGTGGTTCGGATTCGTGCGAAACGAAACTGATGTGGCAAAGTGACGCTTCCCGCACGCCAGATCGGTGTGTAATTAAATATTTTATAGACGAGAGTGAAAAAAAAGTTTACCGAACTTGTTGTATACTATACTTTTTCTACGACCGTTAGTTTTCGGGTACATTTTTGCACAACAAAATACGTTCGGTAAACTTTTTAAATCACTTGTTTATTAAACACTCGCTCCGCTCGTGTCAAATAAACTCGTCAGTCAAATGCCGTTTACCGCACTTGCTGCATAATATACTATAAATCACTCGTTTATTAAACACTCGTGAGTCAAATGCCGTTTACCGCACTTTTTGCATAATATACTATTTTCTACTCCCTTCCGATCCACTTCGGACATTTGGGAGCAATCGGATGTTTTCGGAGATATTACCGCACGGCTTGAATTTTAACGTTTCAATTCTGATAGTCAGTCGTCAGTGAATGAATTCGTGTTGTTTTGAAAAAGTATAGTATGCAATTACGTTTGCTAAACTTTTTAAGTAACTCGTTTATTAAACACTGCTAAATAAACTCGTGACTCAAATGCCGTTTACACACTTGGTCCTTAATATACTAATAACATAATGTTAAAAAAGCTCTCAACGTTCTGCAAGAAGGCTCGAAGTGACGTTTTAGTTGTATCTAATACCATCTGCACTAACTACCTATATTCTACCCTATTTTACTGCACGAACTGAGTATTTATTAAATATATTCATATATTGCCAATATTTCTGTATTCATCACATTATTAATAATTCGGGGTGACACCACAGTTATATGGCCATATATGGGTTTACCGTTTATACTTATTTTCCATTCAATTTTTCTATGACTGGGTCGGGTGTCCTATGAACATAATGTTACTGGTGTCAGTATTATGATTTAGGAACGCCTTTTTATAACCAAGTTTTTAATGCATTGTATTGCGGAATTACTTGTCGTTATAATCAGTGAGTAACTGCCGAGTGAACGTCAGTATGCGAATAGGGCCGTAGTAAAGTCTTGGTTGTTGGAAGCCGGTATTTAGGCACCGCATCCATTACTTGTCTGGTCAACTTTCTCGATGTAAGCTTTAGCGCGTGACTTAACCTATAACGTTCGCGGAAAACCCGATACAAATATTTTCCATGACAACCTCGACGAGTATCGATGTCCACACGATCGGTGGCGAGGGAAGCGAGGATTGTGATTAAAGTCGGCGGTTTGGACGGAATTAATCATTCAAAAGATAAATACCGCTTGGGAACTTTGGGATCCGTAATAATTGGGTCCCGGTTTGGTGGGTCAAACTTACTAATAAATAATGACTGATAACGTTTTTCGACGATTAGGAGATTCTCGGAAAATTTGAGCTAGACCAAGAAATCGGACATTTTTTTACTGCGTTATTAATGGAATAATTAAATCGAAATGAGAGATACTGAATGCGTAATAGTATACAATGCAATCTTATTGATAAATGCTACTTTTGTCACGGACTGACCGCAGCACAGTGGCGAGTGCATACTATACATACGTCCACTGAGTGACGCGTGACTTGACCATCAGAACTGGCAAAGATCAAAATACAATCAGTGTTTCAAATACACCCAAAACATCGGATGTTTGCGAATTCATGAATAAAGTACCGCAGATATCAGAATGACTCGCGACCTTGGTTAACGAAGTTTACGCTTGATCGGTACATAATTGGATACGATACGAGTAGGGAGTAGAAAAAAACAAGTTTGGATATCTTTTTTACCAACAGATCGTCGAATTCGAAGTGGGACACTCTCTATATAGGTAAAACGCCTCACTATTTGCCAACTAAAATTGCGAATCTATTAAAGTACATTTTTAAGTTATTATTAATCGAAGATAGTTAAAAATCGATGATTAATAAATAATTATTGGCTCAATAGTGGTGCAAAATAACTATCAATTTTCTTTCAGAAGTCGTCAAGTTATAAAATACCATTTCATTCGATTCATAATCTAAAAGCATCTGTGTAGAGTACAGATTATATATGTATATGTAGTATTTGTCTAGTTTATATTGGTAAAGATGCGATTGAAAACTTTGTTATGACTATGACTACTTAGACAACGGAAACAACCTCCTTTGTTCAATTTTATATTTTTCATTTTTGAAATGAAGCGCTAACTTCATTCAATAACTCATTCAAATTTCCCACCTGAAAATTAGTCATTATCTTGTATCTTGCATATTGAATATGGTTTTGAAATTTATTACGGAATTGACAACTCTGTCGTATTAATTGTCTCTGTAGTGGCAACCAACGTACCTCAAAAGAAAGCAAAACAAACCATATATGAACTATATTGAGTTTGTTTGCACGGCACCAAATAGATTCAGGCATTCAACTCAAGTGAGCGCAAAAAGCTCGTAATGGGAGAGCGCACGATCCTTTATATTTTTTTATCGAGCTAAAACGAATTTGTCGTAAAAGTTGCTCGAGGTATACATGGTAGACGACGGGTCTCATTTAAATTTAAAGGTTATGTGAAAGGTTTAATGGCAGTTCTAAAGGTCAAGGTCAATCCCTGCCGATATTAAATATTTGCTGCTGGACAGCTTCACGCGCATCGTTCGAGCGATAAAAACCTGAAATATTTATTATATATGCCACTTTTACTCGTTTGATGCTATTGAAATTGTTTTCTTTGGTAACTATAGAATTGCTGTGGATCAGGTGTCCGAACGAGAAACACATTTTTAAGTTCATCAAATGACAGACAACTTCGTCGAGGAATAAAAGCACAGTGGCTTTTTATTCCTCCTTAATCTTTTTAAAGTACAACGTACGGACGTAACTGGGTATTTACATACTAGCAAAAAAATATTGACTTGCCTTTCCTTTATATTAGATTATGAATTTATTTTGCTAGATACCCTAACAAAACTAATCAAAATGCTATAATTTATCGTCAAATTAAAGTACTTTTGATTAGTTTGCCAATAATAAAGGTCTTCGGAAATTGTACAAAAGCAACGCAATACATTTAATACGAAATAATAGATGCCATCATGTTATTTGAAGCACGTAAGCGTAGGTAATGGTTTTCTGAAAAATATTTAATTTGACCGAAAAATGGGATCGAAACAATTACGAATTAATTACAGGATTTCCTTCAATTTTTAAAGCAATTATCAGGGTATTCCACAACTTTTTATGCTACGTGCACTTCTTGGAGCCTATTGCATTGTTTTGAATGGATTCTCTTTACACTAAATCACATGCTATCTCCAAATTATTGCTTAGTCAACAAATATATTGTTTGTTTATGTGTGTATTCTATCATTGGCATCATCTTCATAAAGAAAAAAGTTATCGGCAATTTTTAAAATGATACAAAATTGAAAAACGCCATAAATCTCGGTTGACCATTAAATAAATCTCCAGCCCATGAAAGGTCCGTCGATTTTGCTTTATCTAGTGTAGAAGTAGAGTTATTTTCATCGATTATTTTTATCTGATATTCGATTTAAAGAATTTGGGTCTTATAACCTGAGAATTAAACCACCAAATTGGACCGTTTAACTAGGGTGCTAAAACTTTATTTAGATGTTGGAGCACCAGGAAATATCAAAAAAATACTTCGTTTCAAGAGCTTTATGGAAGAGATTGAATATGAACAATGTTCAAGGAGAACAATAGAACACAGTACGTCATCCTGTAGTCCAGTTTTTTTTTCTATTGAGGTTTTATTCCTCCGTGCCACAAGAAAGCAAACTATAATTTATTTCGTAGTCTTTCAGAAAGATGACGGAAGCGAAACTTACCTCTCCAACGACCTGATGTAGTCTGGGTGGGCGGGCTTATAATTTTTGACTAGTAGATTGCAGTATTTGAGCAGGCCGCCGCCGCGAATCTCTTCGGGTTGCCTGGTCGAGATAAGCCTCTTCTGGAGGTGGTAGAGCGCTTCCTGAAAGTCACCGTAGACCGATTCGCCCACCACCGTGGGGTAGAAGTTCTCCGAGACGGGCGGTCCGTCGCACCTGTAGAATAGCAGTAGCGAATCGAGAACTATCTGGAACGAGTCTACTGAAAACTCGAACTGGCGTCGCATGCGATCGACGAATTTTAGTTCGACGCCCCTGCCACGGGCGTTGCCCAACGAGATGAGAGACCAGCGGTCGCCCGTACCAGACCCGCTATTTACCTGAAAAGGAGATGAAATTGTGTGTTTGTCTGAATCATTTGTCGGTATAAAATTTTTCAAGGTTCTGTCTATAAATATCGCAGACGGTGTAAGAAATGCGGTAGGCGGGAGTAAATCTAATCTATAGAAAATTGTTGTTATTTAAGCGACCTGGCGTCTTACTTCTCTTTTAAAGACTGTCTTAGCACCTTCTTGTATGATGACGTCTTTACCTTTTATTTTTGAGCCTTTTTGTTTCACGTTTGGTCTTGGTCAAACAGTTGACCAACCAATTTCGTTTGAAATTAATGACTTCAGTGATATGGCTTTTTTGGGATCTTAGGGGGTTTTCTAGAATTTTTTTAAAGAAAGGTCGAAGATGATTAAATTTAGATTTTATTTGCGATCCAAAATCAAGAATTAAACGAAAATCGTCTGTCAACATGTCTGATAAATGGGGGTATAGAGCTTGCGCCTTGCGAGTTACATCAAAGTAAGTCAAGAGATTCGAGACTTTTACGAAACTATGAATTTTGTGTATCTTTAATAGGGACGTTAAATTTCTTTGTAACGAGCATTCTGCGTTATCCGCAATTCAAGCCTCTATATCGGAACATCTTTTTAGAGAATTATTTACCTTTAATTTTGTTCTAGATTCTTTGAAATATAGCCATTTTACCACAATGATTGTCCAGAGAATATCAACACTGAGCTGCTATGCGATGTAAATTTAAAAATTGTACATGTTAATGCTCGGTTCCCAAGGAGCACTCACTCATAATAAATACATTTCGCAGAATTCAAATGTAGAAGGTGTTTTGTTTTGAGCTCTTAATTAACTGTTGGTTTTTCTTGTTTTCTGAGGTTTTGTTTTTATTCTGTGTTAAGTTTGAATAGTTTCTATTTTGCTTTTAATATTTAAACCTTAATTTGCTAAAATATACGTACAATTTATAATAGGGGAAGAAGATTTTGAAGGAAATTTGAAAACATGCGTAATTTTTATTAACAAGTAAGAATTCCTTTTATTTTGTGGCGATACATGGTAAGTTTCTACACTTCGCTTTTGATATTGAAAACTTTAATTTTCCAAAACTTATGATGAGTCCTTACGTTTTACAATTTTACAATAATATAATTATTATTAACAGATAAAGAAAAATAAAGAAAACGTATTATAATAATTTTAATTATTTTTGATCAAATCGCGATAATAGTTGTTTTTAAAGGCGCCGCATGAACCCATAACATAAAAATGATCAAGTTCAGTACTTACTTAATTTTATTACAGGTTTAGCATTGTTTTTCGAGTTATTCAAATTTTGGGGAAACGAGCTGGGGCTAATAAAGGAATAAAAAGTAGAGCATGATTTTCTCTTATTATTTAGAATGACCAAAGAGACTTATAATAAACTTATGGCAATAATTTATAGTGAATAATTATCCATTAAATGCTAATGATACAAAGCAAGGCTTTTGAAATTTAAATTGAAAAATCTTCAAAGTCTTATTACTATTTTTGGATTATCCATTTTTGGATAAAAATTTTGACAGTTACACTTATTTTCCTAAACTGCGTTTCTCCTATAGAGAATAAAAACCAGAAACGTTCTTCTTCCCAAGACTGCTTTTGATAATTTATTGAATGGAAACATTTTTTTGCAACAAAAATGAATTTTCTACCAGTTACGTCCACGCAGACATGATATTTGATACTTAATGTTTCGATAGAAAAAAAAAAGATAAATGATCCGACTCTTAAGTCTTTTCTTCACCGTCCTGAAGATGATTCCCACAACTTTTGATCCTTTTCCCTTTCTTACAAGCACGAAAGAAGTTACGGCCACTTACCTTGACCATCTTGCTGACGTACGCTTCTTTGAGACTACAGGTGGATATTCTTTTTCTGCTGACGCCATCGGGCAGCATGTCGTATAGCGAACTCAACACTGCCGATTTGACTTTCTCAAAGTTTCGTGGCGACGACAATTCCACGCCAAATATGAGATCGAGATCGTTGTAGGGTTGTTGGGATGCGAGCACATGGGACGCCGCGCCACCATTTAGTCGAATATCTCTCACGCGCATCCCAGCTCCTCCCGAGGATGGTTCCGCTTCGAGTTTGTCCCGTACCACCTCCACCAAGTCACGGAGACGGACCTCCAATGTGGGAAAGTTTCCTCTGCCATGTATGCTGACCTGAAACCAAATCAATAGCGAATTTTTTTGTCTATTGTTACATTGTTTGGATTATTAAAATAAAAATCAATAACAATTAAAAAACTTAGAAAGAAAGTACAAATGAGAACGCGAGGCGTGATTGTGTTAAGAACTGTGCGGGATGAACTGCTTAACTTAGAGAACGGTTTGGAACTAGTACAAGGACATCTATATTCAGAGAAAGGATGTCTAGTGCGCAACAAAACGGAGTTATTGTCAATCCAGAGCCGTTATTAGAGTCAACTTTAACAGCATTTAAAATTATTCTCGTTACAAAATAACGAAATTTTTATAGTAAAATTTGATATCACTTGTCTCTTTAAAGTTTATAAATACAATTTTCTTGTACGTACAAATGTGTCTCTCTTAAAGATTTAGGGGTATTAACTAATCAGCAACTTAACTTGTCTCCCAGGGAGTATATCAACTATTTTTGATGGAATTTACTACCAGAAACTATCGACAAAAGAAAATTGTCTTATTTTGGCTACCATCCATAATGGTTATAGCAGGCCCACAAATCACAAACATTCAAAAATGTCTAATAAGAAGAACGGTATAGAAAATACTCCAGACAATCAAAACGATAGCGGTCGATGGAATTGTTGAGACTGAGATGAAAGTGAATTTTAAAACCTTTGGTAGCGAGGTAAACTCTTTAAAGTTATGGTAATTTTTTTTCTAACGTCCCTAATTCCTCACAAAAGCAGATTTCAACATCTCGGGATAAAGTGCATTCGAAGATTTACAAGGCCGTTATTAAAATTCGAGGCTGCGAATAATAAGCCGGTCAATTTCGGTAACGATCCATTTAATTGCGTTCGATCGATCAAAATCCGTAGGTCGTCCGGTGCTCGCCGGAGAACCGTTGAAAACGTCGACCTTCGAATATCTCTCAGATGATAGAAGTTTAAAGGAAAAGTACTTTCCACTCACCGTCTCGTCCATGACATCGTTCAGTCGGCACACCTGCTCGTAGGACAGTACCGCCAGTCTCTGTTGCACATCGTCGCCGTCGCATAGCTTGATTCTGTGCAGCGACCTCTGATGGTCGTATTCATGTTCGGAACCGCCCAGACCCGCAACGTCCTCGTCGTCGGTATCGGTGCCGATGCCGCACTGTAATAAAAAAAATGCCTTCAGCAAGGATAAACATTTCCTGGTAAAAAATTTTTGGCAGAATTTCATTCCGAGGGACCTTAATTTCGTAGATTTTCGTTAAGAGTCGGGTAAGATTTGGATAGCAGGAGCTGGTTTTCGATTAATAGATCGGGTCTAGATTTGGTTCTAGCAAAGAAAGTGGACAAGACGCCATAGCCAGGGAGGGCTCCTCGCACAGGCACATGGGACCAGAGCCCCGATTGTGGATCGCCCTGTGCGTGAGGCGGGGAGCTCTCGAAGCTTGGATGAGAGAACGGGCAGTGGTGGGCTGAAGGGTTGCTCCGGGAATGAGGCAGGCGAGGCTTAAGATGAATGAGCCCGCCCTCCCTCCGATCAGGGAGCTGCTTGGTCTGCCCAGAAGGGAGTGTAGAGCACTAACAGCGGCCTACACAGGATACTGCAGACTGGAGGCATCGTTGCTTGCTAGGTATTAGAGACGACCCGGAGTGCAGGTGGTGCATGCAAGGGAAGGAGACCCTATATCATCTTCTCACCGAGTGACCTGTTTTGACATGGGCAAGATTTGGAGTCTTCGGAACGGCCCTGATCGATCTGGACTCAGTGCACGGTATCCCTTAAATACCGATACCGTAATACCTCTACCAGGGACATAATCATCATTTGTCAGTGGTGAAACGTAAGAGAACATATACCAACAATAACGACGAATCGCCTTAAAAAACCAAAAGAGAAATTTACCTAAATCATTCTTCACAACTTCACGAAAGAAGTACCACAAAAAAAGACCAATGAAAGAAGTATAAAAAACGAAAAAATGAATTACTCATTTTTACTTCCACATAAAATTCAGACACGCCATCGGCATTAGAAACTAAAGAAGACAATAGATATTAGGTTAAAATCTCAAAAGTTGTGGAACAATCTTTTTTTGCATTACCTTGTTTATATTTGAAGCAAGTGTACCTAATTTGAAACATTTTAATTAACATTTTGAAGGTTCATTAAATTCAATTTTATAAAATTGAACATCGGAATATTTTCCTTCAGACTGCATGTTGGTGGGTGTGTAACGGGGCCACTTATTACAATGTTTGATAGTGTGAAGAATCTCTAACGAAATACAACTGCCTATGTCAGAATCGATACTCGAGCTACACTACTTCAGCATTCCCGCTTTCTGTTTGCGTGGGCGGATCTGCAAACAACGTTGCCACACTGGCGACGAATTTCCCGCTTTGACGGTAATCTACTGCGGAAGGGGGGTGGCGGCACACGTTTTTAGTCCTAATTTTGAGACGGTGCGTGTGAAAGGGAATTACTTAATAATTCCGTTCACATTTCGAATTTTTGCAGTTGAGCGATTCGATACAAAAAAATACAGATCCTAAAATGTCAGCGGGCGTTCATGCAGAACCGGATTGACGCATATAGATTTTATCGGTCTACGTATACACTGGCAAAACCATCATTCGTTTCGTCAGGTGAAGCGTAAGCGTCCATTTATTACAAAGACACAAAATATATATATTTTTTAAAAAGATCCACTATTAACCAAATAAATATAAATAATCCGAGTTAGAGATTAGAGATTTATAGATTTCACTTCGAGATACAGAACCGAATCCAAAAACATTCTTCAAAGTGGTCTCATTCAAACACTTCATTTCACACATCTTAGGATACGGATAATTTTAAGAAAGCATATATAAGAAGACAATTTAATCACAATATGAAAACACGTCATTTTTTCATGATTAGATTTACTGGACCTTTGAAAGATTGTTTTATTATATAGTTAGGTATAGTTAGTTTCTTTGGTTCCATTTAATACGAAAGTGGTTTCATCGTAAAAGACAATAACAATAAGACTTAAAATTATGAATTAAAGGTTAAAATTCTCCGTCGCTTTATTGGGCATTTACCTGACACTATTTTGCTCAATGATGCAAATAAAGAACAAGGCTAGTTCAAAGAGTAAAGTAATCTCGGCGAGTTTTTTTAAAAAAAGCTCTTCTTATTACACTAGTAACAACGTAAACAATTTGGCAACAGCGTGGGCGCTAGCGCCCACGCTCCGTTCATTCATGCGGCTCCCGTCTGCCGCCGTGACGTCATCGTCCTCCGCCGCAACCGTGTAGCTTAGCCCAGCAGCCGCCCCCATAATCTCGTCCGGGACCAATCGAAAAAGGAAGATAAAGCACGTAGTGTGTTTATCGTTGTCTTGTTGCGTCAATCGCAGGATGCTGCGAAAATCGCCTGCATTCGCTGGCGTTTAGACAAATCAATCAAGTTGGTTTTTATTTTTCATATTTCTACGACGCTTATAGGATTGAGAAAAAATGTGATAGCATTGCTTATTCCTAATCGAATCGAATCAAATTTGTCAAAGTTACTTGCTTATTTTCGGGTATTTTCTTTTACGCAAAAATATTACAAAACCACTAGGTATATTGTAAACACACAATAAATTACCATTACTCTGATTAACTATAAAATACAATAAAAGATTCAATTAATTTCACGACAAAATTGTGCGAATAGATTTTGGCGTAAGGTTTTTTCAAGTTTTCAAATATGGTTTCAGCAAGAGCCGCAGCGTGACTTAGAATGTTGCCATCATCAAATTAACCCAAAACTGAGTTTGTAAACACTTTGTTTACTGTATTTCAACAATGTTAGGGATACACTTCATATAATTTTAAAGTTTTAAGTTTTTAAAGTTTTATAACCCAAACTTTAGTCACGAGTTTCTTTAGGCACGAGCGAAGCGAGTAAGTGCCTGAGGAAGTTTATAAACGAAAAAAAAAAAAAAAAAACGACTTGCCGTCAGTGTTTCAAACATCTATCGAACAGTAACTAAAGCTCCGGAAACTCTCAACTTGGCTAGCGAGAGCGTTTAATAAACCTGACGTTTTAAAGTGACACCTTGTGGACGGCTGGCCAGTGTATAATTGGGCATTTTAGAGTATTAGAAAGTAAAAGTTAAGTGCAAAAAGTTGGAAAAAAATCCTGCTTTATCCCTCCCTACTCATAATTGTCTGGCGGATTGATTTTACAATAACAATTATGAACGACGTAACTAAATTTTCTGCAAATTAAGCGCGATTAAAAAAGGAAATTAATTGCATTCGTCAGCGAACGAACAAAATCCTAAAGTTTACAACGAGCCTCCGCAACTCCATTATGAGCATAAACTCATGAACGAAAACATGTAGATAACAAAGAATGAAGGGCGTAGCAGCTACGTCTGGCAAATTTCCAGGGCGGCTATAAAGTGAATGGCAAAAAGCAACAGTGCCAATATCAATTATTCCCCGGGTGAGCAGCAACAAGTATGGCGGCTGTGGTGTTTTCGCCACGCAGAGTTTGCTGAATGAACTTTGGCGCCTGAGCCCTGTGACGCGAAAGTTTTATGCATGGGTTCTGAAACATGCGCGCCATTTACGTAGGGATGACTACGATTCATTTATTTTAGCTGGTATTTCTTTTCGATTTCTTTTTTTTTATTTTAACGATTGGTTAGTTTAGTTAGTTAGAAAGATGCACATTTTATTAAATTAAATGTTATGTATGTTTAATATTGTAGTCTGCATTTACGAAAAAAATAAAAACTCAATAAATACTTAAAAGAGATTCTATTAATTATGATGGAACTTTAAAGATGCAGATTTCTTGTGACACGGATACTATTTAGGCAATACTCGCAGTACTCGCTTTGAATTTCACTTTAATTACAATAAAAGTGATATGAGTGCGGTAACACAGAATTGAACATCAATTTATAGTTGTTGGAACAGTAGTCATTTATTTTTATATTTATTCTAAAATACATTTCTTTTCTTTGTAGTTGTAGTGTCTTATATCTATCTATAATATATATATATATATATATATATATATATATATATATATATATATATATATATATATATATATATATATATATATATATATATATATATATATATATATATAATCTTGGCGTTTGGTTGTTCGAAACCTGTTCCCCTTCTGTTTTTGACACGAGTAAATATATGCTTCGATTTGATATAACTTAAATGCACAGATTTATTTCAGTCGAAGTTGGTACCATTGTGTAGTCGGTTAAGAAGCATTTTCAGATTAGAAGCGTTGAAGCACTCTTGTAGTTTTTAAGCGCTCTTTTAGTTTAATAAATAAAGTTCTTATCGTATACCCTAGCTAGAAGGCCTTTAAAAACTTTCTGAATGATGTAATTCCTATGCCTTCGTATATATACATACTTATATTTGCTAGCTAGCAACAATTGGTTAGTGGTTTGTTGATTGATTGCTTGCATGACGTGAAATAAACAATAATTATTAAAAAGTTAATAATTTTAATTAATTAATTTTACTGCCTTAAGTAAATCTGAAAGAGGTAGGGTAGTAGAGCCTATACGAGAAGCTGGAATGTTCTTTTGGGAAATTGAAAACAAGATTGGCGGGAATGGTACAAATGTGATGCTATGTTGGACAAAGTTGTATGTACATCATCGCCATACACGTTTATCTTAGCACATCCAACGCAATCAGACATAAAGGGGTGGCAGATACTGGTCGATCGATATCCAAGAAATCGATTTATTGAACAACTAGAGCATAAGGGATATTGACAGTTACGCCTTTTATGGTGTAAATAATCACGTTTTTGTTTGTGGGTTAACGATGGCTCACGAAGAAGTGGAGAAAGGCGCATAACTTGAATTTTGTATGGCAAGTGAGAATGCGCGTTCTAGGGGCAGTATGGTTAGGGTTCTTCAAACTCTTCTCCAAATTCCTCCGACAAGCTAATATAACCCTTTCTCAACGGCCCGCAAGATTTATTGCTTGTTCTGAATATCCATGGGATATGATAGGTCGAACGCTAAGTACCCATCTTATCTTGGATGTGCAACACCTACGTCATGAGGTAAGATGAGAAAGGGGAACCTACCTATATCGATCACATGGACAGAATGTCGAAACTCACTTGTATGA